TTGGTTTATGGTTTGGTTGGTGGAGGGGCATGGATTGGCTGTGCCTGCCCCTCTAATGCTGCTGCGGCAAGGGATTCCGTTAAAGGAATCGGGGGCTAACTATTGCTTGTCCACTCTGCCAAGGGGGCTCGGGCCATAGCAATGAGCTCCTGGTTGCATTTGGGGTGAGGGCAGGTTCCCTGCTCCGTCGCTACCCCCAAGTGTATTCCCCTATTCTGACTTTCGCATTGTGCAGAATGTCAGACTGTCCCCCATGGTGGGGGCAGATAGTCACAACCAATGCCTAAGCAATCACTCACAAATTTGTATTTTAATAAAGTTGTGGCCAAAATTATGCCAAAAATCTTAAACAAAAAATTCTGTGTGATGTGTGAGTTATTGGGGTGGCCCTGGGGACCTCAACATGCAAAAGTCATGACTTTCCGCAAACCACCATTATAAATCTATACTGCCCTCCTCTTCTCGGGAAGGTTCAGGAAGGTTCCACCGTGTCTAGTCCCTGACATGAGGCCAGGTGGGTCTGGCCTGGGCTAAGAAAGAGACCCCCCTTTGATTGGTGTCAACAATGAGCAGTCCAGGTAATAAATGGGGTGCAACTTTATTTACAATGTAAAGTGCATCACACAGAAGTTGTTCAAACACATGACAAGCAGTGACATAAATGACAATACATTATTGGAATTTAATTTTTTTAAAAACAACAACGGGTTAATCCCTCTGAGGATTTCGTATAGTAAAAAGAGATTGAAATTCACCAATCCAGCCTTTTATTGTTTCCTCTAGGAACTGCATCGCAGCAGCAGTGCTGTTCTTGAGGGTTGTTTCTGGGTCGTTAGGTTTCGAACTCTCTGCCTGATCACCATATAAACAGCAAAATGTACGAACAGCTAGAACTGAAAACAGGTCGGTTGGCTTTATGATCCCTCCCCGACATTTTCCCGCCTCTCAGATCAAAAGTGTGGTTCAAAATACGGGCTTTTTTTTCAGGGAAAGGTATGATTCAGAATGCCACCAGGATAAAATAATACACAGAATGCTTGAACACAGAGGAAAATGGGGCAATTTTACAATGATTCGAGGAAGGCAATGGCAGCTGAGTTTTAATTCCCTTTCTTACCCACTAAGTGAAGGTTTCTAAGGTGGAAATATACTCTGACTTGGGAGTTACTTGTCACTGAACTCAGCAAGACTTACTTCTGAGTAAACATGCATAGGGTTTGGTCTGCGCATGTATCGCTCTGTAAATCTTGTAGAACAGCAAGTTCTCTTAAAAGTCTTTGTGTGAAGATAAGCTAATAATTAGTGTATGTATGCTATGTTCCAGCACATGTGCATTATGTTGTGGAGATTGCTGCCTGCTGTTGCAATGACAGGAGCAGATAATGAAGGGGGGAAGGCTGTGAAAAAAGAACGTCAGTGGAATTGCAAGACAATATATTCTTAGTTTAGTCAGTGTTATACACAGTTGCCCTCCCAGGGCTGATTCTTCATTACACTTTCTGCTCAAAACTAGACAGCGGTAGGTTAACAACAGGAAGATTTAAAGGAACTACTAGAAATGACTATCAAAAGCAGTAGTGATATGAAATGATCAGAGGCCCCCCCCCCCGAACTTGAAGCATGGGAAGTCCCAATAAAAAAATTATAATTCGGCAGAATATGTAGATTATTTGATATGTATATGTATAATTTGGAATACTTAATATGATGGGATTGGATTGTTAAAATGGAAAACTTAATAAAAATGATCTAAAAAAACAAAACTAGACAGTGGTGACCATATATTTATTAGAAAATGCATTTTCATTATTTCAACTCCTCCTCTTAATTTTTAAAGGTTCCTGGTAAAAGAGCTATATGTTTTGTCTTTCTATCCTGTTTGCTCTTAGTATCTCCAAGCCCCTGCAAAAACCTAAAAATAAAGTTCTTGTAGTTGTGCACATGCACCAGAAAGGGAGAGCCTGGCTGTGCTCAGAAAGGGCCATAACAGTGAGGTTATAAAAGATTAACAATTATTTCCTACCCTTTTGGAATGAATCTGACTGCTATCAGACACACGGGCTGTTTTCAAACCAGGGCCCTAGTCAGTGGTCTTCCACCATCAGCTGAAAGTTGATGTTTAACTCCCAAGTACAGAGATATTTTCCCAGCTAACAGTCATGGTTGTCTATCCACAACACAAATGCTTAAGTGGGTGGCACAGAACTGATATTTCAAGTACGTTACAGATGGGAAGTAATCTCATTCCCTGTTTCAGGGATGCTAACTTGAATAAAATATTGGGGAGGGGGGGAGCAGGAAAGCCTCACCCCACATTATTGATCACAATATGTGACACACACCATTTGAATGGCAATGCCCATCAACTTGTGGGGGGGACGGACCTGGCCCCCTCAGATATTTTATTGTGGGGGGCCGAAGGGACCTTGGCCCCTAGGGGTTGGCTCCTATGCCCAGAAAGTGAGGAGGAATTAAAGAACCTTTTAATGAGGGTGAAAGAGGAGAGCGCAAAATACGGTCTGAAGCTCAACATCAAAAAAACGAAGATCATGGCCACTGGTCCCATCACCTCTTGGCAAATAGAAGGGGAAGAAATGGAGGCAGTGAGAGATTTTACTTTCTTGGGCTCCATGATCACTGCAGATGGTGACAGCAGCCATGAAATTAAAAGACGCCTGTTTCTTGGGAGAAAGCAATGACAAACCTAGACAGCATCTTAAAAAGCAGAGACATCACCTTGCCAACAAAGGTCCATATAGTAAAAGCTATGGTTTTACAAGTAGTGATGTATGGAAGTGAAAGCTGGACTATAAAGAAGGCTGATCGCTGAAGAATTGATGCTTTTGAATTATGGTGCTGGAGGAGACTCTTGAGAGTCCCATGGACTGCAAGAAGATCAAACCTCTCCATTCTGAAGGAAATCAGCCCTGAGTGCTCACTGGAAGGACAGATCCTGAAGCAAAGGCTCCAATACTTTGGCCACCTCATGAGAAGAGAAGACTCCCTGGAAAAGACCCTGATGTTGGGAAAGATGGAGGGCATAAGGAGAAGGGGACGACAGAGGACGAGATGGTTGGATAGTGTTCTCGAAGCTACCAGCATGAGTTTGACCAAACTGCGGGAGGCAGTGGAAGGCAGGAGTGCCTGGTGTGCTCTGGTCCATGGGGTCACAAAGAGTCGGACGCCACTAAACGACTAAACAACAACAAGTGTGTAACATTTGCAGTGCACTACCTACAGGGCAGATTCAGTCTCCGATCATTTTGTTTAAACATAGATGACATGCAAACGTACTATGAGCCTCCTGAAAACTCGCGATGGACGCAGCCATTGATTCCATCCACACTTTTCTGAAAAATCCGCCACCACAAGCTTAAGTTTGGAGCTTATGGGCAACTGCAATACGCTCATAATAAAAAAAAAAAACTTGTATTGTTTTGCTGCGAGTCTTTGAGTCCTAATCACAGGTATTGCAAGCAATGCAATATGGAAGCGGCAAAGTGTGGGGAAAAGATGCGCTCACCAGTCACATTACTCTGTGTCACAGTGAACTCATTGGCAGAAGACAATCCAGCAAAGCTAAGCCCATTTACACCTCTAAGGAGCAAGCTGCAATACTCTTTGAAGCCAAAAATAAGGTGCCACAGGGCAGGGGTAGAACCAGAATTCAGTGATCAAGGAGTGACCATTAAGCAAGCAAATAGTGTCTAATTAAGCGGCAAATAGTGTCATTTTTTGTAGAGAGTAGGAAGTGTGGAAGAAGCACCTGTTGTTCTATGGAAAACACTCAGGCTGGAAAGTAGTAAATTCATACATGAAATACAGCAGAATTAGCACTGGGTCCAAACATCGTCCTTCCCCCTTTGTTTCTGACCATCTTTTAATTTTAGCAGTGGCTGAATCATTGTAGTTTGAGATCTCTGGTGATGAAAGTTACAGTACTGTGACCTTTGTATTGCTTAGGATCACTAGTTGTAACGGTCTCACTCAGGAAGGAAGGACAGCAAATAAACATCCACATTATTAGCATCAGAAAATGTTTGGAAGATAGTGAAATAAGATGATGTATTTAATTTTTATGTTTTTAAGGTTTGATGTTATGTTATTAATAATTTTTTCGGTTGAGAGATAGCAAAGCGGGTGAAAATAGAAACAAACCAGAAACGCAAGTTGGGGGAAGTCTTGGAGGGGAGGGAGGGATGAATATGTAGTAAACATTAAGAATTTGAGATGTATGTAATGAACGAAAATGGAAAATGAATATATATATTTAAAAAGGAAGGAAGGACAGCAAACAAATGATGTCAGTGGCAGGCAAATAAGAAGCCTAATTTCCATCTCTTTTATGAAAACAGCAACTAGTGTTTTGTTTATTTAATTCTGAATTAAACGGCAACCAAGCACCACCACAACACATGTGTGTGTGTGTTTTAAATATGTAAGCCATAAATCTACAGTAAAGTGATTGTGTGTTGCTTCACACCAGAGCTAATCGAGGGGGGATGCCTTCTACTTATTATTGTGATGGTCAGGTCTGAAAGAATCGCACAATTCTTTCTCTGTTGCGGGAAGTGGGGAGAGATGAATTTGTCTCCTTCAAACAGTAGGGTTTCCATGCCACATGAAAAACTGCTTTCGAAAATTGGTGGGACGGGCAGGTTTGTGTGTGTGTGAACCAGAGGATGACAGGGCACAACTTATGCTCAAGGATTTGCAACAATAATTAAAAAATACTCTCAGTCGACAACATTGTTTGTACATTTGTGTGTACTGACAGCAGCATATACGATAACACTTCTGCATGTGAAAAAGGTGGTTCTTTTCAAAATAAAAAAAGTATTAAGAAAACATCATACAAAATTTAAAAAGAACATTTAAAAAACTCAAACACGTTGCCGTTGTTTAAAAAAACCAAACAAACCCTGCACTGGGTTCGATTTTACAATGCTTGTAAAATACCAGGGTGTACTGGATCAGTCCTGGAATGTCCAGAGTTCATGTTAAAAGTGGTGGAATCCAGATTTCCTTTTCCTAGATTAGCACACATGGAACAAGAGGGGAAAAACAGGTTAATTATTCACTACAGATCATTACACAAAGCAGGGTGTGCTGCATCAGGAAGACGTCTGCCCTGATGATGATGATGATAGTTTATATACCGCCCAACACCTGGAGGTCTCAGGGCAGTTCACAGAAAAAATCACAACATATATAATCAGAATAAAAACAACCCAATAAAGCCCCACCCCCCCAAAAAAGAGCCACATTTGAAAAGGGTATAGGATGTCAAACAGATCAACCAAAGGCCTGGTTAAAAAGGAACATTTTTGCCTACCACCTAAAGGTGTGTAATGAAGGCATCAGGAGAACTTCCCTGGGGAGAGCATTCCACAAAATGGGGAGCCACTGCAGAGAAGGCCCCGTTCTCGTGTTGCCACCCTTCGGACCTCTCAAGGAGGAGGCACAGGAAGAAGGGCCTCAGAAGGTGATCTCAGGGTTTGGGTAGGTTCATATGGAAAGAGGCGGTCCTTGAGGTATTGCAGTCCTGAGCCGTTTAAGGCTTTATAGGTCAAAACCAGCACTTTGAATTGGGCGCAGAAACTAATTGGGAGCCAGTGCAAAATAGGGTGAGCAAGGTGTTGGGCCTGGAAGTGAGGCTGGGGAGGAGCTCCAAGGGTCAAAGAAAGAGGTCCAGGGGGCCGCATTCAGCTTCCTTGGGAGGCTGTGGACTCTCCTTCCTTGGAGGTTTCCAAGCAGAGGTTGGATGGCCATCTGTCCTGGATGCTTTAGGTGAGATTCCTGCATTGCAGGGGCTTGGAATCAATGACCCATGGGGTCCCTTCCAACTCAACAATTCTAGGATGCTTTGGTCCATGGGGCCACGAAGAGTCGGACATGACTAAATGACTAAACAACAACAACAAATGATTCTACCTTCTCCAGACCTGTTGTAAGTGGTTGTGTGTACAGAGAGGCCAGAATTTGGGACGAAACTCTTAAACCAAAACTACATACATTGAATTGAATTGAATCTTATTATTACGGTCACAGACCAGTTCTGGCTCACTTACTATATCAGGAAAATCACAAAACACAACAGGAATACATTGAATTGCAATTGGGTATGACAGAGGCAATTCAGATATAGCTGCAGTTAAAAATATATATTAAATCTTGATCACTAAAATATAACCTAAAATTAACCTTAATCATTTTGGTAGTACAGCTTGTTCCCTAAGTTTTATGGCCGTCGCACAGAATTTGGCCACCCTTAGCGTGATCTCTGGATCCTTGTCCTCTACCAGGAGTTTTAGACTTTGAAGTTCGGACCCATTTGGAGATTTTTGTAGAACAGGAGTGATAAATACAGAGCGTATATCCCTGTAGAAATGGCAGCGTAACAAGACATGAGAGACAGTTTCTACCTCCATCAAGCCGCAGGGGAATCTACATACATACCTAGAGCAGTCGTGTCCAGTCCAAGGTGACGGGCAATGGCACCGATCCGGTCGTACGCATTTCCCACCATTTAAGCATGGAGACTGGCAGACAGCTGTATTAGAAGACCACAGATCCACATTAGCATTTGTTTGCATCACGGGTTGCTAACCCATGGGCCTTCTAGATGTTGAAGGGCCACACTGGACGATGGGTGTTGTAGTCCCAACAACATCTGGGAGGGGGAGACGCAGGCTAGCCGTCCCAGTTTACATAGTGGCCTGTATAAAGTGGTACCTCAGGTTACATACGCTTCAGGTTACAGGCTCCGTTAACCCAGAAATAGTACCTCGGGTTAAGAACTTTGCTTCAGGATGAGAACAGAAATTGTGCTCCAGCGGCACGGCAGCAGCAGGAGGCCTCATTAGCTAAAGTGGTGCTTCAGGTTAAGAACAGTTTCAGGTTAAGAACGGACCTCCGGAACAAATTAAGTACTTAACCCGAGATACCACTGTAACTGCTTACACATAACCGTTTCCAACTGAACAAGTTTTCAGCCAGTTTAACTGCATGGCTTGCCATGAAAATGCAAGCAGGTGTGTCTTTTAAAAATAATAATAAACAAATGGAAGGATTCTGTACATCAGTTTTGAAAACTCCAGGGGTTTTTGTTCTGTTCATGTGGAGGCAAAACAAATGGAGGTCTAGGGAGAAACTTTCAGTGGCTAGTGGAAGCGGACAGTTTGCCCTTCATAGCTCTGCCGTAGGAAGGAATTCCTACGCCTTCCTTCCCATATGTACATTTCCTTCATTGCCATAGGCCTCAGCCTTTCTCTGCACTGCTTTGCTTTTTCATATGCATTGGCTTTTTCTTATTTTGGCTGCTGAAAAAAAGAGAAGGAATCACCCACCCGCTGTTCCCCCAAACCCTTTCTTCAGAAAAGGAAGGCACGAATCACGACAAACTTCAGGGAGGTTTCTATCAGAGCTCCCTGCAGTGTCATCCGATTTTCGTTCCTTGAGAACAGAAAATATTTACACATACGCTTACAACTGAGGATGAATTTGTACATGCAAAATAGGGCTTATTTCTCTATGGTGCAAACTTTTTGTGACGGGTGCAGATTAAAGGGAGGGACGTGGGTGGCACTGTGGTCTAAACCACAGAGCCTAGGGCTTGCCGATCAGAAGGTTGGTGGTTCGAATCCCCGCGATGGGGTGAGCTCCCGTTGCTCGGTCCCTGCTCCTGCCCACCTAGCAGTTCAAAAGCACGTCAAAGTGAAGTAGATAAATAGGTACCGCTCCAGCGGGAAGGTAAATGGCTTTTCTGTGCGCTGCTCTGGTTTGCCAGAAGTGGCTTAGTCATGCTGGCCACATGACCCGGAAGCTGTACGCTGGCTCCCTCGGCCAGTAAAGTGAGATGAGCGCCGCAACCCCAGAGTCGTCCGCGACTGGACCTCATGGTCAGGGGTCCCTTTACCTTTTTATGTGCCTGTTTCCATTGACAGACATGAAGGGATCATGACAGCAAAAGTCATTTGTTGTTTTTTGTTTCCAGAAACATACATTTTAAACCAATTCTCTTAACCTGCATGCACGGAATCCATCTCAGTTCTTATAACCCAGAAAACAGGGAATGGAAAGAAAAACCAAAAAAAGAGAGAAAGGTACAGAAAACAAATAGTTGAAAAATGCAATGATTTGATAAGGACTTCTCTGTTTGTTGATAACTGGACATGGATGTAAAGTGGGAAAAGGGGCAGAATCTCTGTGGAAGCTGTTATACTAAAAGGAACAGCCTGTAGCTGAACTATAAGGGACAAATAATTAAGGAACTAATCTTACTCAGTAGGAAAAGTGCCCAAATAGCCATGTGATAGCTATAGTAGTTTCACTGTGCTAGCTATTTAATTACCCGGAAAATGGGCAGAGAGATAAAACCCTAGCATTTCCTGTTAAATCTGAGACACAAAGACTAGGTTTGATAGGAACAAATAACTGAGAGTGCAATCCTATGGCTGTTTACTTAGAAGTCCAACTGTTTTCCCTCGGGGCTTACACCTCATATGGCTGCAGCCCAAGACGAACTGGAAGTCCTATTTAAGGAGTTTATTTTTAAAAAAACATTGGCGCAATCCTCTCAAGACAATACATAATGGATGCCTTGAATATTACAGGTTTGGAAACGGAAGGCAAATACATTCAACTGCGACCCTCGTGAGCTTGCCACACACATTTACATTTTAAAAGTATGCTTAAAGTTACTTCAAGTGTGCACCTAAACCAGGGGTGGAGTCCAAAGGGTGGCTATCAAGGCATTTTAGGCGGCCCTCGGGGCATTTGATGCCCCCACCGGCCCTCACGCTGCCTTCCCAAAGCCATGTAAGCAAGGTGCTCGGTTTGGGGAAGGAGGTGCGAGGGCTCTGATAGGATCCTCACATCCTCCTACCTCCTTCCCGAAGCTTAGTTAGTGATTTCCCAGTTTTGGGAAGGAGGTAGGAGGGCTCTAGGACCCAGAGGGCCCACACATCTCCTTCCTAGAGTTCCCAGTGCCTCACTTAGCCAGCTTTGGGTAGAAAGCAGCATGAGGGCTCCACCACCCCCACAAGGCAGTGTGTGCCCCTCCCTGGGTTCTGTGTCAAAGTACTTTTGCAGCCCACTTCGTATGAAAAGTTGGACCACACTGACCTGAGGTAAAAGGTTAAGGTAAAGGACCCCTGGACGGTTAAGTCCAGTCAAAGGTGACTATATCAAATGTGACATCCTATCGGATGTCAAAGAGATAAACAACTACCTGACATTTAGAAGACATCTGAAGGCAGCCCTGTTCAGGGAAGTTTTTAATGTGTGACATTTTGATGCGTTTTTAATCTTTGTTGGAAGCCGCCAGGAGTGGCTGGGGAGACCCAGTCAGATGGGCGGAGTACAAATAAATTATTGTTGTTGTTGTTGTTGTTGTTGTTGTTATTATTATTATTATTATTATTATTATTATTATTATTATTGGGTTGAGGCACTCATCTCTCTTCAGGCCGAGGGAGCCAGCATTTGTCCACAGACAGATTTTCCAGGTCATGTGGCCAGCATGACTAAACCACTTCTGGAGCCAGTGTGGTGTAGTGGTTAAGAGCGGGAGTCTCGTAATCTGGGGAACCAGGTTCGCTTCCCTGCTCCTCCACATGCAGCTGCTGGGTGACCTTGGGCCAGTCACACTTCTTTGAAGTCTCTCAGCCTCACTCACCTCACAGAGTGTTTGTTGTGGGGGAGGAAGGGAAAGGAGATTGTTAGCCGCTTTGAGACTCCTTAGGGTAGTGATAAAGCGGGATATCAAATCCAAACTCCTGTTAGTATTTCATGCCTCCGTTGCTGCAGATGTGATTTACACCAATCTCATCTGCAGCAACGGTGGCGTGAAATACTAACATCCTGTCTGGAAGCCAGAGCGCACGGAAACACCGTTTACCTTCCCGCCAGAGCGGTACCTATTTATCTACTTGCACCGGTGTGCTTTCGAACTGCTAGGTTGGCAGGAGCTGGGGCAGAGCAACAGGAGCTCACCCAGTTGCGGGGATTCGAACTGCTGACCTTCTGATCGGCAAGCCCAAGAGGCTCAGTGGTTGAGACCACAGCTCCACCCACTTTAAAAAAAAAACAAAACAACTGGGAAATATTGTATGTAGATTTTATAGCTAAATGGTCTATGTGAACGTTAACACTGCTATGAGTGTTTGTGGAAACATCCTTGCTGGAAAACTCTCATTGCAAGACCAGTTAAGAAAAACACTTATTTACAACGTAATGTAATATGTTTAATTAAGCTTATGTGTAGGTCTATCCAAGGCTTAGATCCTAAGGAAGCATAGCATGTATTCTAAGCCTCGATAATTAGCATGTATGTCAAAGCTAATTAGCTGAGGCACATTTCCTGGGTTGGTGTTTTGGACTTGGCAAGCCTAGCCAAATCAACAAGTGTCGATGAAACTTCTTTTGAGATGTCTCTGCCTGGGGTGAACCACCAGAAATTCAAAGCATTCAAGGAAAAAGGTGTTGGTATGTAAATAATTGGAGCCCCACCCCCTGTAGATAATGAGGGCTTAGTTTAGGGAGTGATGTAACCAGGAAGCAGAGAAGGTGAGCTGGGATGTGCTTTCAGAGCAAGGAAGACTGCAGAGAATGGATGCTGACGCTGCAATCATGGAATAAGCTGGTGACTTTTGGGGTGCTGCTGCCGTGAGTCCCTTCATTGAAAGCTTCAGGTTGCATATGTGTGTAAATAAGCCATATATCATAAAGACACCACAGACTCCTCGGTGCCTGGAACCCCTGAGGTCTCAGTAGACTGGGGTGGCGTGCAATGATAAGATTATGACATTGTCCCTCAAAGCTTCCCAGGAACAATTACAGACCAGCATAACAGATGTTGCTGTTAGATAGCGGGAGGCACAAAGTGAGACAGGTTTACCCTGATGGCAACGGGATCCGGTCCACCCTGCTTGGCAGTCACACTGGTAAGGAGCCACACAGCGACCTCCATTCAGGCAATGCAGGATGCAGATTGCTAAAGAGAAGATGGGGGGGGGGGGAGTACCAGAGAAAATAAATGTATCAATATTAGGACCAGAAAAACCACTTTCATAAAGTGGAATGATTGAACTAAAATGCCCAAGCTTATTTAAACATACCGTATTTTTCGCTCCATAAGACGCGCTTTTTCCCTCCTAAAAGGTAAGGGGAAATGTGTGTGCGTCTTATGGAGCGAATGCAGGGGGGAGGCAGGCAGGAAAAGCTCCCAAGAGCCACACACAAGCTCCGCGCAGCTCTTGTGGGCTTTGCCCCAGGAGGGAGAAGGGACTGACGCGGCCAGTCAGTCCCTTCTCCCTCCTTGTAGAAAAGCCCGCAGGAGCCACGCGCTCCTTAAAGGGTGCGCAGTTCCTGTGGGCTTTTGTGGGAGGTGGGGGTATTGCCATAGCCACGCGCAGCCTCTCCCAGCTGGAGAGGTTGCGCGCCGCTAAAGAGGATGGATCCCGCTCGCTGTCTTGGCTTCTTTGCCCTTTGGGGCTGGGGGGGGGCGGAAATAAGATTTCCCCCCTTGATTTCCCCCTCTAAAAACTAAGTGCGCCTTATGGTCCGGTGCGCCTTATGGAGCGAAAAATACGGTAATTATCTAGGGGATAAGGGTTCATCAATAAAGACCTGGTTATGTTTAGAATGATACCGCATAGGGAAATGTTCCCTGATACCAAGATGAGGGATTCTATGGAATGCAGATAGAGAGAACTGATAAGAATAATGATCTGTTGTGACCTTGACGGAAGCGTACAATAGACGAGCCTTCTTGTGTTTTTGCTCATCCCCCCCCTTTTTTCTTCCTTCTCCTTTCCTCTTTCTTTTTTCTTTCCCATAATGGCTTATGTTCTATGTCATGTACTTTGATATTTTTTGTAGGTTTTTAAAAGCCTTTTCCATTATTATTGTCATCGAGGATTTTTCTTTTGTAATTTTGGTTGTTTATATTTATCTGTATTTGTTTAAAGTTAAAGTTTAAAGCAAAATAAAAACAAAAATAATTTTTTTTAAAATGCCCAAGTTTTTTAAAAATATGTTTTCGCAAATGTTTTCCCCTAGCTTACTCTGTTAAATCACATTGTCTTTATACAATTCCCAACTGCACTTTCAACAGCAACCTTTAACTCTTTTTTTGAGTTAAGAGGCACATGAAATATCAGCGGTTGGCAGCATCCTCGACATTAGATCCTTTACAAACTGCGATGACATTAGATAAGGCATTCTTAAGCCTCCCCCATAGGATGTTACTACCATTCCAAGCCAAATGGGAAAAAAAGAAAAGAAAACATGAACTTTGATGGATCTAGACAGCTGTCCATTCCTTTTCTTACAAAAGAGAGTTGAAAAGTGAATTGAGGTGGCAGATCACAATGACCAAGAGCACAAAAGCAGTCCCTAAGTGTTGGGAGTCTCGGTTTAGCATTGCTGCCGACACTAAGGTAAGGAAACAAGCGGCGACATGTCAAATGCAAGGCCAGAGCTGTGTGTCTGCTCCACCTCTGAGTGATCTGTTCAAGCATAAAGGGGGGGGGCAGGCAGACCTAGAATACTGCTTTAGAAACTATCATTAGAAAAGGTTAAGTTTTGTGATCAGCATAGAGTATACAAGTTGGAAGAAATTTCCCTGCTTTGTTTGGATTTCAAACACCAAACAGCTTCTCAATATTTATAATTGCTTTGTAAATGTAAATATGTTAATTTAAACAGTGGGAATGAAGGCATATATATTTGTCTGTACAGGGGGGAAAGACAGGTTGGCAGCAAACCTATAGAAATGAATGAACCTAAATTACAGAGGATTTTGGTGACTTGCTTTTGCAAATGTTCCATCAGTGCAAGTGTTACCTCTTGCTTGTTGGAAAGATCTCCTCTCTTCCTACCATCCCTTGCACTGTTCCAGGTGTTCTCCTGACTCCCGTAGACCATTGTGGTGGTATGGGGGAGAGAGGCAAGGGAGGGGGGGGCATTCAGGGCCGGATTTAGGTTTGATGAGGCCCTAATCTACTGAAGGTAATGGGGCCCTTTATATATCCAGCTGTCCTTTGTCATCAACAATTTGTCACTGTTTTTTTGTGTTGAATATATGCTATATGGCAATTTATGGACCTAACAGGTCTCTAAAGCCATTTGCCCATGTTGCCATGCCACCAGTCCATGCAGAATGTAGGCACCCTGTATATAGAAATGAGCAAACCAGTAATATTTTAGGGAGCCGGCTAGCAGGCGGGGTCCATGACTTACAACATAGGAGCCTACACAACACAAAACACTGCTGCTGTATGTAGGTTTTATTTTATTTGTTTTTATCTTATATTTTGGAAATGTACATCCACAGGTTTTTTTCCTTTAAATTTTTTGCCCCCCCCCCCAAAGAGAGTGGGGCCCTAAGCTGCAGCTTGTTTAGCTTATACGTAAATCTGACACTGGGGGCATTGCACTAGTGGAAATCCTTATGTGGGCTTCTGCTAGCAGAACCAGTTGGTCATGTTCATTAATTTCAGAGGATCTTCTCTGAGCAAAACGTAGCACAATACCACCCATTGCATTTCCCGTACAATGTAGGACGAACCCTTTTAAAAGAAAGGGCTCCGACAAGACAGTGTCATTTCCATTTGCTTTGGCAGCTGGAGCACCAAATGCACCTGACCTGGTTCTCTTTTAACTGTCTGCTAGGTTTTTGCTCTCTGAAGTGCAAATTTGGGCTCGGAGTTGTTTAGACTCTCTTTATCTTTTCTGTATAATCCGTTCACCTGGTTACAAAAAATGCTAGGAAACGAAGATGATGTGCACTGGATGCTCCTTGTAATATTTACGCCACTGCTCTGCAATTCTCAAACAATCTGAACTTGCCGGGTGCGGAGAAGGAAGAACTTTTGTGACTATATTTTATTACATTTGCTACTATTACAGCGCAGTCCAGTGCAATATCTACTTAGGCGTACGTCCCACAGGGTTCAAAGGGGGGTTATTTCCAAGCTAAGCATGCTGATAGGACTGTGGCTTCAGTATTTCATCAGAGATTGGTTATTTCTAGCGTTTTGCTGCAGATAGATGACCATCGCTGAGGGATGCATGATTGGCATGAACCAATCGTGATACAGGATAGTGAGGGAGTCCAAACTTCTCTGTGGAAGATTTAACTTTTCACTATTTCTGGACCGATTCTGACAAGCACTGAAAATGCCAGTAATGTGGATGGAAACTTGGGATGCATACAGTCGTATGATTATCGTCTTCCAAAGCAACTACTCTATTCTGAACTTAAAAATGGAAAGCGTAATGCTGGTGGTCAACAGAAGAGGTTTAAAGACTCTCTCAAGGCAAATCTTTAAAAACGTAGTATACACCAACAATTGGGAAACAAGTGCTCCAATTGGAGAACAGCCTTTTCCAAAGGTGTCATGGGCTTTGAAGACACTCGAACTCAGGACACAAGGGAGAAATGTGCTACGAGGAAGGCACGATTGGCAAACCCTCACCGTGATCAACTCCTGCCCGGAAACCTATGTCCCCACTGTGGAAAGACGTGTGGATCCAGAATTGGCCTCCACAGTCACTTATGGACTCATTGTTAAAACTGTGGTTATGGAATACAATCTTACTCGGCTACGAGTGATCGCCAAAGAAAGAAGAAGTCGAGCTTGGAAGTAAAACAGAACCCGTTCTGGAAGTCCGTTCGACTTCCAAAACATTCGAAAACCAAATCGTGGCTTCTGATTGGCTGCAGGAAGCTCCTGAAGCCAATCGGAAGCCACAGAAGCCCCGTCGGATGTTCGGCTTCCAAAAATAGTTCCCAAACCGGAACAGTCACTTCCAGGTTTGCAACGTTTGGGAGCCAAAACATTCAGGAACTAAGCTGTTTGACTTTCAAGGTACGGCTGTAATTTCAGGTGCTTAAGGTGGGTAGCACACACCTAATTTTTTAAAAAAATAATAAAGGTACGTACGCTCTTCACAGAGACGCCCCATCCATCCATCTGGGCAAGAACACACATTTGGTCTCTCACAGATGCCGCCATTCTGACACGGGAACCGGCAAATAGCTGGAAAGGGGAGCGGCATCAGGTTAGAGAACGTGGGACAGTGAAAGCAGAGGATGACTACAGAACAGACACATTCCAAACATTCTTGGCAGTAGGTGGTTTCTAGGCAAAGTAGGTTTCCTTACTTGCAAGGATTATCGGGTACAGTGGTACCTAATTTGTTCTGGAGGTCTGTTCTTAACCTGAAACTGTTCTTAACCTGAGGTACCAGGTTAGCTAATGGGGCCTCCTGCTGCTGCCTCCGCACCACTGGAGCATGATTTCTGTTCTCATCCTGAAGCAAAGTTCTTAACTTGAGGTACTATTTCTGGGTTAGCGGAGTCTGTAACCTGAAGCGTCTGTAACCCGAGGTACCACTGTACAGCATACTGGATGAGCACCTTAATTAGTAGCCTTCAGCCACTGAATTAATTTTGTCAGGTCACCCTGTCAGCCTGAGCCCCCACCTGCAACACGGGAATAATATTTTATTTATTTCCTACAGTTAGACCTCGTATTTCCTGCAAGGAGCTCAAAGTGGCACAGTTTGTTTTCCTTTCCCCATTTTATCAACCTGACAGCCCTGTAAGGTAGGCTTGCCAGAGAGAAGGTGACTGTCCCAGGTCAGCCAGTGAGTTCCGTGGCTGAGTGGTTGATTTATACTTTGGTCTCCTATGTGGGATGTCATCCATTGGAACTATCAAATGCAACACTCCTTATTTCCCTAGAGTGGGCACAGGCAGGGGGACATCCAGTCAGTGTAACTTCCTGTTCCACTGGTCTGGAGCATTCTCCCCCTGCATGTGATCTGGGAGATGGGCTGACTCCATAAAAGAGCCAAGTCACACAGCCATTTTCTCAGTCTTGTCTTCTCTCGCTTGCTTGCTGCTCTTTTGCTGCCATTTTGATCTCTTAATGTAATTTTGCTGTCTGCTGGCTCTCAGCTAGCAGCACATGAGCTCAATCTCCATGTGAGATGAACTCACAGATTGTTATGTACCGTAACTACTAAGCAAAGCCTGCCTTTCAGGGATCAAATCTTGAACTGATATGTGAGTAAACTTCTTGTTACTCTTGTGTCTTTATTCTTTTAAGAGGGATAAAAGGGGACACCGGGAATAATCCATCTGGGCAAGCCAGATTGGATTGCTTAACTAAAGAGATTCAAACGAATCTGCAAACTAGCTTCCTGCGATATTGAGGGGAATCTGCAATGCTACACCATCCACTAGTGTGAGTGAAGGTAGGATAATACTTATTCAATATATCCTTTCCTACTATCCTTAACATTCCCACATCCTAGGCCTTAGTCCAACACTCTACCCAGCTGTCACCAACAGGTGCATTCCAGGTGTTGCTGAACTACAACTCTTGTCATCCCTGGACTTAAGCCATGCTGGGAGCCTAACAGCATCAGGAAAGCACCACATTGACTTCTTCACTGGAGGTAATATTGGTCTTGCATTTGCTGAAGCATGCTATAAATATTTATACAGAAGAACATGCAAATGCACTGCTGCCCTCTAGTGGATTCAATGTTTGACCTACTTCAATCTTTTTCAGTAGGTTAATAAAATAAAAAAAATAAATAAAATAAAATATTCTAGACCTGGGACCCACACAGCCAGGTGAACCTCTGTCATCTGGATCCAGTTTCAATTTACAGGTCCACATCCACCCAATTACTGGCTTCAGGAACTTCCTCCCTTGATATTGGTGGAAGAGAGCTGGGCGTCAACAGCCTATTGACGGCACTTCGCTCCAAATCAAAGTGGCTGCTCCTGCAGTGACTTCGTACGCAAATACGAAACAGCATGGGCAACAAGAATGATCCCTGCAGAACCCCACAGAACAGCTCCCATGGGGTGAAGAAGCCACTCAATGCTGCTTTCTGAAACTGCTCTCGGAGATTGAGAGCGGAACCGCTACAAAGCAATGCACCCAGCTCCTAAATTCTGAAAGCAGTCCAGGAGAATCAACAGGGGCACACTCCTCTGAGTTCTCTCCCAACCAAGACCAATGGACTAGGGTGACCAAGGCAGTTTGTGTCTCAAACCAGAAGCTGGACTTGCAATGGGACTAGATGACCGATTCTTTCCAAGCACACCTGAAGCTGTCATGCCACGACCTTCCCAAACACCTTACCAAAGAAGGAGATATTAGCAACTGGTAATTGACAGATATTTCTGGGTCCAGAGATCTCCTCTTGAGGGGATGAACCACTGCCTCTTTTAAATCACCCCTTTCGCGTCAAGGCATGAAATCACCCCCTAGACCCACGCAGTCAACTGACTCTTCAGCTTGCTTTTATTAGCCAAGAAGGACAAGAGTGGGGAATACATGTAGGGGCTGGACCCCATCCATCATCTCCTCCCTGTCATCAGATTGCAGCAATTAAAACTGATCTGACAACATATTGGGCCACATGGTGGTCTGAGTAAAGGTAAAGGGACCCCTGACCATTAGTTCCAGTCATGGCCGACTCTGGGGTTGCGGCGCTCATCTCGCTTTATTGGCCGAGGGAGCCGGCATACAGCTTCCGGGTCATGTGGCCAGCATGACTAAGCCGCTTCTGGCGAACCAGAACAGCACACGGAAATGCCATTTACCTTCCCTCCAGAGCGGTACCTATTTATCTACTTGCACTTTGAAGTGCTTTCGAACTGCTTAGGTGGGCAGGAGCAGGGACCGAGCAATGGGAGCTCACCCCGTTGCGGGGATTTGAACCGCCAACCTTTTGATCGGCAAGTCCCTCTTATCAAACCCATGTGAAGCACAGCGTCTAACGTGGAACGAATTTGAGCACTGTGTCACACTCACAATACCCAGAAAACCTGTCGCAGGGGGTTACATCATTTTGTCTCTTCACGTTACTTAAATACTAATACAGATCTACTAAGTATGTAGAATACTATGATTTTTGTTGTGAGTAATATATTCTGCACTTTCTTGAGTGGGGTCTACAACTGGGAGTGAGCTGCTGAGTACTGTATTGGTTTTTCCCTTGAGGTTACTCCGAGTCACACTGAGTCTTACTGTCATGAATCCACTGGACAACTCCAGAGTTGCCAGAATATGACATGTAATCTGTTCAGAAACGGTCCCAGCTTAAAGTACTCACACTGCATTTTTATTTGTAAGACTCGTATTAATTAATATGTCATTAATTGGGTTAGAATGTATTGATTTTGCAGACCTGGGGCATTTCTTAATACTATTTATTGGTGCTAAAGCCCTACAGGGTTCACGTGAGTCATTGATGCTGACTGCTTTCATGCTGCTTCTGATGTAGGCCCTTCAAAGGATTAGGGGCTGGAGGTCTTTTTGCAATGCAAATAGTCTGCATTATTTATAATACACTTCTTCCTTTCTCTCTGTTTAAAAAATCTCTCTGGGACATGAATCAGGAGAACACAGGACCCTTTCTGCCTTTGGTCCTTTTTTTCTATTACTCATTTTTTGGGTAGAAAGGCGAGGATGAATAATGCACGATATTTAATAGATTAAAGAGTTGCATACAATAAAGCCGGTTGTTATTTCTTTTTGTAGATGCTCAATGTTTGCTGGGGACGGATAATCCCACATCCTCTCAAATTGCTGCATGCAGCTGGATTAGGGCAACGTGCAGGTCAGCATAAGACTGTCATATGTAGACACAAAATTTACACCAGTGCCATCCTTGCTTGTCCTTGCTGTAAAAAAGGTAAAGGTAAAGGACCCCTGGATGGTTAAGTCCAGTCAAAGACGACTATGGGGTGCGGCGCTCATCTCGCTTTTGGGCCGAGAGAGCCAGCATTTGTCCACAGACAGCTTTCTGGGACATGTGGCCAGCAGGACTAAACTGCTTCTGGCACAATGGAACACCGTGACGGAAACCAGAGCGCACAGAAATGCTGTTTACTTTCCCGCCACAGTGATACCTATTTATCTACTTGCACTGGCATGCTTTCGAACTGCTAGGTTGGCAGGAGCTGGGACAGAGCAACAGGAACTCACCCTATTGCAGGGATTTGAACCACTGAGCTTCTGATCAGCAAGCCCAAGAGGCTCAGTGGTTTAGACCACAGCGCCACCCACATCCAAGAATACCCACGCACTCACTAGCCAAGCCGGTGGTTGGCATGGGATGGTTGGGGTTGGGGTGGGAGGGAAGGAAACAGAATTCTGGAAGTTCACCCCACGCCCCCAATGTTTGAGAAACACAGAGCCGAAATGTAATGGTGATTTCCAGAACTGTCCTGACAAAACTGGGATAGTTTTATGGGAAATGTGAAACAGATACATCTTCATTCCACCTCCCTTGCAACGTCCAGTGGAAGACAAGTGGTAACATCACAGCACCAGGCTGTGTGTTATTTGCCAACACCCTGCCAGCCAATTCTGCAAGGCAGGGCAGAGCAAACCTTAAGAACGATGATGTCGGATAGCGTGCTGCTTTGTATTTAACCTAGATATCTGTTGGGGGTTGGGTGGTGGCAACTCCACACCTCCCAGTTTGAGAAGCCCCGCAGCTAAACTGAGGGAGGAGTTTATTCTATTATTGCTACCTTTATCATTATTACCTCAAGGTGGCATTTATGGTCCTCCACCTCCCCATTTTAATTATTATGTTCATTATTTTTCATTATGTTTTCTCACAGAGTGACCCAAAGCAACTTACATCAAAAGCAACTGAGGACAACCAAGTAAGAACCTAAAAGCAGCAGTAATGGCAATAGGAAAAGAAAAGATTAAAAAAAGATGTGTGTGTTGTTGTTTTTTAAAAACCTTTAAATTTAAAAACCTGTTTCCTGAAAGATGTTGTCTCTAAATTCAGCACAGCAAAACCATGACCATATTAGAAGCAGCATCTCCACCCTCATAGTTCAGCCCGGACACTGAGGTCCAGCTCCGAGGGTCTTCTGGCGGTTCCCTCACTGTGAGAATTGAGGTTACCGGGAACCAGGCAGAGGGCCTTCTTGGTGGTGGCGCCCGCCCTGTGGAACACCCTCCCATCAGATGTCAAGGAAATAAACAACTATCTGACTTTTAGAAGATGTCTGAAGGTAGCCCTGTTTAGGGAAGTTTTTAATGTTTGGTGTTTTTAATAATCTGTTGGGAACCTCCCAGAGTGGCTGGGGAAACCCAGGCAGATGGGTGGGGTATAAATAATAAAATGTTTATTATTATATTATATCGACAGTGCTTCTTTAGCGGTAAACACTGGGGAAACCTCTGGGAAATTCTTTTTAGAGGGCAGCTATCATACAATTGCTAGGGAATGTGGCAGGATGAGCCTCTGGCACAGCTGTTATGGCAAAGGCCTATTTACCTCTACAGGCTGGTGGTGTTGTCCAGGTTGCGTTCTCTAAACAAACGCTTCGTAGGGAGCCTTCCAGCATGTACCCGCTGTAGCACGAGTATGTCACCACATCTCCGTACTGATAAAACGTTCCCCGAACCAAAGCATTTGCTACGTGAGCCGGTGGTCCACAAGATATCTCTAAAGAGACACAACAACGAAACTGAGATTTAAATGGTAAAGCACATCACGATTTGACTCTGAAAAGACTATTCAGGGAGCTGGGAGGGAATTAGTCTGAATATCACATTTGACTTCAGAATTTATGGATATGCAAGGATGCCTGACTTCCAGGTACATGGTTGTTTGCATACCGAATTGGTTGGCAGGCTGGGGCTCCTTATACCTTCCCATATGGTCCCTCCCAGCTGCTGGCCAAATCTGAAAGGTGGGTGGGGCTGTCCACTTGTCAATCAGCTGGCGTAAGGACACATGGCACTTTGAAGCCCCAACAGCCAAGGAGATCATTGGGCCTTCAAAGCACCGGGTCCTCCCTCCATTTGCATTCTCTGGGGGCAGGGTCAAGTGGGGGCCCCCAGGCACAGCACAGAGCTGTGAGGGGGTGCATACATGGGAGTGCCTTGTTGTACCCTTTCAAAATCTTGCGCCTGGGGCCATGGCCCCCCTGACCCCCACACTACGCCCCTGCCCCCCATTACATTTACATAATACCCAAAATATGAATCTCAGCTTTCACAGGCAGAAGACTAGGCATGATTTCAAGGCATGTCCAACTCTCTCAGACTGACACCGATTGATATGACAATCAGCACTTTTACCTGAATGTGAATTAATGCAGACTTGCCTATAAAATCTCTTTGTCGACTTGGTTTTGTGTTCTAGCTTCACTGGAGAGAGGAGCTTAATGTTGAAAGCTATTCTTAATAAAAACAAAAGTCGCTTTTCATTATTATTATATTACTTACTTTCACATTTAGCTCTAGTCGGAGTCCATGCCTCATCAGAATTACAGGTTATGACAGATGGCCCTCGAAGCTGATAGCCCTCTCGGCATTTGATAAATACCTTTTGCCCGACATAAAAAGTTGTCTCCGATAGGAGGGCATTTTCTGGGATTATGAATGGCACAGGGCACGGATTTGCTGTTAACCGTAGGAAGAGGGGGGAAATGCAGATAGTAAACAAACCTGACATATCCTTACTTAGTTAAATTATGCTACCACTGAAAAATAGGCTTATTTATACAGTATTTAGTCCACAACAAAAGCTGTAACCTGTTCATTTAGGCATTCTGTCCATTATTTTAAGTGTATGTGTAACAGTGTGGTACTTATCCATACATATACATCAACAAGAAATGGATCTCACCCTCTCTACTAATGGTGGCATGGAAGTCACCAAACAGAGATAGCAATGAAAGCAATAAAAGTGAAAAATGTAGGAGTCAAATTTAACATGTCTGGTTACTCTGCCGCCATCCTCACAGTCTGGAAGTCACATTTTCCTCAGATCTATTTAAAAGCACCCTAGTTGTGACTGTAATTTGTTTTAAACTGTTTTCAGTCTTGTATTTTGCATTGTTGTGAACAGCCCCTGGGACATTGTGGTGAAGCGTGGGTAATAAATATCATCCTCATGGATCTCTCAGTTATCATGTGTGGTTCAGACCACATACCTGGAAGGCTCAAAACACCTTTGCTGCACTATGAAATCCAACCTTTTCTAAGGAGAATGGAATGATGGTTGTGGAAAGGTTATGCCACAATGATCAGGAACATCAGAGCCATAAAATGCAGGGGATTAGATGTAGTTTAGACTACATGATACGGTGCCTAGCCTGAACATCTGTACCTAAATTCAAATATGTAGTCTTTAATGTGGTAAATAGAAGCTAAGGTAAAGGACCCCTGGATTGTTAAGTCCAGTCAAAGGCGACTATGGGATTGGGGCACTCATCTCGCTTCAGGCAGAGGGAGCCGGTGTTTGCCTGCAGACAGCTTTCTGGGTCATGTGGCCAGCAGGACTAAACCGCTTCTGGTGCAACGGGACACCGTGACGGAAACCAGAGCGCACAGAAACGCTGTTTACCTTCTCGTCACAGCGGTACCTATTTATCTACTTGCACTGGTGTGCTTTTGAACTGCTAGGTTGGCAGGAGCTGGGACAGAGCAGTGGGAGCTCACTCCGAAGCGGGGATTCAAACCACTGACCTGCTGATCAACAAGCCCAAGAGGCTCAGTGGTTTAGACCACAGCGCCACCCGCATCCCTTTTAATGTGGCTGAATTCTTTCAAGAGAATGTAGAACATAGCTAGTTATTTTTGGTGGGCAAACCTTGATAAACTTCACTGACGGCGAAAAGGCATACTCCAAATCAGAAGTACTTTGTTTTTTAAATCAGACTTCACAGCTTTTGCATGATACAAAGTAAAGCTAGTTTCCATTATTGAGAAATGAACATACGTCTGCACTGAGGTATAGGATGGCTCCACGTTCCTGCTTCTGTGCACTCTGCAATGGGCTCCCCTTCTAAGCTGTACCCTCGGTTGCAATAATACGCAGCCCTGCTGCCAACTGTGTTGTTTTCATAGAGAGCATTCCCATTCTCAATGAATTCCGGATCTTCACATCTGGTTTCTAAACAATGGTAAGTTAATTAGGACAATTGTTTCTTTGCAGCAAATCGTTTTAACAAGAGAAGCATCAGAAGAGCAACGAGTGTCTATTAGGGCTCCCCAACACCCCTCTGAAGATGTGGATTTCTGTGAAGACAATCTGGACCTCTCATTCGTTTGGCATAAGAGGACAGTGTATAAACAGACCGCCAGTGTCCCCAGCCACAAGAAAACTAGCAGGACACTCACAAATGCAAAACACAACCCAAAAATCACCTTTGCAGGACGGAAAGGGTTTACTCCAGGTTCCATTGGCCAAGCAGGTGATGTTTTCGGGTCCAAGCAAGTGATATCCAAAATTGCATACAAAGGATATGTTGCTTCTGTAGTATGTTTTCTCTATGACTACAGGCAATGCATTTTCCACTCTTGGAGGTGGTTCACATCTTATGCCTGCAAGAGAAAAGAAGCTTGTGGTCAGTGAAGAAAGAGCTTAATCGTGAGCGTGGGCTTGAACGATATGGTAAGCAAAACCTTGGCTTGGCTTAGCATGGTGTGGAAGCCCTCTCTGAGAGACCACGTGTTCTTACAGTCCCAGTAAGTCATAGTTCATTTTTGTTATGTACTGAAGTTCTCACCCTGGGCCAGCAGGGGGATATTGTAGATAGTTCAGGTCCACATATGCAAATAAGGGATCGAAAGTGACATTCAGTGATTGGATAGTTACAGAAAGTTGTTACAGTTACGTTCTAGTGGAGCTCTATATAAGCAGGCTGGCTGAACCCTTCAGTTCAGTTCTGTTCTGGCCTGTGAATAAACAAGAGCTGTTTGAAGAATCGCTGTGTCGTCTGATATGTTTACCCACAACTTAACAGTTTTACTGTGTTGTGCAAACCAGGTCATGGTCTAATGCCTAACAGCAGCAAATGGTTCTGTAGGGAAAGTGGACACAGGGAGGTTTTCCTTCCTCTTTTATAACACTAGAACTTGGGGAACATTGAATAAAGCTATGAAGATTCAAGACAGAAAGAAGGAAACACGTTTCTACACACAACATGGAATTTACTTCCATGGGAGGCAGTGATGGCCAATGACAGGTCCAGTGTGGCTCATCTTATGTTCAGGTGATTCTAGGTTTTTTTAAAAAATGATTTTGGTTTCTGATACAGGTTTTTTGGTACACATATGTGTTTTACCTACCAGTGGGTTTTGTTGTTTTTATTGTTGTGCATTGCTCTGGGCTCCCTTTTGGAAGAAGGGCAATTCATGGCTTCAATAAACAATAAATATAACACTAGGACAAATAAAACAATAAAATTGTCCAATAAAATTTTATTGGACAATAATAACAATAAGAAGTAAAATATACAAGGTGACCAATGTAATAAACAGTAGGTGTAAATGAAAATAGACAGACAACAAGAATCATATGTATAGAAGGATTTATTTGTTTACAGATATTTTATAGACAAATGTGGAAGAATAACAATATAAAAAACGCATAAGGAAAATGTGAAAAATTTAGAGACGATATAAAAAAGGCAGAAGAAAGAAGGAGGGAAGTCAGCTCCTAGGAGCAAATATAAATGTAAAATGTAATGCAGTATGTATATGTACAGTATGTAATTAAAAAAAAATAAAGATTAAAAGGACTAATAAAAAAATTCTGGGGGGGAAACTAAGACACCCATTCTTTCCTCTCCCTTGTTACATGACCACCAACATAGCTTTGCCTGTGGCAACTACAGGAAGGAGAAGGCTTTGCGTTTCTACTGAAATTTACCTAATGTGGTATACCTCTCACTTGAAGAACTTTTGTCAACTGACACTGATATTTACTTACTCACACACGTAGGGGCCGAGGGGCTCCACTTCTTGTTAACATGGCAAATCCTTCGAGCTGGCCCCTGTAGCTCAAATCCCTGATCGCAGTTGTAGAGAACTTCATCTCCAAGCACAAAATCTTTGCCGATAATGGATCCATTATCTATTGGTTCAGGGGGCCCACAGGATATCTCTGAATGAAAACACACAGGTGATCTTTTCAGTAAAGCGTGCACACACAGTACAGTGGTGCCCCGCAAGACGAATGCCTCGCAAGACGGAAAACCCGCTAGACGAAAGGGTTTTCCGTTTTGGAGGTGCTTCGCAAAACGAATTTCCTATGTGCTTGCTTCGCAAGACGAAAATGTCTTGCGAGTTCCTGCGGGGTTTTTTTCCTCCCCCCCTTTTCCCAAGCCGCTAAACCGCTTATCAGCTGATCGGCTAAGTCGCTTAACAGCTGATCGCTAAGCCGCTTATCAGCTGATCGTTAAGCCGCTTAACAGCTGATCGCTAAGCCGCTTATCAGCTGATCGTTAAGCCGCTTAACAGCTGATCGCTAAGCCGCTTATCAGCTGAACCGCTAAGCCCGCTAAGCCACTAATACTGTAGCGCTAATCCGCTAAACCGCTAATGGGCTTGCTTCGCAAGACGAAAAAACCCGCAAGACGAAGAGACTCGCGGAACGGATTCTTTTCGTCTTGCGAGGCACCACTGTACAGTGGTACCTTGGAAGTTGAACGGAATCTCTTCCGGAAGTCTGTTCAACTTCCAAAATGTTTGGAAACTAAGGCGCGGCTTCCAATTGGCTGCAGGAAGCTCCTGCAGCCAATTGGAACCTGCGGAACTCGTGTTGGACGTTTGGGTTTCAAAGAACGTTTGCAAACCGGAACACTCCCTTCTAGGTTTGCGGCGTTCAGGAGCCAAAACTTTAGACTTGCAAGGTGTTTGAGATCCAAGGTACGACTGCACTTAGCTTTGTTTACTTTGCTGATATGGATGAGTTTGCAGATGTTTAATTACTAGGAAAATGTGTGTGTGTGGGGGGGGGAGCATCTCAGAATCTCTGCAAAGGACCCAAACAGACTCTGCATTCAAAGTAAGGGTCAGATGCATTTCAAATGAAATTTGAAAGCAACTGAGCTACACTGGCAAAAGCAACATAACATATTCCAATATTGCACCCTGGGGAGGAGGGGAAGTCATGTTCAAATTAAGCCTGACATATAATAAAATTAATGCATAGCTTACTTCTGCAGACTGGTGTTGCTCCACTCCAGAGTTTATCCGCTCCACAAATACGCTCTGCATCACCCTATCGGGTAAAAGAATAATTCAAAAAAGAGCACAAAATATCCTATTCTCACAGGAAATCTGATATTGGACGGAGGAATCTTAGACCAGCAGATCTTTGGGCAAGGTTCACCAGCTAATTGTAGCAGATTCTCCTCTACAACTGAAGCCCCGTATAACAAAGCCCACACAGAGGGGCCCAACCTCTGGAGCTGAGAGGAGGAGGGGGGGGGAAGGATAAAACTGATTGCGCAAGCTATCTCCTGCATGCACAACTACTGGGTACAACCCAAGGAATAACGGAAGTAGAAAAGCATTATCAAAGAAATATGAAAGCATTCTCTCATAAGTCTGTGGGGGAGAGCTGGGTTGGCAACTTGAATAAAATATTTGAGGGGATGGGGATGGGGTCCCACACAACCAATCAATGGGGACTGGAGAGGATTGGTACCCCAGACAAAGCTCAATGAAGATTAAGCAATGGTCACGAAACGTCAAGTACGGGAGTTCCCTGTCTCCCTTCCGGTGGCTCACCGATAAGAATTAACGAGCATTTGGTAGATTTATAGTCTTTTTATTACAGCATTCTGTTACAAGCACAAATAGGCAACCCTCCGTAAGGATATTAGTTGCCTACTCTGACTCCTCCCCACTTCTGCAGCAAGAAGCGTTCCAATGGGAAGTTCCTCTCCCCCCATGTCTTCTTTGTTCTCTGACACACTCGGACCTCCAAGTTCAGGGGGAGGGAGGGGGTTCTCCTCCACTCTTGATTGATGTATCGCCCAGCTGCTCCCTCCCTTCTGGTTGCTTAGCTACTATCTCATAGCTGAGTAGCACCTCTCTCAGCTGAGCAGCTTCTGTGTCTGCCTGTCTCCTGGAGCTGCTTTTCCCGCGACTGCATTCCCCAATCTTCTGATCTAGCCCAGCCCCTGACATGGAATGCCAAGTGAGTATTGTGAGGTGGTGGAGGAAAAGGAAATGGAGTATCTGGGGAGGTTTTTTTCGCTGGCTAAAGTCATGAACGGGAACACTTTGAAAAGCCACATTTTGTTGCAGGTCCCACTTGTGTCATTAAAACTGATCAGATTTTTAAAAAGCGCTTTTTCTCATTTTCCTTCCTGATACTATTGTGTTCATCTTTGGCCACTGAGTTCCACTGCGTTTTACCATTTTAATGTTATTGTGAAATATTTGGGAATTTGCTTACACAAGGGCAGCATACAAACATTTTAAATAATAAATAAACAAATACTCTCCCCTCCCAAGGTATTGTGTTATTACAGGGGTCAGCAAATTTTTTCAGCAGGGGGCCAGTCCACTGTCCCTCAGATCTTGTGGGGAGCCGGACTATATATATATATATATATATATATATATATTCGGGGGAAAATGAACAAATTCCTATGCCCCACAAATAACCCAGAGATGCATTTTAAATAAAAGCACACATTCTGCTTATGTAAAAACACCAGGCAGGCCCCACAAATCACCCAGAGGTTCATTTTAAATAAAAGGACTCAATCTACTCATGTAAAAACACGCTGATTTCCGGAGCGTCCGCGGGCCGGATTTAGAAGGCAATTGGGCTGGATCCGGCCTCTGGGCCTTAGTTTGCCTACCCATGTGTTATTATTATGAACAACAAATATACAGGCTGAAAAATTCTTACCCAGCCTTCTTCCTGGTGTGCTACTTTCCTACTTTCAGGTTTGTTTTGTTTTTGTACAGCAAGAGAGTCAAAAATACGATTTGCTGCCTGCAATTTGAAGTGCTACAGCTCTCTCATCTCTGAACTACTAGTTTATTTGCTCCTCATTGTGGATCTGGAGATCCAGATCCTCATGGAGATCCAGCTACAGTTCCTGTCTTAACAGATGCAGACCTACAACTAAAGCTTCACAAGCAATCATCCCAACTTGGATCCACTTTCTGGTGTACCAGTTTGAAAGGTGCATTGGACGTATAGTTTTGTGACTTAATTCTTTTGAGAATGGCTTTGCCAACTCCCGTGGTTTAATGAGTGGCAAATAAGCTGCACATCATAAGCGATGCAGCACACCTGTATTTTATTCTCAAGTGCAAATGATGGGTGTGAGAAGCTTTTCCCAATAAAAGGACACATTGATTTTAACCTAGCATGCCATCTACTGGGCAACATGCTAACCAACAGAATGAAGAAAAGATTGAATGGACTTACTTCCAACTCATAACCAGAACTGCATTGATAAAGAACCATGTCTTTGTAACTGTATCTGTTGCCAATCATTATTCCATGTTCCGGAGCCTCAGGCTTTCCACAGGAAACAGGAGCACAGATCTCGCTTGAAAATAATGGCATCCAGTTACCGTTATTCTAAAAAGAGGGGGGAAAGTATCTCCATGGCTTGCTAAGCAACACAGAAGCAACAAATTTCTTTTTTCTTTTCACAAGATATATAAAGTGTAAACAGCCTAGCAGCATATAAGTTTGATATGCAGAGTTTAAGAAATGACTGGACTGAAGAATTGGGACGTTCACGATTACCTAGACCAGGGTTTCCCAAACTTGGGTCTCTAGCTGTTTTTGGACTACAACTCCCATCATCCCTAGCTAGCAGGACCAGCAGTCAGGGATGATGGGCTTTTTAGAATGGTGTCAGGGGTATGGCACATCCTGTGCTTTTATAGATTGCAACTTGCACTTTTTGGAATTGAGAAAAGTCGTAAGCAAAAGATCTGACAACTAGCAGAAAGTTGTTTATTCATGCAGAAAGCATTATTTGGATCAAGAAATGTTGAGCAGACATTATTTAGCAGCATGAATTTCTTCCAAATTGCTAAATAGCATTTTTTATTCTAAATATTCCAAATTTTGTAGACATAGTTCCATGGCAAATGACAACAATGCAACCATTGCTTTAAAATCAAGTCATTTAACAGTTTCCAGGAACTATATTAATCAAAATGTATCTAGAAAAACAAAAGGATAATACTCCACGACCTAATAGGAGCAAGTCCACGCTTCTCTAAGGAGGATAATTTGACACAATTCTCATATGTTAAGTTTTATTGAGGGGGCATGGAATGCCCCGCCTTTCAAATAACAGTATTAACTTCCTCTAAATTTAACACTGAGGGTGCAATCCTAACACAGTGTTACCTCAGGTTAAGTACTTAATTCATTCCGGAGGTCTGTTCTTAACCTGAAACTGTTCTTAACCTGAAGAACCACTTTAGCTAATGGGGCCTCCTGCTGCAGTTGCACCGCTGCTGTGCGATTTCTGTTCTCATCCTGAAGCAAAGCAAAATTTCTGGGTTAGCGGAGTCTGTAACCTGAAGCGTATGTAACCTGAGGTACCACTGTATACACACTTCCCTGAGAATAACTCCCATTCATTGCACTGGGACTTATTTCCGAGTAGGCATGCATAGGATTGTGCTGCCAGTCTGGAATGGTGCTGTTATAAAAAGGTTACGAGGGAGGATTATTTTCAGATCAATATTTTTTAAAACAGCAATGCAGTTCAGTTTTCATTTAGCAGAATAAAAACATGGTGAATTACCATAAGATTATTATTATTTTGCTCTTCAGGAATGAGTTCAGTAGGCACAGATATATGACTATTAAAACAAGGATTAAAACAGAGCAAAAGTGAGATAAACCTTTACCTGGCATGTGGAAGTGTTTGCTCCATTCAGAAGATAGCCTTCTTGGCATGATAAGGTAATGCTCTGGTTCACAGTGAACTCATCACCAGAAATAATTACATTGGTTGTATTTGTTGGCAGGGAGCATTTTCTGGGGCAACAGGAAATACTATTAGGGGACCAGTGCCCATCTTCCTGACAGGTACAGGTATCCATTTCTGTCTCCATCACATAACCCTCCAGACATCTGCAACATGTAAGTCACACTGGGGTCACCAGTAATAGGTACATATTGCATGCTCTGAACTGCTGAAGTAAATCCTAAGGTACATATGTTAGCTGTCTGTGATAAAATAAGACTCCTTACACGCGACTTGAAGATAAAGATTTACTTGTCAGGTTGGCAACAGCTGAACAACAAATATTATTCGCATACCTATTAATGAACACAATGCATTTCACTCCCTTGAGCCCAAGAGAGGGTTTAATCCGTTTTTGTTTTCAAAGCTCCTTCATAGCAGTGCACAAGTTATTAATCCATGGCTTGCCCGCCTTCACAAACTTTTCCAGACAGTACCTGCATGAAGCCACCTTCTCAAATAATCAATTAACAGAATGACCAACCAACTCCCAACTGCCACCTCCTTTCCCCAATACCGTTTGTTCTTTGTGAAATACATTTACAATGCAAACACAAAACAAGCATCTGTTGGGGATGTCTGGGTCTGATGACTTAACAAATCCTACTTCTTGTAAGGGGAGAAAGGAAGCTTGCCATAAAACAACCCGAGCAGGGTTTAAGGAGATGGAGAGGTGATTCAGAGAGCAGTTTGAAAGCCGTTCTCTGAAGTGCCTCCTCATCTCCATTAACCAGTGGTGTTAAAACCCATTAAAAGGTGGGCTGAGCTGTGATGGGGAGGAGCTTAAGGTTAGTTGGGAGTGGAATGGGAGGTTGGAGTGAGCTGTGAGGGGATGGGTGAGGTGTAAACAGAGGAGGGTTTGGGTCAGGTATAAAGGGAGATTGGTTGGTATGGGGGAAGCAGGGTTAGCAGGTAGGCAGAGCAAACAGGAATGGCAACCTCAAGTTATGTATGTATGCATGTATGCATGTATGTATATATGTATGTATGTATGTATGTATGTATGTATGTGATGCTAGGCATTCTAAGGCAGACTAGGGCTGGTAAATAGAGCGGTACCTTGGTTTAAGAACAGCTTAGTTTATGAACAACTTGGATTAAGAACTCTGTAAACCCGGAAGTAGGTGTTTTGGTTTGTGAACTTTGCCTTGGAAGCAGGACATGTTCCGCTTCCTGTTGAGTGTGTTCCATTTGTAAATTGAGTCCCCTGCTGCTATGAGAAAGCACGCCTTGGTTTAAGAATGCTTTGGTTTAAGAACAGACTTCCGGAACGCAATAAGTTCGTAAACCAAGGTACCATTATATATTGATGTATCGTCCAAAGCCAGTTGGAAGTCCATATTGTGATATCGGTTTCATAATTTTTGACCTGGCAACATATCACCAATTGTGTTTGTGTGCTATGCAAAAACAATGATTGTGGGGAAAACAGTGAAGCCAGCCAAGGCTTCTCTATATTTCTGTACTCCTTGTTAACTCTGCTGGTTCACCTCTCCCCTGCCTCTTGCAAGGGGCAGTGAATCAAAAGAGCAGGCTCTGGCAAAAACCAGGATTCTGGAAAAACCATGAAGCCAGCCAGTGACTCTACATAGTTCCCTCCTTATTTCAGACATCATGATTTATTGGTAAGTCGTGATGCTTTTGCTGGTGATATTTCACGATGCTGGAAACCAGGTATCGCCCAGGCCTAAGACTCTTAGACTGGCATGTGAACTCTTCTTACCTGTACTGGACTTTGCTCCCATAGGCTTGCGACTCTCCAACGGCAACTGCGTGAAGGACAGAAGGTGGTGGCCCGCAAGTCAGTAAGGTGCAACTTGGATACGGCTTGCTCCAGGCTCCTGTTTCCGTGCACGTCAATTCCGATCTCCCTTGCATCACGTAGCCCAGTTCGCAATTATAAACGATGGCATTCTGGTCTACAGAGCTGCTCCCGTTGATGAATGCGTTGGGGATCGTTGGCGGGGGGCCGCACGAGATCTGCCCGCAGTGCGGAAAGCCAGAACTCCATCTGCCGGCAGCTTCGCACGTGATTTCTGTGGGTCCTAGCAGCTTGAAACCTTCCAGGCACTGAAACTCTACCCTCTGGCCACAGCTGAAATGGTTGCCTACAACTTCCCCGTTCTGAATCACGGGCACAGGGCATTCGCAAGGCACGCAAGAGGGGGCTGTTCCATTCCACATCCCATTAGCCATACACTGCCTCACTGGGTTCCCCTGTAACTCATAGCCAGGAAAGCAGATGTACTTTATATATTTCCCATAAGTGAAGACCGAGCCGTTCAGAAAGCCGTGAGAGATGTCCTCAGGAGGCCCACAGCTGACAGACTCACAGAAAGGAGGCTCTCTATCCCAGTTACCGTCAGCCTGACAGATACGTATTGATGCACCACGCAATACATACCCTTCATCACAGCGATGCTCAATTTTCTTCCCAAAGCCAAATTCCGACCCACTAGTCTGCCCGTGATGAAGCACCGGTGGTTCGGCACATTGGATCATCCTGCAAAACGGAGATCTCCCGCTCCATCGTCCGTCTGCAAGGCAGACTCTCCTCTCATCCCCTTCCAGGACGAAACCTTCTTTGCAGCTGTACTCGATATGTTTTTGGAACGTATATTCCTCTCCTAGCACTTGGCCGTTCTCTAGATTAGGGATTTGGCCGCAGGAAATGGGAAGGCAGATCGGCTCATCCCCATCCCAATTCTGATCGGCCTGGCATGTTCTCTTACCTGGACCATTTAATTGAAACCCAGGGTCACACTCATAGTGGACCACGCTCCCGTAAGTGCGACCTTCCCCTCTTATTGTGCCATTCATGGGCCTGCTAAGCCCCGTGCATGATACTACTTTGCAAGTCGGGGCTTCGCCACTCCATTGCCCATTGGGCAGACAAAGCCTCGTTTCTGAGCCCATCAGCTTATACCCTGGTTTGCAGGTATACTTCACTGAACTACCAAGCGTGTTCTCTGTAAAATTCGCGAAGCCGTTTTCCGGGTGCGGCAGCAATTCGCACCGGCTGGAGATGCAGACAGGGGCACTGCCGTTCCACATGCCATCCTCTTGGCAAGCCAGCTTGGAATTCCCTAAGAGTTCGTAGCCAGGGTAGCAGCTATACAACACCATAGTCCCATATAAGTACCCTGACAACGGCAGCGTGTTAATGGCCTTTGAATAACTTTGCATGTCTTTCTGGTTATCAAGTATTAGGGAGTAAAAAGGTGGGCTGGCAGTAGGGAACCCCTCTTCAACCCCTCCTCCATGGTCAAAAAGCTTTTCATTGCTGCTAATTGTTATATACCCCCCGAAATCTATATGGGGAGGAAGGCCACAATCGGTCGGCAGGCATACTGGGCTAACACTAGACCAACCAGACTCTTCACAAGTCTGCATGGCAAGACCTGAGAGCTGAAATCCTGGCATACAGCTGTATATCACCATAGCACCATAGCTGTAATCTGCACCTTCGACAAAGCCATTCTCAATGGGCTGCGGAGGATCGCAGTTGATAGCTCTGCAAGAGGGAATTTCTGCATCCCACTCCCTTGTCTCCAGGCAGCTCAGGACACTTTCCCCTTCAAGCTGGAATCCTCTGTCACATGAGTAGGTAACTGTCTGCCTGTAGTGCAGGTCAACGTACGAATATCGGCCATTCTGAATCTCCCTGGGCTTGGAACACTCAATGGGCTTGCAAGTTGGCTTCCTTCCAAGCCAGTGGCCGTCCTCCCCGCAGAGTATGGTCATGTTCCCCACTAGCTCAAAGCCTGGTTTGCAATTATACAGGGCAGTGCTGAGGTAGGTAAGGCCTTGGACGTCTACAATGCCGTTCTGAACTTCCGCCGGCTGTGGGCACTCCACTGGAATGCATTCCGGCAGTGGGGTGCTCCATGTACCGTCAGCTTGGCAGCTGATGGTCGAAACACCTTTCAGCAAAAACCCATCCATGCACGTGTAGCTCACGGTGCTGCCAAAATGAAGGGAAGACACCACGGAGTCCGAAAAGGGGATATAAGGCGGCCGAGGGCACAGTACGGCTTGGCAGACAGGGAAAGAATCGTTCCACTGTTGTGATGTCAAACATTTCAATACGGAGGCACCGTGCAAAGCGAAACCCTCTTTGCATGAAAAGTGGACCACACCTACTTGGCCAGCCATCTCCTTCATGACCAGCTGATTCTCAATTAGCGGGGGCTCGGAGCACTTTGCCGGGACGCATTTGGGGTTTTGTTTTTGGTTCCACACCCCAGAGTTCTGACAAGTCCAGGAGGCATCTCCGATCAGCTCGTAGCCTTCGTCGCAGAAGAACCTGACTTTTGCTCCCACTTCAAAACTTTCTCCCTTGCTGAAGCCATGCCGGAGAGAAGGTGGTTTTGCACAAGTGACAAGGGTGCAGGAAGGAAGGGTTTCACTCTGCCACTGGCGGTTAGCTTGGCAAGTGAATGTTGCACTTCCATTCAGTTGATAACCAGCATTGCACCGAAATCTCACTTCGCTCCCAAAGGAACGCCCTGTTGCAACCTGTAAAACAGACCAGAACAAACTTTAGGGCTTATAAAACGTCACACACCTAGCAGATAAACCCTGACTTCTGACAGTTCATAAATGTTAAGGCATTGATTCCAAGAACAATTGATACCATTCCCACTCTCTCCTCCCCCCCTTAAAGAGTTAAAGATTGTCACAAATTCCAGTCTTTCTCTGTGCAACTGAGGTGGTGCATTAGCTGTGAGGCCAGTTTCATAGGACCGGATGAAACAAAAACTCCAAAAATTTAATGTTGAAAGACATTATTATCAACAAAACACAAACTCAAGGTGAAATAAATGTGCCTGTACATCTGAACAGGTTTTGGTACCTCTTTCAGCATTTTTATGGATGATGAATGGGGGAAAAAAGTGATATTGGATACATCTTTTGGTTATCCCTACAAATCTGCCCACCATCTGTACAGAAAAACATACCAGAAAACTCAGCCAGCGAAATGTTTTCTGGTTTTCTTAGTGTCCTGTTTAAAAGCACTTCACTTACTGGATTAAGTTGCACATATCTGATTTTTAGAAGTTTGATTCAGAGACTAATGCATTTCCATAACTACCTTAAACAAAAACTCTGCTTTTAATTATTTTTTCCAAGTTCATTGGCCTGGACTTTTAAACTACTGAACCTTCCAGTTGCTAATGCTGTCTATGCTCAAGGCCTTAGCAGTACCTCAATAACTCCATTTGCAAGTTTGGGTGGTTCTCCACAGGACACTGGGTGACAGGTGGGCATAGCAGCACTCCAGGTTCCAGTTGCCTCGCATGTCCTCTTCTTCTCTCCTTTGATATAGTACCCTTTAGTGCAGCTGTAAGCCACGATGGCCCCAAAACTGTAATTTGTGCCGATTGCATAACCGTTTTTAATGCCTGCTGGTTCTCCACAGCGAACAGGAATGCACTGGATAGTCAACGGAGAAGGGCTCCATTGCCCTCCCCGAACACATTCAATCTTAGCGGACGTGTTTAAGACAAAGCCCTCTGTGCACTTGAAGCTCACAACAGACCCGGCTGCAAATTTGGCCTTGTTTGACGATTCCAAGATGCTGTAGGGCGCAGGCAGCGGTCTCTCGCAGAAGTCGGCGATACATTCCGGAACGTCTTTGTCATCCGGCGGCACCCACTTTCCCTGGGCATTGCAGAGCAACTGGGCATTGCCAGCTAAACTGTACCCATCAGTGCAGTAGTAGATCGCTATATCGCCGAAGAGACGATGGCCGCTTTCTGGAGAGGCATGTTCCACAGGCGGAGGCTCATCGCATGAAACGGCCACACATTGCTGGTGATTCAGGTCCCATTTGCCGCTCGCCAAGCATTCCACAGTTTCAGTGCCAATTAATGTGTAGCTGTGGAATGGAAAGGAAAAGCAACATTAGACTCATAATAGAACGGACTTCTAACGTCATACAGTGGTACCTTGGTTCTTGAAAGGCTTGGCTCCTGAACAAATCGGCTCCTGAATACTGCAAACCTAGAAGTAAGTGTTCTGCTTTGCGAACATTTTTCGGTAGCCAAACGTCCGACGTGGCTTCTGCTTGAGTGCAGGAAGCTCCTGCAGCCAATCGGAAGCTGCGCCTTGGTTTTCGAATGGTTGAACAGACTCCCGGAATGGATTAAGTTTGAGAACCAAGGTACTACTGTAAAAGTTTCAAAATGTACTTAATTTTTTTTTGGGGGGGGGTCAAGTTTCCATGGGAAAGTTTTATTCTCAGAAAGAACAGGTATAAGTGATTAAAATGAATTAGAATATACCTTTTCTGTAAACCTTGGAAACTAGTGGAGGAGTAAATCACTGTCAAATTCCACTGATTTCAACAGGAGAGTTATTTTAAATTGCCGGGCCTTAAAAGTGTTAAACTTTGGAGCCGCAGATAAAAACAAGTCACAGCTATGAAAGTGTTTTGGCATGCCTGCGATTATTTCTTTCCTAGATATATTTTCTTGGATGCAATTCACTGGCGGTGCTGGGGCTCCTCCTACTGATGGGTGCAATCTTTTGCCCCCCTATCAAGTAGTTATGACACTGCTAGCTCTAAAACAAATAATTCAGGGAGCTTTGAACAAAAGGTTCCGTTGAGCTAACACATCTTTGAGACCAAAAGGTGGATGCTCTTTTTCAGCTCAAACATTCCTTTCTGGGCAAGCATCCAGGAACCACTTGCCAGTGTTACGGGGGCAGAGACTGAGGTGGACAGAGCAATGAATATAAATCTTCCCTTTGCACAGTAGGCAATTTTCTACACACTCTCACACATCCCTCTCTATCCAGACAAGCATCAGAGTTGAAGGACACTTCTCAGCCAGGCAAGCACATTTGGGGTGCAAATTCTCCCCTGGTCTCCTTGCTGGCCCAAGTAGGACCAATTCAGCCAGCCAGCCCTGGGGATTATCTAATGTTTTCATTTCCCCTAAATTGATTTTTGAATTTTATTGTTATTCATGTTTTTATACTGTATTTTATGCTGCTTTTATAATTAAGTGTTTTAAATTTGTTGTTAGCTGCCCTGAACCGGGAAGGGCGGGGTATAAATAAATTATTATTATTATATTTCATCCAGCAGAGCTTTACTGCTACTGAAGGCAAGTGAGCATAATGGTCACAAATCCAATACACTCAGGATTGGCGCTGTCCATAAGAAATCCAGTTGCAGCAGACTAATAAGTCTAAACCTTAACACTAAGCATACTATGTACAGAACACCACACCAGAAGGAAGATAGAAAGAGAAAGTGAAAGTGAAATCGAGGCTCCTTTTGGCCTTACTATTATAGTCAGCATGGCCTTGAGTGAAAGAGATAAGAGAACCAGTTTAAGTCAGCTGTATTCAGCTTCTCTGAAGGAATAAGGCAAACATCATGAACCTTCTGCTTGTTTCTTTCACACACAGAAGCTTCCAGAACCCTCTTGAATTAATGAGAATAGGAAAGATCGCTACACATCAGATCAAAACTTTCTGTGCTAAGAAATGAAAGCAGCTAAGATACATTCCAGAGCCAGACAACGTGATATAACAGCATATTGATGTATTTAGCTGCTATGCATGCTGAAAACCAGGTATCTCCCAGCCCTACAAAGCACCCCATGAGGGGTGTGGCCTGCAAAGAATTCTGAGGGCCAGATAGCGAGGTCTAGAGGGCCACATTCTCTGCACTCCCTGGGCCTGAGGCTCTCCATTACTGCTATATATTACCTTTCAGGTATCTGACACAGGAGCATGGATTCTGCAATGAGATCTACAATAATCACCACACTTTAAAGACACACTGTGGCTCTGCAGATGCTGCTGGACTATAGCTTCCTGGACCACTGGCCAAGGGGATGGCTGGGGCTGTTGTGAGCTGGAGTCCAGCATCACGGGAGGGTCGCAGGTTCCCCATCTCTGCTTCGCAGTACCGACAACGTTTAAGAGTTCCGATCTGATTGAGCTCCTTTACATACCCTTCCTTACACGTATAAGTGACGGTGCTTCCGAAAGTGTAGTTGCTCCCAGTAACCGCGGCATCTTTTATGACAGGAGGAAGACCGCAAGAAACTGTTTTGCACTCTGGAGGGAGGCTGCTCCAGCTGCCCGAATCTCCGCACACGAGTACGGAAGGTCCTTGCAGGCTACGAAACCAACGGAAATGGGGAAATCGTGAGAGGTGCGCATGAAAGCACAAGCGTCCGTTACCATGTCTTTCCTTGAACATGTTGAACTTTAATCAACCATCCATTCAAGAGCACATGGTTAAAGTAAAATCTGTAAAGCCACACACACACACACACACACACACACACACACCAGATATAAAGTTGCCAAATGCAAAATCCTAAAAAAAGTGACACCTTATATTTGTGCAAAAATATTCCACCCAGCAGATAAGCACATACCCACAATGCATGAAGAGGGGCAGACATAACCTTTCACCCTGCAGCAGAGAAACCCAACATGCCTTTTTTCATAGTTCAGAAGGTGGGTAAATTTGTTGCACAGAGATAGGTCTTGCTGTGTTTGCTGAATTGTGGTCATGGTTTGTTTGGGTTTTTTGTGTGTGTGTCTGTCTGATTAAAAATATATACATAAAATCTGTTTGCTACAATACTGTAAAGGGGGAAGGCACATATTTTACTTACATCACTTTTTTTTTAAAAAAAAGAAAGCGAAACAGATCTTGTAATGGTGGTTGTTTGCTGCTGTGGAATACGCAGCCATTTAGAAGGATTTTTCTTTACCTTTTATGAGAGTAGATGGGCAATCCAACTGCAGTGGTGCAGCAGAAACAGCCCGTAAAGAAGTTAAAGTTAAAAAACATCTACAACAAATTCAGTTTCCAAAATCCTACATGAAGGTGGCATGGGGTCAGGGAGTAAAGAAATGTGATATACCATATTTTTTGCTCTATAAGACTCACTTTTCCCCTCCTAAAAAGTATGGGGAAATATGTGTGCGTCTTATGGAGTAAATGCAGGCTGCGCAGCTATCCCAGAAGCCAGAACAGCAAGAGGGATTGCTGCTTTGACTGTGCAGCGATCCCTCTTGCTGTTCTGGCTTCTGAGATTCAGAATATTTTTTTTCTTGTTTTCCTCCTCCAAAAACTAGGTGTGTCTTTTGGTCTGGTGCGTCTTATAGAGCGAAAAATACGGGTAACAAATTCTGCATTCTGCAGCCACAGTCCAAATAAGTATTTTCTCCCCCCCCCCTTTTTTATGCTTTGTTGTTCGTAATTATATCTGTACAATGTAAACTCATAATCATCATTACCAATCCATCAAAAAACACTAATCATCACAAAAAGTATATACATTTTCCAGCAAAAATTTTTCTTCACGAACATCTGACTTCCCGTCCCTTCCATATTTCTTTCCTTTAATAAACATATTGCATGATTTTGTTTAGTTGTTTCATAACACAGTATTTAGTGTTTCTATATCTTTCCCCCCTTAATACATATTATTTATAGTGTTTACTCAAAAGCTATTACCGTATTCAGATTGCAGCAACTATTTTTTAAGTGTCTCTTGAAATGATCCCATTCTAAAATGAACTTTTGCCCTGGTTTATCTCTAATTCTTTTAGAAAGATAGGCTGACTCCGCATATTCTGTCAGTTTCAATAACCTTTCTGATCTAATGGGGATTTTATCATTCTTCCAATACATTGCTATGAGTTCCCTCGCAGCAGTGGTGGCATATAAAAAAACTTTTCTTACATTTTTAGGAATATCTAAACCTATAATGCCGAGAGGAATGATTCTGGTTTTTTAAGAAAGTTTACATTCAAGATTTTTTAAAGCTCAAAATAGATATTTCAGCTAAAATACAAATTTTCTGTTCTCTTCAAATTGTTAGTTTATGTTTGACACTGAGCAGCTGCTTAGAGTCACAAGGCTCTGTTTACATTCCAGAGACAGTCCAGGCTATTGGAAGTCTCACGGGAGACTAGAGACGGATGTGACGTTACTGGTTTCCTGTTTCCTTTGTTCCTTTGTTGCAGTTGCTCTCTGCTCTCACAGGGAGAAGATGTATTTTTCTTTGCTCTCTGTGTAGCTTAGTAATAAAGCATAGCATGTAGCCATAAATCTCATCACTTCTGCTGCTTTGATTCTCTGCTGAATGGGGGAACGTGCCTTGGAGCCCTATCAAAGGTTCAGGTCGTTAAACACGTCAGGAGGAGAGTAACCGAAGGACTTGGGGGAAGAAAATGAGCTTTATCAGCTTGGCCAAGCGGAGATCCCGACACAAATCACTATAACATCCAAGCTACTGTCAGCCACCATATTTAACTCTGAATTCTAGTGTTTCAGAGTTTTCAACAAGCTTTTCTTTTCTTTTTCTTTTTTAAAGAAATATTAATTATGAAGCAATAAAGTCTTTAGTGGGTGTCAAGTTGTAAATATGAACCTATTGATCATAGGATAATTTGCAGATTTTGCCTAATGAAGCTTTTTAAACATGCTTGCTTAAAAACTGGTGCTCAGAAGAATGAGCTGGGTGTTAGGAAGATGACTAATTCTGCATGACTTTTCCATGAGCACCACCAATTTACATGTGCAGATATTAGAAGATTAAAGAAAAAGCCAGATGAATCATTTTGCATATGCTGCATTCAAAGCACTTCTCCTTCATGTCTACATTTTAAAAAATGCACACAAAATGCTAAGTGCGTCTTGGTTTCTTGATTACCTGTAACCTGTGTCGCAGGTGTATGATACATTAGAAAGGTATGTCACGCCACTCATTAGATATTTTCCATTGCTTATTTCCTTTGGGAGGGGACACTTCACTAATTCACAAAATACGGAAGAACGATTCCATGTGCCACTTGCAAGGCACACCGATTCCTCATTGCCTACTAAACTGTATCCTTTACTGCACCTGTATTGAGACAAGAAAGCAAGTTAAAAATAGGTACAAGAGCATTGCACGTTCCTCGCATCTCTGTTAGCTCCAACGGTCTTAGTTTTTTTCCCCTATGAAAAACTATGGGTGAAATCGAATGGTCCCTAAGCATTCAGCAGATGCTCAGTATGTTCAATTCTTGCTGCACTGTGGTTACAACTACTGCTCAAAGCCAGTGTGGTGTAGTGGTTAAGAGCAGTATACTCGTAACCTGGTGAACCGGGTTCACTTCCCCGCTCCTCCACATGCAGCTGCTGGGTGACCTTGGGCTAGTCACACTTCTTTGAAGTCTCTCAGCCCCACTCACCTCACAGAGTGTTTGTTGTGGGGGAGGAAGGGAAAGGAGAATGTTAGCCGCTTTGAGACTCCTTAGGGTAGTGATAAAGCAGGATATCAAATCCAAACTCCTCCTCCTCTTCTTCTTCTTCTTCTTCTTCTTCTTCTTCTTCTTCGGATGCTCTCACTGGCGGAAGAGTGGAGGAGCCAACTTTTGCCAGTTTCCCTGGCAGTCACTTGCATTCTTTCGGAATCCGCTCCATAGGATTGGGGCAACCTTCAGAAAAGTATGAGGTGGTGTTTGGGGGAGGAGGGGGGACCAGCAAATTGAAAAACATCACATCCACCAGTGAGCTCCTTGGATCAAAAGCCTTCCATGGATAGAAGGAGTTCTTCTTTTGGGGAGAGTGAATACTGTGTCGAGTTCAGTGGTCTGTAACTAAGGTAAAAAGGTAAAAGACCCCTGGGCGGTTGAGTCCAGTCAAAGGCAACTATGGGGTTGTGGCGCTCATGTCGCTTTCAGGCTGAGGGAGCCGGCGTTTGTCCATAGACAGCTTTCTGGGTCATGTGGCCAGCAGGACTAAACCGCTTCTGGAGCAATGGAACAACCGTGATGGAAACCAGAGCAGAGCACGGAAACTCTGTTTACCTTCCCGCCACAGCAGTACCTATTTATCTACTTGCACTTTGATGTGCTTTCGAACTGCTAGGTTGGCGGGAGCTGGGACAGAGCAACGGGAGCTCACCCCGACACTGGGATTTGAACCGCCGACCTTCCGATCGGCTAGCCCAAGAGGCTCAGTGGTTTAGACCACACAGCCACCCGCATCCCTGGTCTGTAACTACTCTTTATGGATTAAGTTGAGGACCACAAGACTTTCCTCCTTCCCCAGACTTCCGAGTGGTTGCAGAGCAAACCAAGACATTACATATTTCCATTGGCTAGTGATGAAATAAAATTAGATTTATTGTAGCACTCTTGTCGTTATCCTTAGCTGTCTGTTTAGAACCTTAAGTGAGAAGCAGGCTGGGCAGATGTTATAGTAAGGAAGTATAGATAAAATTCATAGAAAAACTGAAAATATTATCAATATTTAACTAATTACCACCGTACCTTAATATTTCAAATTGCCTATGTTAGACATAATCTCATTATTTAACACTTGCAAATGATTAATCAAAGCCCGTAAATGTTTCTAATATAAGGAAAATAAGAAAGAGAGGTTTTATAATTATGCAGAAAACGTACTTATTTAATGAACCAGAAAAGGAAATGGAGGGAAGTCAGGAGGTTAAAGAGAACCTCCAAAATATGTTTATATATACTGAAAATGTGTCATGATTAAGGTTTATTTATATTCTCATTCTCATTTTTTGTTTTCTTTTTGTTTTCTTTCTTTCCAGATTTGTATTATCTCTATGGAGAATCCTTGGTGAAGTTAAAATTGTAAAATCAGTAAAAATGATTTAATAAAAAGGAAAAAAGGAAAAGGAAAGAAAAAATGAAAATAAAGTACAGTCGTACCTCAACTCCTGAACGCCTTGGGAGTTGGACGTTCCGTCTCCCGAACGATCGAAAACCGGAAGTGAGTGTTCGGTTTTCAAACATTCTTTTGGAAGTCAAATGTCCGGCGCGGCTTCTGCTGCTTCCTGCAGCCAATCAGAATCCGCGCCTTGGTTTCCGAATGTTTCAGAAGTAGAACGGACTTCCAGAACGGATTCCGTTCGTCTTCCGAGGTACGACTGTATCTGATTATGCTCTTTGGAATTCCTAGCTGTAGCTTTAGCTGCCAAACCATTTATCGTACATAGTGCATACAACTGAAAATATAATGTATGCATTGCATAATCATATGTAGGGCATATAATTTAAAACATGATTGCAATATTCTGCATCTTTTTTGTGCCAGCAAATCTTTTATTATAAGAAGCAATAAAATGCAACATATTTTTATTTCAGTGGTGCCTGTCGTTTATTAATAGTTTCAAGGTAGAGAACATGGAAGTTTTAAATATGTCATAGTTATTGATAACTATATGCATGTGTCACTGAGTAGTCATTTACAAAACCTCAATGGACCCTATATGAACAGCAAATATATAATTTAATAATAATAATAATAATAATAATTCAACAAAAAGTCCTCCCAAACACAGAACTTATGAAATAAGTAACTACACATTTAGGACCAGATTTATTTGATGTGCAATCCTCCTACCTGTAGATTATTTTGCTACCATATGTAAAATTTGAGCCATCGACTGCACCATTTTCTGGAACAACGGGGACACCACAGGAAACAGCTTTTAAAAAATCAAATAAAAAACACACATTCTTATTAACATAATTTAATTCAGTTGGGCTTACTAATGAGTAGTGATTTGTAGAATTGTATTGTTAGTTGTGTGAAAATGAGCTAGTTCATATTAAAATCTAGTAAGCCTCTCTTTTTATTTCTTCTGGGATACTATGAGCTCTCACACAGGGGCACAGAGGTTCAGCAAGGAACAGAAAGCCTTGGGTGATGGGAGGCGATACAGAATAAATAAATAATCCAGATCACTTCTGGATCCTGTCACTAAGCTCTGCAAAGAAGTTGCAAAAGAGATATTTACTGTACCTGGTGCCATCTCAGGTCACATATTCAGTTCAAACTGTTATTAAACACACACAAAATAATCCTAGGAATTGTAATTTGAGGAATGTGGTGAGAATTCACTGGTCACAGAACCATGGGTTCCCAGAATTCCTTTGTGAGAGGGAATGACTCTTCAGTCTGTGCCTCTGTGCTATTTTTCTAGGAAAAGAGGTCCCATAACTCACCACGAACACCTCCCTTGTCCTCTTATAATGGCAATGGTGCCACTTGAGAGGTGCTGAAACTGAGTTCCGGCTGGAAAAAAGCCCTGGATGTTGCCGTGTTCTTAATAGACTCTCTATATGTACAGTGGTACCTCAGGTTACATACGCTTCAGGTTACATACGCTTCAGGTTACAGACTCCGCTAACCCAGAAATATTACCTCAGGTTAAGAACTTTGCTTCAGGATGAGAACAGAAATCGTGCTCCGGCGGCGCAGCGGCAGCAAGAGGCCCCATTAGCTAAAGTGGTGCTTCAGGTTAAGAACAGTTTCAGGTTAAGTACAGACCTCCGGAACGAATTAAGTACTTAACCTGAGGTACCACTGTTTTTATTTAGTAGATATATAACCGGCCCTTCATCCTGAGATCTCAAGGCAGATTACAGATCAATTAAAATACCAGCAACCTAAGAAACAGACAGAGCAGATAAAACATACCCAAAAACAACAGTAGCTCAATCACAATGTATCTTATTGGAGGTAACCTAACTCAACTCTTTACAACAGCAGAAACTAATGCTAGAAACTTGAGGAAGCCCAGGCCAACAGCGAGATCTTAACCTGGTGCCAAAATGGCAGCAGGACTGGAGCCCGGCGTACTGTATGGGAGAGGGCAAACCATAACGGATTGCTATATGAATATCATCTCAAGAGAGAACTCCTTCATCGTAGTTACGTCCTCAAGTGAGCAGCCCATATCAACTTATGGGGAAGGAGGTTTATGAACTGTCAAGTACATTCGTACCTTGGAAGTCGAATGGAATCCGTTCCGGAAGTCCGTTCGATTTCCAAAACGTTTGAAAACCAAAGTGAGGCTTCTGATTGGCTGCAGGAAACTCCTGCAGCCAATCAGAAGCCCCGCCGGACGTTTGCCTTCCAAAAATAGTTCACAAACCGGAACAGTCACTTCCGGGAGTGTTTGGGAGACAAAATGTTCGAGAACTAAGCTGTTCAATAAGCAAGGTACGACTGTAATAACCACTGGAGAACTTTTCAGAGCAAACCACTTTATGCAAACCACTCAGAGATTATCTTTCTGATCAAACAGTATATTAACTTTCCTCAATAAATAAATAAATACCGTATTTTTTGCTCTATAGGACGCACTTTTCCCCCTCCCAAAATGAAGGGGAAATGTGTGTGCATCCTATGGAGCGAATGCAGGCTTCTTGGCTTCGCGGCAAAGCGCCTGACCTGGAAGCCCGAGGAGGAACAGAAGGATCCCCTTCTGTTCCTTCTCCAGCTTCGCTGAAGGGCGCTGGACCTTCTTCCTCTCTGCGCAGCACCTCTCCTGTGAAGGAGAGGCGCTGCGCAGAGAGAGAGAACTGCGCAGCACCCCTTCAGCGACACGCCTGTCCTGGCTTCTGCCTTAGCCCTGCGCAGCCTCCTTGGGCAGGGGGAGCCTTCATCCCGCTGCCCTGAAGAAGTTGGCGCGGTTATCCCAGAAGCCAGAACAGCCACACGGTATCCCAGAAGCCAGATCCCTCTTGCTGTTCTGGCTTCTGGGATTCAGAATAATTTTTTCTTGTTTTCCTCCTCCCAAAACTAGGTGCACCCTATGGTCCGGTGTGCCCTATGGAGTGAAAAATACGGTAGCCAATTCCAGCCAACTAGGCATTCAATGGTGTAAAGAAAACAATCTTATGCTTAACACCAAAAAAACCAAAGAACTCATAATTGACTTTAGGAGAAAGAAATGCGTATTTTTACCATTGCACATAAATGGCGAGGAGGTGGAGAGGGTTGGTAGTTTTAAATACCTGGGCACTTACATCTCTGAGGACCTCTCATGGACTGTAAATATTAATATGGTTGTGAGGAAGGTGCAGGGGAGGTTGTATTTCCTGAGAATGCTCAGGGAAATCTAGCTCAGCACCTACTTCTGTCCTATTATCACAGTACCATCGAGAGTGTCTTAACATATAGTATATTATCGTGGTATGGGAGCAGCTCTGAAACGGATAAAAAGCTTTACAGAGAATAATTAAAATTGCCCAGAATGTTATTGGGCTCCAACTACCAACCCTGGATGAGATCTTCACGTCTCGCACTTTGAAGAAGTCACACAATATCCTGAGAGATCCCACCCATCCTGCTCACAACTTCTTTGAACTGTTGCCTTCGGGCAGAAGATATAGGACAATGAAAACACGAACCACACGCCTTCTGAATAGTTTCTATCCAAGAGCTCTGATTGCACTAAATAATGATCTCAGGGCCAGTTGCAAGGAATAGCAAGCAGGGAGTAGGAAGGAATGAGACAGGTTTTAGGTTATGTTATGCTTTTAATAGGTTATGTTATATTCTGGAGTATGATATGTTTTTATAGATTATGTCTGAATAGGATGAGAGTGTTGGAGATACGTGCAAATGTGTATGTGAACCCGGTCTTCGAGTGGGTGTTTGATTTTCGTTGTTGTGTATACTGTGTATATACGGACAATGACAATAAATTTATCTATCTATCAAATGCCTAACATTTCCTTTTAAAGTTTCATGGTTCTATCCGTACTATCACAATAAAAATGCAGAACATACCTTCGCAGTGCGGTATCTGGTGGCTCCATTCCCCAGACTCTAAACATGTAACTTTGTTCATTCCCTTGAGCTGGTAGCCCGTGTCACACAAGAAACTGATTTCGCTACCAACACTGTAGCTGTCACCCTGCGAATGGCCGTGTTCAGGGTCTCCTGGGTGTTTGCACCTCACTGGTTCTTTGGAATCAGATACAAGGTAAAACAGAGCTTACTGACACCAGGTGTGGCTCATGTGCTTAAAAATGAAAACAAATCATGCAACATTTCAGCAGGTGACTTGGGAGGGGGAAAGAAGGCCCAGTGCACAAGATCACGGGAATATACAAATAAAGTGGTACCTCGGGTTACATACGCTTCAGGTTACAGACTCTGCTAACCCAGAAATAGTACCTCGGGTTAAGAACTTTGCTTCGGGATGAGAACAGAAATCGTGCTCCGGCGGCGTGGCAGCAGCAAGAGGCCCCATTAGCTAAAGTGGTGCTTCAGGTTAAGAACAGTTTCAGGTTAAGAACGGACCTTCAGAATGAATTAAGTACTTAACCCGAGGTACCAATGTAGAGCACTTCAAAAACACTTTAATGAACATTTCCAACCACATTTATTTTCTTTGCGGAGACTTCACCAATACTGCAATTGGGCCACCTCTTCTACTGAGAGGAATCTGCTTCCTTTCCAGGTGCAATAATATTTCATATATTGTTTCATTTCCTTACACGGAGTGCAATATTGTCTAGTGTGCAATGTGCTGAAACGTGAACCTAGAAGCAAAAATTCTAGTCACAGGTCAACACTTTTTGGCCATTAGGTCATGACTATAACTTGCGATCTGCTTTTGCAACACAGTTGTACCTCTGCTTCCGAACTCCTTGGGAGTCGAATGTTCCGGCTCCCGAATGATTGAAAACTGGAAGTGAGTATCCCAGTTTTTGAACGTTCTTTGGGAAGCTAACCGTCTGACAGGGCTTTGGTGGCTTCCAATTGGCTGCAACCAATGAGAAGCCGCACTTTGGTTTCCAAACGTTTCAGAAGTCGAACGGACTTCCAGAATGGAATCTGTTCGACTTCCGAGGTATGACTGTATTTGATTATGCTCTTTGGAATTCCTAGCTGTAGCTTTAGCTGCCAAACCGAATTTTGCAGCTTCTGCTTGTAAAAGAAAAGTCTGTTTGCCCTCCTTGGGTGGGCGGCTTCGCAAACGGGACCCTGGACTCCCCTGTGAACTGGCCTATTGCAGGCTGGATTGTCCTCCTACACATTTTTTAAAGCAGTATGTGCTTCCTGGGAGAAAATGTCTCATGTCCTAGGTTTCAATTCAAATTCATATGAGTTTTGCCATTGGCTTTGTGAAGCAGGTATCTTGGGATCTCAGCGATGGATATCGATAAGAAGCGAACTGCAGCAAAAATATAATTCTGCGATGTTTACGGAATACAGACTGGGCAAGTCTCTCCTTTCAGAACCCGCTAGTTAACACTCCTTCCCCTGTACCTGCACATTTCTTGCCATCTCCAGTGTAAGGGTGAATGCAGGCACATAAGTAGGAACCATTTGTGTTACGGCAGGAGGCATGCGGGTCACAGTCTGAGCCAACAGCACATTCATCAACATCTACAAAACAGAAAGTGGGGTTCCTATGAATGAAATGCCTTTGGCGTCTTTCAGCTTTCTTGCTCTAAGCTGTCTCTGCTTGTGATGTTTCTTAGCCATCCAAAGACAACCTGAAGGTCTCTTGACCTTTTCCCATTCTCATTTGCTGCCACTTATGCCCGGGATTTCCTTCCCAGGACACCAAAAGTGGTGAAAGTTCCCTCTCCAAACCCCAACCCTTCCCTGCAACTCATCTCCACCTGAAATGACTGCTCTTATTCCTCCTTTGTTATCTTAACCTCTCCTTCCAGCGTGGTGTAGTGGTTAAGAGCGGAGGACTCATAATCTGGTGAACCAGGTTCGATTCCCCGCTCCTCCACATGCAGCTGCTGGGTGACCTTGGGCCAGTCACACTTCTCTGAAGTCTCTCAGCCTCACTCACCTCACAGAGTGTTTGTTGTGGGGGAGGAAGGGAAAAGGAGGCTGTTAGCCGCTTTGAGACTCCTTAACGGGAGTGAAAGGCGGGATATCAAATCCAAATTCTTCTTCTTCTTACCCTCCCCTGTGTTGTTTTTTCCCTTTCTTACCACCAACCTTGATTTAAATTTAGATTTCAAAGGATTGTTGACCTACCTATGTTATTGTCCCAAACATCCTACTCACCAATGGTGCTAGATTAATTAAGGTAAAAAGGTAATGGACCCCTAGACGATTAAGTCTAGTTGAAGGCGACTATGGGGTTGCGGTGCCCATCTCGCTTTCAGGCCAAGGGAGCCAGCTTTTGTCCACAGACAGCTTTCAGGGGTATTTGGCCAGCATGACTAAAACTGCTTCTGGTGCAACGGGACACTGTGGCGGAAACCAGAGTGCACGGAATGCCATTTACCTTTCCACCACAGAGGTACCTATTTATCTACTTGCGCTGGTGTGCTTTTGAACTGCTAGGTTGGCCTGAGCTGGGACAGAGCAACGGGAGCTCACTCTGTCCCAGGGATTCGAACTGCCAACCTTCCGATTGGCAAGCCCAAGAGGCTCGCTGATTTAGACCACAGTGCCACCCGCTCCCCTTACTAGAGTAATAATATAGTCATACTACTAATACCCTTGGAGGTGCTACTGTCTCAGGGACTCTCAGTCTTTGGTGCTTTATACAAAGATAGCAACTTACATATCCCCAAGAACTATTAAAAACAATGCATGAAAGAATGTACACATTCTCTACTTCCCTTCCTTTCATAGACTGCTGCTCGATAAAGACACAACAAAACTTATCAGAAACAAATGCCGCACGATGACAAAAAATGCAAACATGTACTCTTGCTGTTGTAAGCAATGCCTTCAAAACTATGTAGGCTCAACGATACATGTAAACATATTTTGCAGGAAAAGCCTTGTGGGCCACAAATATCCTGCACCTAAAATCCAAAGACCCACATCTAAAACTGGGTGTCCCTGAAGGGGCTTGGGTCTTAAATATCTTGGAACAGCAGTTCTCTGTACTGAAAAGCAGATTGCTTTTGAAACAGAGAGGATTTTCAAAAATCGGCTTGCAATAATGTGGCATGGGGGAGGTGTCTGCTCTCTGGAGGGGAAAACAGTTTTCAAAAATCTCACTGGTGGATGCAAGGCCTCAGAATTGTCTAGAGTAGGTTTTGGGGACCTGGCCAACAGCCTTATTCAGCCAGATTGGAGTCTGTAGGGTGTGGAAGTTTGGGGATGGTCCAATGTGGACAGCCAATGGTGACTACCACCTGATCAACCTGAATCAATGCAGGCCATCCATGGTGGTGAGATTGAATGTGCTGGTTTTGACCTTTAAAGCCCTATGCGGCCTAGAACCCATGTACCTACGGGACCGCCTCTCCTGGTATGCCCCATGGAGGTCCACAAATGACTACATTTTGGAGGTCCCAAGTCGCAAGATTGGTCTCAACTGGGGCCAGGGCCTTTTCAGTACTGGCCCCGACTTGGTGGAACGCTCTGTCACAAGAGACGAGGGCCCTGCGGGATTTGACATCTTTCAACAGGGCCTGCAAGACAGAGCTGTTCCGCCCAGTCTTTGGTTTGGACTCAGTTTGACCCTTATGTCCCCCCCCTTTATGGTTTTATCTATGGGCTACTTTTAAAATGAGGCTGCATTTTAAATTGCATTTTAACCTGTATTTTAAATTAGGGTATTTTCCTATTACGTTTTTACTGTAATTTTACTGGTGTTAGCTGCCCTGAGCCCAGCTCTGGCCGGGGAGGGCGGGGTATAAATAAAATTTATTATTATTATTATTATTATTATTATTATTATAGATGCAGAGTCTACCAGGTGATTTCATTGTACCGAGCCTTTCGGAATTGTCAGGGAACTGCCATCGGAGCTAGAGGCGGAGGGAAGGCTCCAAAGGGATGCAGGAGAGGGTCCCAGTAGGGAGAGAGGCAGCCCATCTGCTGGGGAAGGAAATCAGCGTAACACCAGTGGAGAAGGGGGGCAGGTGGGGGAATCGGGGAGGAGGCTCCGAGACTTTTCGCTGGAGACCAGCGGAGAGAGTACGGGTACTCCGCTGCCCACACCCTCCCTGCGCAGAAGACTTCCGCACAGGGAGAGTAGGAGGAGACTTGGCGTCAAACAACTTTTATGCTGGAAAAGGTTTAAGAAACGCCCACTGACGGATTCTGCCAGCGACTGAGACAGTCACGATGCTGGAGGCTGTTCAGTCAGAAAGGGTTAACCAGGTAACCTAGCCAGGAGTGGCGGCAACTTACGCACGAGCAACCCCTAAACCCATTACAGGAATTTTGTCTATATGCCAGTAAAGGTTTGAGGTTTAGAGCAAGATTCAGTCAGTAGGAGAATGGAGGCAGAGATGAGCAGGAGTATTAGGACTCTTGTGTTGACAATACGGTCAAATATGCTCACGATCTCACCGAGGCAAGATGGCGAAATGGCGCTCCAGCTCCCGCTGTCTTTACAAAGCGTCCTCGAGTCTCCTAATAAGTAATAGCCGCTGTTGCATTGATACGTGATGGTGGTTCCAGCAAAGAAGTCTTCGGCGGAGTAAAATCCGTTTTCTAAAGGAGGAGGCACTCCACAGCTAATCCCTGCAGCCAGACGATATATGCACAAAAGTATTAAGAGGCTAGACGTGCTCACTTTCATCTCTTCTTGATCAGTGCTGGATTTACGTATAAGCTAAACAAGCTATAGCTCAGGGCCCCACTCTCTTGGGGCCCCCAAAAAAATTTAAAGGAAAAAAACCTGGATGTACATTTCCAAAATATAAGATAAAAAAACAAATAAAATAGAACCTACATACAGCAACAGTGTTTTGTGTTGTGTAGGCTCCTATGATGTAAGTAATGGGCCCCGCCTGCTAGCCTGCTCCCTAAAATATCACTGGTTTGCTCATTTCTATATATGACTTTAGATACCTATTAGGTCCAAAAATTACCATATAGCATATATTCAACACAAAAAACAGCTACAATTTGTTGTTGACAAAGGACAGCTGGACATATAAAAGGCCCCATTACCTTCAGTAGCTTAGGGCCTCATCAAACCTAAATCCACGTTTTATGACAGCAGCACAAGAAGGGGCCTTCTGGAAATCACTAAGTGGCTTCCTTGGCAGTGATTGTTTTGTTTTAGTTTAGGATCTTCTGTCTAATACTGCAACCGATCCTCAAGTTAGGAGCATCTTAAGGGTATCCACTTACTTTCACAGCGTGGGAGAGGTTGTGCCCACTGCCCTAAATTGAGACAGTGCTGGACAGAATTCCCTTCGATGTGGAAACCTGGGTCGCAAAAGAGGGAGACTTTTGACCCCGGCTTAGAATCCGTTGATGAAGTTCTCAGGTGAGGTATGGAACCTTCTAAGGGCGGGCAGTCTGAAAACAAAGGAAAACGCACACACAAAACAGCTAAAGCACATTAAAACAAGAGCTCCTGCAATCCCACATAGTTGTGTAAAATAAATTAAATGAACATCTCCATTTAGTTGTTGAAGTTTGCCACACTACTGCCAGATAATCAGCTGGAAGCATGAGAGTTGCAGATTTCTTCACACTTTGATTCCCAAAATTTTACTAGTCTTCCATGCTATGCAAGGAGGTTTGGAGACATATATATATATGCGTCCAATGCTCGCTTTCAGAAGCATCCAAGGTTAAAACCATTTTCACAAGTGAAAAACAAACAAACAGCAAAACAGAACGGGGAGCCAAAATAAAATTAAAATTTCTGTTCCAATGAATGACTGGAAATCTCTCCCATTTGACCCAATCCGAAACTTTACTCTTTCAACATCTCAATCCAGGAAACCATAAATATTTCGCTCAAGGTCCCAAGGAACATTTATTACACAACACTGGAATCCGAAGAATGAAGACGGAATGTTCCAGTCATTAAATGAGCAAGTGTATCTGTGAAAGGCTAGTGGGCCATGGGGATAATAATATCATAGGTTTTGTGCCACATAAGGAGCACCAGTATACCAGTGATTTATTTTTAATTTTTGCCTTTTCTGCTTTCAGGGACTTATTTCTGTACTGAAACCAGCTTTGCAGGTGCTGCCAGAAGCTCTTCTCTAAAAGCCCAATGATCAGCTGATTGTCAAGTCATAGGAACATACAAAAAGCCTATCTGGCAGTCACATAGTTTGTGTAGCTAGTGTCAAGGAGAAAAAGGTCTGGCCCACTGGGCTGAAAAGGTTTCCCACCCCTACCTTCGGGCAAATGTGTGACACCCCAGAGTCCTCCCCACAGTCCTTCTGCTCCTCCAAAGAAATTACAAGGTAAGCTATGACACACTAAGCTTGAATCTACATGCATATAGAAACCATTCTGAAAATGCTTTTTTAAAAAGCGTTTTTAAAAAATACATTGAATTTTCCATAAGGCTCACCATCGCCAGCTAGTGTCACATTATATATTGCACTTAAAACACACTTAAAACATTTCATTTGCAGCTGTATAGCTGAGTCCTCAGTCAAACAATGGCTTAATTGACAGCAGCACAGCAGCAACACGACTGGAGGAGCAGGAGCAACGCAACTGTGACTTACCCTTAAAAGACCCAACACATTGTCGCTAAGTCCTAGTTTGGCTGGGCATGCAATGAGGCACCTCTGACAAGCTTCCAGGGTGCGCCAGGATTTCCTGAGCAGAGTTTTAAAACCATTGCATTATATTACAAAAACACTTTTAGGAGATAGAGCTCTAACCAGCACAGAATACGCTCTTGGAATCTATCTTCACTCTTCCAACAACTCCAGGAAGGAAATCTGGCCAGGCCAACACATTGCCCTTTTGGAGTTCTTCTGGACAAGAAGTAGCCAAGGAATTCACCTGATAGTTCAAAAGAAAAGGGACAGATACAAGCTTGTTAATTAGTTGATTCATCCTCTTCCTTCTCACCGCAATGATCAGCAAATGATCAAACTGAACAAACTCATGTCCACTGTATCTGAACGCAAGACCGTCCTTTGAGAAATACTGGGGGTGTTAGACACACAATGTTGTGCAGAAATGGTTGGAAGAAAATCTGTTCCTCACTTATTTCCTGAAACATGGATTAGGCAAGAAAAAAGACAGTCTAGAACAGGGGTAGGCAAACTAAGGCCCGGGGGCCGGATGCGGTCCAATCACCTTCTCAATCCGGCCCACGGACTGTCCGGGAATCAGTGTGTTTTTACATGAGTAGAATATGTCCTTTTATTTAAACTGCATCTCTGGGTTATTTGTGGGGCATAGGAATTTGTTCATATTTTTTTCCCAAAATATAGTCCAGCCCACCACATGGTCTGAGGGACGGTGGACTGGCCCACGGCTGAAAAAGGTTGTTGACCCCTGCTCTTGAATATTGACACCCCTTTCAGAAAAACAGAGTGTTTTCACGAGAAAACAGAGATCTTGGAAGTCATTAAAACTGTTACATAACAACCCCAACACTCTAACCAACTCTACAACATACAGCAACTAATTGCTTTCAACTAAAAACCTGTTTAAAGTGATGTGTGACCCAATACATAAACAAAGAACTTCCACGCTTTCCCCCGGTGGTAGCTGTGGCTGTAAGGTAAGCTCTGAAAATGGTCCACTACTCGCTTGATCCGAAGAACTCCACAAAATCATGCACAAAATCCAACCTTTGTGTTCACTTTAAGAACACACGTTCTTAAAATGTCTGTGCTCAAGGGTCTGGATGTAGACTCTCTGGTAATTGAGCACATTCAGGTTAACAGAGCTCCCAAAATGCGCAGGCAGACCTACAGGGCTCATGGCTGCATTAACCCCTACATGAGTTCTCCTTGCCACATTGAGATGATCCTCACAGAGAAGGAGCAAATTGTCCCTAAGGCATAAGAGGAAGTTGCTCAAAAGAAGAAGATATCTCAAAAGAAACTGAAGAAGCAGAAACTGATGGCTTGGAAATAAACATCTATTCAGTTCACAAATAAAAAACAAAATTGTAAGTTAAAAAAAACCAACCCACCCCCAAAAAGAACTTCCACCCACTCTCATAGAAGTTGGTCGTTTGAAGAAGGTCTGGTTAGCCTCCCTCCATCCTGTAAGTAGGGACGCGGGTGGCGCTGTGGGTTAAACCACAGAGCCTAGGACTTGCCAATTAGAAGGTCAGCGGTTCAAATCCCCGCGACGGGGTGAGCTCCGGTTGCTCAGTCCCTGCTCCTGCCAACATAGCAGTTCGAAAGCACATCAAAGTGCAAGTAGATAAATAGGTACCGCTCTGGCGGGAAGGTAAACGGCGTTTCCGTGCGCTGCTCTGGTTCGCCAGAAGCGGCTTAGTCAAGCTGGCCACATGACCTGGAAGCTGTACGCCGGCTCCCTCGGCCATTAAAGCGAGATGAGCGCCGCAACCCCAGAGCCGGTCACGACTGGACCTAAAGGTCAGGGGTCCCTTTACCTTTACATTTATCCCGTAAGTGGTAGCCATGTTAGTCTGCTACAGCAAACAAAACAACAAAACAAAACAAAACAAAACAAAACAAAACAAAACAAAAACACACCAGAGTTTTGCAGTGCTCCAGGCTATAGTTTATGAGGTGTGCCCTGCTTCCACTGATAGATCAAGCACAGTTTAGGCTTTGGGTGACACACTAAGTTGTGGTTCATAAAAATGCCACAGGAGGATGTGTGAGCCTGGGGGAAGCTAGGCTCATTCTTGTCTGAACACAGCCACTACCTTCCCATTTCATTACTGCCAACATGGTTTTATTTTTCACAGATATAAAACAATTCTGAGCAGCTGAGGAGAGAAAGAGCAAAGGATCAGGCCCAGAATGTGGGAAATTGCTTAATATATTTTCATTTGCCAGAGCTCTCCTGAGCTTCAAAGGAACCAAATGAAATGTTACATATGTACCTGTTCTGGGGACAGAACATAACCCCAAATGTTGAGCTGGCTAATTGAGCCGACAAAAGACTCTGCTGGATTAAATCCTTCTCCTCTTTGGTCCTGCTCCTGTCCAAGAACTAACGCACCCCCACCTATTCACAAAAGGAAAACAGAACAAGAAGATAACTGAATTGGGTCCCACCTTCTGTGCTGTAATTGAAAAGCATAAAAACCCCTCTCAATCAATATGCATCATTGTTAAGTAATATAATCAAATAAATATGGAAAGGTCCATACCAGGGATTTCTGATCCTACAGATAAACCACTGCCTCCATCGGATAATTTCCCATCGATATACACTCTCCAAGCTCCATCAAGGCTTGACCAGGTGACAGCAATGTGATGCCAATTACCATCGTTCACAGAAGGGCAGTCTGTAATACTCTCCTTACCATTCACATAAAGAACCCACCTAATTAAGAGAGAGAACGAAGAAAATGATTCATCTTTGCCCAGGGATAAGGAAAAAAATTGATTTAAAGGTGAACCTTCAAAATTTGCGCTTTCTGAAATAATTTGCAAAATGAAACACAGCCATCCTTTGAAATGCACACCTCTGCAGTTGTCCAGCCAAGTAATGTGTATTTTTAAAAAGCATATATTAGGGTAAAGCATGTATACAAAAATGCTTTGTATTTAGGGGAAACTGCTTCACTAGAGAGCCTGATTACCTGAGAAATTTTCAAGGTTGTGTGTGCAGCAAATTACAGCTCTGCCCATGGAGAATTACGTGGTCCCCAAGAATACTGAAATTCATCTAGAGGGTAACACAGCACTGTTTTCAACTTCACACCTACCCGTTGTAATCTGTAAGCAGAAAGGCATTGTCACTTCCATTTTCCACCGCGTAAGAGATGGGAGTCCCATAATTAGTAGTGTCTGCCGATTTCATCCAGAACGCACAAGTGATTTCGCTGAGCGAGGGGAGGACGCTGTCAAGCATAACATAGCCATAGATCCCAGACACGTCAAAATCCAGATTAAATCTGGAAGACTGTTCTGCAACAAACGGGAAGGGGGAGGGGAAGTTTCACTGTTTCAATGGCTTGCTAAGAAACATGCTTGCCTTCAAAATGAACAATTTCGTTTGCTTTTCCACTTATGCTTCCCACATTAGTGAACTACGGAAGTTGATCCTGAGACAATCCTAAAATGCCTGGTTTCTGTAAGAAGCACCAGCCTCCAAACATATAGCCAGAAATCTAACATTGTGGTTCGAGGACCCGACCCCCGTGATGTGAAATGAATACGCAAGGACACGTGATATAAGGTTAATGGGCAAGAAAAGGCCACAACTTTATTGATTACAGCAGTGAAAAGGTATTGGCTTAGGCACTGGATGTCTAAAACAAGGGGGTTTATTCACCAGTAGGTGGAGCCTGTTGATGCAAATCCAACTATAGGCTCTCCCCTGATGTCACCGGGGGTCGTGCCATGGCCTCCCACCAAGCAGGCATTGGACAGAGTACACGACCGCCAGATTCCTTTAACGGAATACCCAAAAATTGAAGGCATAGGCGATGGCCACACCTAGCCCTTCGACACACCACAACACATTATTCCAGTGCCTAACCTACCCACCAATACCACAAAAAGTTGTGACGATTGCTACGAGGTAGGCGAAAAAACCAAAAAGCCTAATGCCAAATGGAAAAATTCCTACCAGGCCCCCTGGACAACCAGGGCGACCAACCTAAGGTCCATAGCAAGGCCAAAGAACAAAGACCCTGAGCTAAAAGGGAGTGGAGGGTGGGTGACTCGCGACGAGACGACGGAGTAGAATGAGGCCGAGGAGAGGCTGGCACCGCCGCAAAAGGCCGCTGTACACGCCCCCTCGGAGGCACCTGGTTGGATGCCTGCCGAGGGGCGTGGGTGCCAGCCAGGTGAGAGGAGGAGGCAGGGGGCTAACGCCCCCTGCTAGGGGCGGTGCTCGGGCTCCCGCCCACAACCACTCCCCTCTCTTCCAGGGAGGAGAGTCTTTCTCCTTTTTAAGGGACTGCGAGCCTGCAGAAAACATGTCACTTTCTTGTTTTCGGATGGGATTGACTGTAACAATCTGCTTTGAGGTTGGATCTCACAATGCCATCCCAAGATCCTTCACCTCTTGCCTACAGACGTACCATCTGTTGCATCAAAGACAAACTAAGATCTATGGATGAAGGGTGTGATAGAAATTTAATAAATAATAATAATAATAATAATAGCAACTACATCTTGGATTGCCATCAGGACTGAAGCATGCAGTCAGGGGAAGTTTTAAGCCTTCCTTCTCCACCTGCCATCACAAGGAAAATGCCCCTCCCATAATTAATATTTTTTAAAAGGCTCCCAGTGTTTCATGGCAAGCTTACTCTTACCGCGCAATGCGTTACACTGATCGGTAGAGGAAACGGAATAACATGCAGATTTGCAAAGCTTTGGCAAGGAGAAATGCTCATAATTTGTTAGGGATCAAAAAGAATTAATGGGAGGGCTGCCTTTTTCATAAAGTGCAGATATAGCATTATTCATTGCAAGACGAAAGCTACAGTATCATATACCGTATTTTTTGCTCTATAAGACTCACTTTTTCCCTCTTAAAAAGTAAGGGGAAATGTGTGTGCATCTTATGGAGCGAATGCAGGCTGCGCAGCTATCCCAGAAGCCAGAACAGCAAGAGGGATCGCTGCTTTCGCTGCGTAGCCATCCCTCTTGCTGTTCTGGCTTCTGAGATTCAGAATATTTTTTTTCTTGTTTTCCTCCTCCAAAAACTAGGTGCGTCTTATGGTCTGGTGCGTCTTATAGAGCAAAAAATACGGTATGTGTGCTACAGCACAGCAACGTAATATAAAGCAGAGTAGGAATAAAATCTTTTCCATGGTAGCAAGGACTGAATGCATTGCACTACCCAAAATCTGCTCTGAAGCGTTGCAGGGAAGCGTTGTGGATTCTGTTGCATGGGCAGAATTCGTTCTGTTTATGCAGTACTTCTTGCATAAAACCTCAAGCATTTGGAGGAAATCCAGCGATAACACTGGAGTTCTGTACTATAAGAAATGAAATTGCCACTTGAGCAGAGACAAAAACGCTATATGCCAGTTTTCTATTTGCAAAGGTTTCCTCTTTTTTTTGTTAAATCATTTTTATTAATTTTCCAATAAAAAACATCCAATTAAAATATCAAATCATAATCCAATAAAAATAAAAAACTAAAATAAAAAGGTTGAATTATCTTCCAAATAGTAATTATTAATTTTTTGGACTTCCCATAGTCTGGACCTTGAAGCATAACTCCAAATCTCAATCCTGCCTCTGGTCGTTATTTCCATATTTCCACATCTCGATTTTAATACTCTAACTTCTTGTCTCTGGCTCTGCGATTCTCAATCATGTCAGAAATCATATATCCTTTCGTTTCCTCTTTTTAATGGGATTGAATTTGGTATTTAAATCATTATGATCATGAACACTGCCCTTTGCAAAATCTGCTACAGTCACAGCAGCCGTCTGGTATCAGTTCAAAACTGCACTAGCCTTGCCATGAAACTTTGCCAAGCCTTCCTTCTCCTGATACTTTGGTCCTGTGTACCTGTTTCACACCTGCTGCCTGTAAAGCCAGGGGGACATTTACAAATGTACGCGTTCAAGGCATCCACACAAGTCGCTTGGTTTGCACAGGGATTGGAGTTACACTCATTTATGTTCACTTCACACTGCGGTCCTGTGTATCCTCTGACACAGTGGCACCTGTGGACAAAAAAACCCAAAAGCACCTTTTAGTACAGCAGTCCACAAAACAAAATCCTGGTTGTTCTGAGTGAAATGAGGGAGCAAAGCAGAGGGAAAACCGGTGCTACGAGTTGCAAGCAGCCTGAGCAGATGGCCAGTTTGAAAAAAAAAAAAAACCAATACAGTGGTACCTCTGGTTGCGAACGGGATCTGTTCCGGAGCCCCGTTCACAACCTGAGCAGAACGCAACCCGTGTCTGCGCGTGTCACAATTCGCTGCTTCTGCGCATGCGTGTGACGTCATTTTGAGCGTCTGCGCATGCGGCGAAACCCAGAAGTAACCCATTCCGTTACTTCTAGGTCGCCATGGGACGCAACCTGAAAATGCTCAACCTGAAGCAAACTCAACACAAGGTATGACTGTAGTTCACTATTTTGATGGGCTTTCGAACTGTTAGGTTGGCAGGAGCAGGGACCGAGCAACGGGATCTCACCCTGTCGCGGGGATTCGAACCGCTGACCTTCTGATCGGCAAGTCCTAGGCTCTGTGGTTTAACCCACAGCACCACCCGCCTCCCTCTACTAGGGAGTAAGCACCCTTAAACTCAACAGGGCTTATTACTGGGAAAAACACGTACAGAGCTGTGCTGTAGATGAAGCTAATGCTTGTCGCTTTTTACCTGTAGCCATTGACAGCATCACTGCAGGTGCCTCCATTTTCACAAGGCCTGCTGAGACATTCATTAATGTTTTTTTCACAGAGGGTACCAATAAACCCAGACGGACACTTGCAATAGAAACCTCCAACCCGATCCTCGCAGGTAGCTTTGTTTAAACAGGGGTTTGAAAGGCATTCATTTATCTCTGCTTCACAGTGAGTACCTGAGAAGAAAGGTGTAGAGAGGAAAGTTAGGGGCGGGGGAATAGGAGAATAATGTCTTTATCGGGCAATTTCTAGATTTCAGGAACTTTGACAGATTAAAAAGAACAGAGATGAAAACTAAAGAATATTCCAGAAAAATAATAATAATAATAATAATAATAATAATAATAATAATAATAAATGTTTTATTTATACCCCGCCCTCCCCGGCCAGAGCCGTGCTCAGGGCAGCTAACACCAGTAAAATTACAGTAAAAACATAATAGGGGAGAAAACCCCAATTTAAAATACAGGTTAAAATGCAGTTTAAAATGCAGCCTCATTTTAATGAAAATGTAAACAACAACAGTGATTTATTAGTTAGGTTAAACACAACACTAACAAATGCACCTTTCTTCACCAAAACACACTGGGGGAAGTTATTTAGGCATTGCAGCAACATATTTTGCTAGCATATTAATGTTTAAAATCTTTGCCAATCTTTTTCATGTAACAGAATTCCTGTTTAAAATGCTAAGGGACTGTATGAATCTGAAACGAAAGCTATATCTTTATATTTCTTTTCAATAAAAGCTGAAATCCTCTCAATTCTATCAGTACAGAATACACTGAGGCTGTATTTAAACAGAAATGTCTGAAGGTAGTGGTGCTTCTAAACAAACAATGACAAAAATAGCCTGGTGTACTTCTTACAACACACGTCAGAAGATGAAGCTTACACCTTCAGGTGTTTTCTCCTGCTAATGTCTGTGTAGAAAGATGCTGTTAAAGGTAGAGGAACAATATAAAAAGCTGGCAACTCTTAATACAAAGCAATCAGTTATTTACCCGTGAATCCTTCTGCACACAGACACTGGTAAGAGTTGGTACCATCAATGCAGACTGCTTCATTCAGACATGGATTTGAACTGCATTCATTTACTTCTTCTTCACACTGCAAGCCTTCAAGCAATAATGGTTACAGAGCATTGTTAACAGTTCAGACGCATGGAAGATGCAACCCTAAAAACACTGAACTGGTTGTTCTAAAAATCTACTCAGGTTGCACAGAGTCTCCATGTTTCATTTACCACTTATTATGTGGTTCCTCGTGTGCTTTCCACCCACAGCATGAGTTTCCAGGTTTCAAAGTGAGCTATGCGGCACACCTACATTGCATGAACTACTGTATTTTTCGCTCTATAGGCCACACTTTTTCCCCTCCAAAAATTAAGGGGAAATGTGTGTGCGTCCTATGGAGCGAATGCAGGCTCCTTGGCTTCAGCGATAGCAACACGAAGCCTCTGAAGCGCAGAGGGACTGCTCCCTCTGCGCTCCGGAGGCTACGCGTTGCTTTCGCTGAAGCCTGGAGAGCGAGAGGTCTCGGTGCGCACCGACCCCTCTCGCTCTCCAGGCTTCAGGGATAGCCGCCTGAAGCCTTTGGAGCGCAGCGGGACCTCGCGCTGCGCTCCAAAGGCTTCGGGTTCCTTTTGCTGAAGCCGGGAGAGCAAGACTCTCCTGGCTTCAGCAGAGAGGGAGAGCTGCATAGTGCCCCTTCAACGAAGCGGGAGGAGAAATGGAAGGGGCTCTGTTTCTCCTGCCGCTTCGCTGAAGGGGCGCTGAGCAGAGAGGGAGAGAATTTTTTTTCTTGTTCTCCCCCTCTAAAGCAAGGTGCGTCCTATGGTCGAGTGTGTCCTATAGAGTGAAAAATACGGTATTTGTTGTTCTCCAGTACTGCTAAGGAATCTGACAATCTCCTTTCTTTTTGCAGTACAAATTAGAGCTCCTTGCTGGACACTGCATGGGCTCAATGGGCTTGGTTTGTCACAAGTTCTGCAAGGCAAAGCTTTAATTCCATTTTCATTTTCTCAAGGAGGATTTTGCTTGAGTTGATGCTCTAGTCTAGATGCCATGTTAAGCTATAGTTAAGTGCTACAGGGACACGCCTGAGTGGCCCTAGGGTTCGTTTGCTTCGTCGCCCCGGTACAGCCACAGAAAAGGAGACTAGAAGCAGCTCGAATGGGATATGCCCAGAGATGAAAAGAGGGAATAATACCCCTAACACCCCCCCCCAAAAAAAAGGATGACAGATGAAACTGATAGAATATGTAGAAATGGCAGGATTGATAAACAGAGTTGGAAATCAAGATGAAAAAAATATTTAAGAAAGACTGGAAATGTTTTGTAGATTATTTGGAAAATTATTGTAAGCACATCGAAAAGCTAACATTAATAGACTACTGTATTTTTCCATGTATAAGACTATATTTCCCCCCAATTTTTTAAAGTTTTCCGTCTTATACACGGAATGTTGCAATATATAAATACATTTATTTCTTAATTTAGTCCCTAAACAGCTGTTTAGTCCCAAAACAGCTGGAGGGCCAAGTTTGGCCACCACTGCCATAAAGTAATAAACAACCTAAATGTGATCCTCCTTTTTTGCATAAAAAACCAGAACACCCTTAGCTTTTGCTAGACCTAATCCTTCCACTTTCGTTTTTGTTTTTGCCAAATTGCTCTGTAAAAACTTGCTCATATTTATTCCTAGTGCCTGTTCCAAGACTGACAATCTGGGAATACTGAACTTTTGCACTTTTTATTGTTCTGTGGGAAGAATATTTCAGGAATTTCTTATCATTTTTATTATGATTGCACACTGTTTTTAAATTCGCTGGCTCCTAATTGATTTTATCTGTTTGTATTTTATCTTATCAAGACACTCTTGAGACCCTTTTACACCAAGTAACTAACAAAGTATGGAGTTTCAACAAGTGAAAGGTTGACTGAAGAGACCACCTGACTTTGTGTTAAGAAGGTCGCTGCATCAGGAAGTCAGGCAGTACTGGCCTGAATCAGGAGAAGGCAGTTTCATACGCTCACAAAAACTGAATTCTAAAATAAATCTCCTAGATCTTACCACCAGCATTTTTATCTCCATAAATACAAGTGCTAAATCTAAGACTGTCAGCACAAGCCCAGCTATTTCTACTTTTGACACAGTCTGGTTACTGAAGCTAAGCAGACCTCTCTCTGTAAGCTGCCAGCGTATGGGAACCATCTATAAGTTGCAAAAAGCAGGGTATACGGACCATATCAGTGGGACAAGCTTTAAGATAAGTATGAATTGCAGCCTCTGACATCTTAAATAAGCCATTTTTCTTGTATCATCAGAACTTCTAAAACATTCACCGTTGAATCAAATTCCTCTACATCGCAACCATAAAAAGTGTACTGATTATTTTATCATCAGCTGACTGAAAAGGTCCAATTTCTTGCAACTAACTACTGTATTTTTTGCTCTATAAGACTCACTTTTTCCCTCTTAAAAAGTAAGGGGAAATATGTGTGCGTCTTACGGAGCGAATGCAGGCTGCGCAGCTATCCCAGAAGCCAGAACAGGAAGAGGGATCACTACTTTCACTGTGCATCAATCCCTCTTGCTGTTCTGGCTTCTGAGATTCAGAATATTTTTTTTCTTGTTTTCCTCCTCCAAAAACTAGGCGCGTCTTATGGTCTGGTGCGTCTTATAGAGCGAAAAATACGGTAACTTATTCCACAGAAGGCAAATAATTTAAAAGCAAAATCAAGTATGACCAACACTTGGCTTTTTCTTCTTTTTTTTAACATATGCAACCTGGAGTTGACGCCTGAGTTCATCATTTGTCACCTGTATAGCCTGGTTGGCACTGGCAAATGAAAGTTGCATTGCCATCCTCGCAAATCCCTTTGTTGAGACAGGGGTGTGACTTGCACTCATCAATATCTGTTTCACATTTTAAGCCTAAAACGCAACCCAAAAGAACACAAAAGAAAAACAAACAAACATATTGGGGTTACTAAGGAGGGGCAGGGGAAGAAACAGCAAACTAAAATTCCAAATGAATATAACACAAATAAATAAATAAGTATATACAAAAAGGTTGGGATTCAACTCGTGAGTCTGTCAGAAGATTTAGTCCTTTGCAAGGGCTTAAAAGTTAAAGGTAAAGGTACCCCTGCCCGTACGGGCCAGTCGTGTCCGACTCTAGGGTTGTGCGCCCATCTCACTTAAGAGGCCTGGGGCCAGTGCTGTCCGGAGACACTTCCGGGTCACGTGGCCAGCGTGACGAAGCTGCTCTGGCGAGCCGGCACCAGCGCAGCACATGGAAACGCCGTTTACCTTCCCGCTATAAAGCGGTACCTATTTATCTACTTGCACTTAGGGGTGCTTTCGAACTGCTAGGTGGGCAGGAGCTGGGACCGAAAGACGGGAGCTCACCCCGCCGTGGGGATTCGAACCGCCGACCATACGATCGGCAAGTCCTAGGCACTGAGGTTTTACCCACAGCGCCACCCGCGTCCCTTTTGCAAGGGCTTCTACTTGTGCAAAATGGCTTTCCCCTCTACTCTACTCTACTGTCCTTTCCCCACCCCAACAACCCATATATTGGCTGGAGAGCCCGGTACCCCATTCCTTTTCCATATCAGGACACTTGCTGTCTTTACGACTTATACTAAAGACCCTCATTTTTTCAGCAACTCAAACTTTTAAGTGAAGTTTCTAAACCCCATCTTGTATCTGTTCAGGATGCAAAATGGTTGCTATGCATGTTTTTATTGTTAAGTTGCTTCAAAATCTTTCAGGGGAAGCAGCTCCTAAATGAAATGCAAATAAATAAATAAAAGTTTCTAGCTAAGCAAAGTGCTGCTTAAATGTAAATGCACAGTATTAAAATACGTTTTATGAAAACAATTCATGCCATCTAGCTAAAGTTATAGGACATGCAGCCTGGTCTTGTTTGTGGCTTCAGAAATGGTTCCTACAGAGTTTGTTGTCACTTAATCCTATACACCAGGGATGGGGAACATGGTATCTTCTACATGTTTGGACCAGCACGCCCAATGGTCAGATGATGCAAACTGTAGTCCATCAACATCTGGAGTAGGGTTGGGGGTTAGATCATCCAAAACCGGGTTTGAGGTCCATATTGTGATATCAGTTTCATAATTTTTGACCTGGCAAAATATCGCAAATCATGGTGTGTGTGTGTGTGTGTGTGCGCGCGCGCACACGCTATGCAAAAATTCCAATGTGGGGGAAACCAGCCAATGCTTCTCTCGATTCTTGCAGCTCCTGTTAACTCTACCGGCTAAGCTCTCCCCTGCATCCTGCAGGTGGCAGCGAGTCACAAAAGCAGCCACTGGCAAAAATCATAATGTGGGGGAAACTGTGAAGCCAGCCAATGCCTCTATATAGTTCGATCCTTATTTCAGACATTGTGATATATCGGTATAGTGTGATGCTTAGCTGATGATAGATCGTGATGCTGAAAACCAGGTATTGCCCATCCCTATTCTGTAGGGCCACAGGTTCTTCATCTCTGCTACACTCAGTAACTAGAGAATATGCACCAACGAACTTGGTGGGACCCTAACCTTAGGAGCAGGCTGCACATCCTATTAATACTGATGTATCAAGTTAATCATTACTAACAAGCTTTAATGCTTTCCGTAGGAGTTAGTCACAAACAGTTGTACTGGAGCCACAGGTGCAAGAGGTCACGGTGGAAAAAACCCCTAATACATTTTCTCTCCTTCCACTCACAATTATTTGGATCCAACCCTCCATGTGCTGTACAAGTTGCCAGTCGACACTATCGTTTACCTTCATATCCAGGGAAGCATATGCAGATGTACCCACTTCCAACATGCTTGCAAGTTCCATTTTTGCAAGGTTCCAGGAAACACTCATGGAATACCTGTTTGCCAATGGAAATAACACAGTTTATTAAGGAAGCAAAATGCAAGCGAAGGGAACCCTGAAAGCAACAAACTGGTTTACCTTCCCCAGAAGTATAAACTAGGCTAGTTAAATAATTAAATAACCTCAAGTCCTAGTAAGTTACATAAGATTATTCTATCATATGCTTGAAGGTTTGTAGGGCTTTGTCCAAATCGAGTCTTGGGCTAAATTTAGTATTTTCCATGGTTTGAAATATTCCCAACTGCTTGGGTTGAATTGCAGAACACACTGATTGAATAGGGAGAACTGTTCTGCTGCTCCCATCCATGCACAGCTTTGGCAGCTTCTAGTAATGGATGGATGAAACACCTGTGGCAAAATCACCATTCGGTTTTCACAACCGAATGGGATTAGATGGCAGTGATGGGAAAAGATGCACAATGGAGGAGGAGGAAAAGTAGTCGTCGCCATCATCAGCACCAAGAACAATGTTATTGAAAAAGCACATTTCTGCAGTGAATATTGAAAAACCCTCAAAGGGGACCGTGAAAATTTGGCACTCATGCAAACCAACACAACAACAGGGCAAGGAGTTTTGACTCATTCCTGCAACCGTAAATTGTTTGCAAAACTGTAAAGACAGTGCAGCACAGAGGTTAAAAGAACTGGTGAGACTCGGGTTCAAAACTACACTTCGCCATGAATCTCACTGGGTAACTGTGGGCCACTCACTGTGTTAAGTTGTGGGGGAACATATCGGACGACACAGTGATTCTTCAAACAGCTCTTGTTTATTCACAGGCCAGAACAGAACTGAACTGAAGGGTTCAGCCAGCCTGCTTATATAGAGCTCCACTAGAACGCAACAGTAACCATTTTCTGTAACTATCCAATCACTGAATGCCACTTTCAATCCCTTATTTGCATATGTGGGCCTGAGTGAAAACTATCTACAGTATCCCCCTGCTGGCCCAGGGTGAGAACTTCAGTACATAACACCCTGTCTCTCAGTCTAACCTATATCAGAGTTGTAGTGAGGATAAAAGGGGAAAGAGACATGTATTGCATTGTATTTATATTTTATTCTTATTTATAGATTCGTATCCTACTTTTCAAGAAATCCCCCCTCCAAAGCAATTTAAAAGCCACATGTCAAACATGCAACGGAGTAAAATTTAAGGTATATTATTTCCTCTAGCTCCTTGGGGGGAAAGGTGGGACAGAAGTGAAATACAGAACAATAATATTACAAGAGACAAATACTGAATGCATGCAAGATGTTTTCATTTTTTAATACTAATGCTAACTTTAGACAATTATGACGTTTGTTCTTGCCTGGCTGCTGATTTGGTATTTGTTGCTGATGTTTTCTGGGGAGACTGGCAGTGCTACACTCTCTTCTGCCGCAGAGAAAGTAGAGCCAAAACCTAAATAGGATTGAATGAAAGCAACTGTAAAAATTCCACTGACAAGGTCCTCTGAGTCAAGGTTGTGACATAATCAATGATACAGCAATGGAAAAAGAATCAGCCTTGATTTGTGCAGATATAGATAGATCTATTCAATTACAGTGTCAATTGAAGCATGTGAACCTGACAACCGCGAATGTGTGCCTCAGCTAGACTCTGTTGTCTTTGAGCATGGAACCATTGGTTGTTTAGGGCCACACAAGATGTGACGGCTTCTTGCCACACATACAGCTAGATAATGTTATTTATGATCTCTGTCAGTTCTTCATTCCCAAGTCCATTCTGTTTTGTTTTTGTTTGCTTGAATATGTGGACTTAACAGAATTCTCACCCATCCTTACACTAGCTGCTCACTTCTCCACAAACACTTTTCTTGCAGGCTAGCATCTTTCTATATGGCACGCGAGTGGCGCTGTGGGTTAAACCACAGAGCCTAGGACTTGCTGATCAGAAGGTTGGCGGTTCGAATCCCCGCGACGGGGTGAGCTCCTGTTGTTCGGTCCCATCTCCTGTCAACCTAGCAGTTCGAAAGCACATCAAAGTGCAAGTAGATAAATAGGTACCGCTCCGGCGGGACAGTAAACAGCGTTTCCGTACGTGGTTCTGGTTTGCCAGAAGCGGTTTAGTCATGCTGGCTACATGACCCGGAAGCTGTACACCGGCTCCCTCGGCCAATAAAGCGAGATGAGCGCCGCAACCCCAGAGTTGGTCACAACTGGACCTAATGGTCAGGGGTCCCTTTACCTTTACCATTATATCTTTCTGGGGGCAAGCTAAGGATGGAGAAAGGTTTCTGTTGTCACTTGCGTGCCTCTTTCCCTCAACCCATGTGTTTTCGGGGGGGGGGGGGAGACTTGTTAAACACTTGGGTCGGCTGCTAACACATGTAGTTTGACCCAAACTCCCACTAACGTTTCAGTTTGAACATCTCAGCAACTTTGTTCTTAGAGAGCTAACACCAGTCTTCAGGTCTTGTTCCACTAGAAAGCTTTGGCAATGTCTAAGGAAGAAGCGACCATGTCAGAACTGTGGGTCTTTTAACTGTCTTAATTCCCACTAGATTTCTCAGTAAACCTGACCCTAGTTCAGGGTTTCCCAAACTTGGGTCTCCAGCTGTTTTGGGACTACAATTCCCATCATCCCTGACCATTGATTCAGTTAGCTAGGGAAGATGGGAGTTGTAGTTCAAAAAAGAGCTGGAGACCCAAGTTTTGAAAACCCTGCTCTAGTTCTATCCATTAAATCACTGAATTGAGTATCTTTCTTAAATATTTAGGCCCACTGCAGATGAATGTCAGCGAATGTATGGACCATGTTTGTAGCAGTGAGAATAGGAGGAACAAAAGGAACGCCAGCACACATGAAAGAAAACAGGCTGCAACTTTTGAGACCAGCTTATCAAACCAGAAACCCGACTGTTTGGCATTCGGGACGGTGGGACGACTGAATTTGCTAGTGTCCAGCCTATGAGCTGAGTACAGTTGGAGGGATTCATGCAAGAAGTCCCATCAGCAGAAGCCCTGCACAAGGTCTGATGGTTGCACAACAGGGCTTTCCTCCTTCTCCCCCCTGTGCACCACCTACAATTGGCCCAGGGTGTGTGTATCAGGATAACCCCCTAAACAGCATGCCAGGGGAAGAAGAGGAACTGTTCCATCTGTCAAGGTGGAAAGCTTGTGCTGATGGAACATTCCACATAGTGTGACACAGAGTTTCTTGCTATGAAAGGACAGCGAAGGCAGAAACAAGCTTTCCCTTGGAAGCAACCATTAGTAAAAGCATGGTGCTATGTAACTTTTTAAAAAAATTTTTTTTTTATTAGATTTTATATTTGAAACATCCAATTATCACATCATATAATAAAAATAAAGAAAAAGATAGTTTTCCTCTCCTCCCTACGACTTCCCTCAACTTCCTCTTCTGGTTTATTTTTAATGTCTTCTCCTGCATTCTTTGATATATCTTAAATTTCAATGTCTTAAACCTGTAATGTTGTTATACTTTCCATATATTTTACAGCATCTTTGTAAATATATTAATTTTGTTGATTGTAAGTGTTTACTCAAAACCTGCTAGTGAGTTCACTTCTTTACAGTATTTCTGTCGGTATATCATAAATGGTTCCCAATCTCTCCTGAAGTCTCTATTGTCCTTGTCTCGTATTTTTTCAGTTAGTTTTGCCATTTTGGCGTATTCCATTAGTTTTTCTTGCCATTCTTCTTTTGTTGGTACTCTATCACTCTTCCATCTTTGGGCTAGCAGTATCCTAGCCGCAGTTGTAGGATACATAAAGAGTTTCTGTCTCTCTTTTGGCAAGTCTTGACCTAGAATGCCTAACAATTGCTATGTAACTTTGACCATTAACCCTACTGCCAATTTTTCATATTCTTCAGAGAAAATAACTTACTTGAACAGTCCGTTATAGACCTGGCGCCGATCACGGTAGTAGTCCCATAAAATGGGCAAGACAGGCAATAGGACTTTCCGGGGTCAGGCTGATAATAATCTCTGGGACAAGGGTGGCAGGGCATTAAACCAGAGCGAGAGAATTCTCCAGATGGACAAGGTACTGCAAAGTGAAAACAAAAACCTATTTCAACGACTACTATACAGTCATACCTCTTGTTACGTTTGCTTCATGTTACGTTCTTTTCAGGTTACGTCCCGTGGCGACCCGGAAGTACCGGAAAGGGTTACTTCCAGGTTTTGACGCTCGCACATGTGCAGAAACGCAAAATGATGTCATGCGCATGCGCAGGAGTGGCGAATCGCAACCCGTGTGTGCGCAGACATGCCACTGTGGGTTGTGCTCTTTTCATGTTGTGAACGGGCCTCCAGAACAGATCCCATTCGCAACCAGAGGTACCACTGTACTGTCTTTGTAAATAGGTGTTGTTGTTTTTTACACAAAATACTGGAGACCCTTTTTCTCAAGATGGAAGAAGAGGAGGATATTGAGAATTCAAGGCCAGACTAGACATCTGGCACCTTTTATTAACTTCTGCTGAGACCTAGGCTGCAAAAACAGGAGGCAGATCAGACTCCTAATTGGTTACCTGACTTGGGTGATGTCATGATTTGTGCAGGCCTTAGCATATATGAACTTCCCCCAAGTTGCATTTGTTTTTTTAAACGTAAAAAGTGAATACAGACATCCGGGATTCACAGGAGTGATCTGTTAGAAATCACTATGGAATATTTGTCAATGGAGGAAAATTGTCCCCAATGACATTATTTCTGTACCTCAAAGCCATGGGTTCAGTTCAACCTCGTCTTTTCCTTTCTTCATAAAGTTAAAGGATCGATAAGCAGAATATGAAAGAAAGATACAACGGATGCTACTACTCAAAAATATTCCAGTTATTCAGAGATCAGGAAAGTTGTACTGCATAGGGTTTAGCAACATGCTATTTCCTGGAATTTCGCAAACCTCCACATGCTGATATATCCACAGCTCCTCTTTTGACTGTTGACATGCTTTCTGGGCAAGGAATGCAGTGCTTAGATCCAGTTACAGGCTGATATTTGCCAAGAGGACATGATTCGCAGATCTCAAGGCCATTTGGAGAATAGGTTCCCGGTTTGCACTCAGCTAATTAGGGAAGAACAATACACCAGAATTAAGCAATATCTAGCTTCAAATATGCATCAAGGACAACAGCCAATAACCCAAGGAGGCAAAGGCAGAATAACCTCTAAAACACAATGTAACTGGCCACTTACAAGCCCAAAGAATCTGCGCACCACAACTGCTTGCAAAATGCAATTAGCACAGAGCATCTGCCAAGAACACAAACTGCTCTTATTGTGAGTGCTGAGCAGTTAGGCAAAATGTGAAGCCCACAGAAAAAAGAAGTCCATTTGATGATTGGTCTTTACAGTCAAACACACCGATTACAGTATAATACCAGTTGCATTGGATCAACAGCTGAGGGAGAGACAAAAGCTTGAGAACTACTTGTGTTGAGGTTTTGAGTTGTAATTGTTTTAACCTGCTGTTCTTACCACTGGTTTCTTGTTTCGTGCCCGATCTACTGATTTTGTTGGTTTTATTGCCATTTTTTATTGCGTGATATTCAACTGTGGCTACCTGAAATGGACTTCCGCTGGTGCAAAAGGACTTCTCCCTCTCTTCCTCCTTGTAGGCCTTGTGTGCCCCATCCCAAAGTGTTGGGGGAACCTTTCAGAAAGGTGCATGGTTGGAGAGGACGAGGAAGTCCTGTCGTACGAGTGAACTGCTACTCACATCATGCTGAATATCACTCAGGGTTGTGAACTGCCTTCGAGTCATTTGGTTGAAAGACAGTCCAGATTAAGCAATAGGTTTCTACCCAGCCAGAGGCTGAACTTTTAATATTAGCTTTGCAATTTCCCCTTCCTCTATTTTTCCACAATTCTAAAACAACAACAAAAAACCATAAACTAGACTTTTATTTTAAATATTTAGTTCTAGTCTCCACAACTGTTTAAAATAAATTCTAAATATTATTAAAATATTTTAAAAGCAATTTTTTTGCAGTGTCTAAATGAAAAACTTACATCTTTAGTTGCTTTTTTAAAAAGGTATTACATGATTGCTAACCTCTCACCTTTACATTCTGATATACTTCTGGCATGGAGATATTCAGTATAGCTAGCAGAAGGGCAGTTCTTACATTCCAGTTGCCCTTCCTCATCTTGGTAAGAACCAATCCAGCAGCTTTCACATGCATGGTGTTCCAGGGAGTAATAAGTCCCCAGAGGGCAGTTAACTGTGATTTAACCGGACAAAAGAAAAGTTATGCATGGAAAATGTAATGAAGATTTTTGTCTACGGTAGCTGTTGACCACAGCCCAGTTCTCACAAGCAACAGAAGGCAAGGCAAAACCCATGTCTGAACTACACCAGCCGGTTTCACATAGCTGAATGCTCCTCCGTTCAAACATTTCCTACCTGCAGAAAAGCCGTATGAATTTGGCTGAAGGATGAATTAACTCATCCATTTCAGCTGATCTTGGAACACACCGCAATACAGATAATATAATGTTTGCAATCAGGCTTCCGATTCTGGTCTGCCTTAAAATGGAAGCAGCTCCCACAACAACGGGACATTGTTGGCAAAGAAAAAACAAGGATGATTGATAATAATAATATAATAATAATTTATTATTTCTACCCCGCCCATCTGGCTGGGTTTCCCCAGCTACTCTGGGCAGCTTTCAACAGAACATTAAAAACAGAATAAAATTTCAAACATTAAAAACTTCCCTAAACAGGGCTGCCTTCAGATGTCTTCTAAAAGTTGGATAGTTGTTTATTTCCTTGACATCTGATGGGAGGGCGTTCCACAAGGTGGGCGCCGCCACCGAGAAGGCCCTCTGCCTGATTCCCTGCAACCTCACTTCTCGAAGTGAGGGAACCGCCAGAAGGCTCTTGGAGGTGGACCTCAGTGTCTGGGCTGAATGATGGGGGTGGAGACGCTCCTTCAGGTATACTGGGCTGAGGCCGTTTAGGGCTTTAAAAGTCAGCACCAACACTTTGAATTGTGCTTGTGAATTATGATTGATAATTATCCTTGCAAGTCCCGCCCCCCACAGGGACAGGGGGGAATGGGCTCCACTCGCAGTTTGTCTCAGTACCTGGCTCTTGCTCCGGCATAGAATGTGGGAGGCAGGGAGGCACTGAGTGAAAAAGCACTTTACCTGCCGATAGCCCCCAATGCCGCCATTAAGAAGCAGATGTTCTTCTGTTAATTAGAGTTTAATTTGGACTAGTATATGGGTGCGTGCTAGAAGAGATGAGATCATAAACTGTGGAATTGAAGCAGCTGCAAGGTCATTAAGGTTTGAACTTGAAAGAAGACTTCATTCGGTGTAATATAATGTTTGCAATCACACAAGCAGCACTGCTGTACAATGAAATGGTACATAGGGCATAGCACTAAAATATCCAGATATATCCAAATAATTAAGAAAATTTGCCTCTTTCACATTTTTTCTTTTATAGTGGAAAGAGGGAATGGAACAGCGTTATTGAAAACTTTGCCACCTGTTAAGATTCTATCATGCTTTCTCAGTTCTCCTTCGAAAGCAGTAACCTTTCTTTTATTTACTGCAACTAAGGACGAGAAAAAGACTTAAAGCTGAATTTTGCTTACCACACATCCGGCCTCTTAGGACAGAGCCTGGCCTGCAAAACAGGAAGGCCTTTTCAGCTTCTAGCGAGTTGGCGTCTGCTACGAGCAGTTCAGAAGAAAACTGAAAAGAATACATTGGATCCTTACTGAGAGTTCTTTTCAGCCTGTTTGTGATAGTCTCTAGCGTTTTTAGAAGGCGCTGTTGGTTCTCCGATTCCAGTGTATCATTTCGTTCATCAGGCAATGGTACACTAGCTGGGATTAGGGAGAAAACAAAAACAAACAAACCTCACACATGTACACAAAGGCTTGAAAATGTTGACTCCCACAACACCTAAGTCAGAGCAGGAGAGTATAAATAATAATAATGCAAATATGCAGATTGTTAGACACCGCTCCTGAATATCACGGCAAAAGGAAAAGCCACTCTTAAAACTCAGTCGAAAATTTCTTGTTTTTATACCAGTATGAAATATTACACCCGATAAACAATATTTTATACAATAATGAAAAAAAGAGGGTTTTCCTTACCAGTTATATTAAAAACCAACTTTATTTTGTGGTCTGATGTAGGCACATTCATTTTTTTGTGCCTTTTGACCCGGGAGTGTGCCACATTCACCGAACCAGATAGTGGGTTAGGTTTCTCTTCTTCAGGAACTGCCTCGAGGAAATCATCGTACGAATAATCTAGCCGATTTGCTCCACCCCAGCCACCGGGACCTGGCAGTCATTAGTATGAAGAGGAAATATCACAATGAGAATAGAGCAACAACTCCCAAGGATGCCAACACACACGGATGAAGCACTGCTAAATCGTTGAAAAAAGAAAATGAAAAGACCTCACTAGAAATCTGACTTGACTTCAGAACATGTATCCAGCAGAGGTAGGGAAGCAGGCAGAGGACCTTCTTGGTAGTGGCGCCCACCCTGTGGAACACCCTCCCATCAAATGCCAAGGAAATAAATAACCACAGTGGTACCTCAGTTTAAGAACAGCCCTGTTAATGAACTATTTGGTATGTGAACTCCGCAAAACCAGAAGTAGATGTTCCGGTTAGCAAACTTTACCTAGGTCTACAAACGGAAGCCAAATGGTGAAAGGGCACCGGTGGTGGGAGGCCTCATTAGGGAAAGTGCACTTCAGTTTAAGAACCGACTTCCGGAACGGATTAAGTTCGTAAACCGAGGTACCACTGTATCTGAGTTTTAGAAGGCAGCCCTGTTTAGGGAAGTTTTAAATATTTGGTGCTTTATTGTATTTTTAAATATTTTGTTGGGTGCCACCCAGAGTGGCTGGGAAAACCCAGCCTGGTGGGCGGGGTATAAATAAATAAATAAAATTTATTATTATTGTTATTATAATTATTAGGCAATGCTTGCTGCACATTATACTGAAATGAATTCAACAGAACGCCATAACTGTTCTTTCAAAACAAGAAGGAAAATGGGAATTTGTAGTGAAGGAAAAGTTCTCTACTCTGAATCATATCTGCAAACATACCCCCCCCCAAAAAAAAACACCACACACACACTACCCCTCACTTTTCTTTGTCCAGGGCTCAAACATGTGGTTGCAATGATTTGATAGTTAGACCAAAATCAAGATTTGCTAGATGGATCAGTACATCTTCAGGACTGCTGAATGTTCCCTTCTTATTTAGGCTATCAAGGAGGTTTAGAGCTAGTGAGCAGCAAAATAATTCACTTACCAATTGCAAAGCCATTTTCATAGTCATAATTATATTCCAAGCAATGTTTCTGTGGCAGATCCTCCAGTCTGCAGTCAATGTCATCAACATCATTGCAAAACGATGGAACCTATGAGCCAAGATTTAAGAGTAACAGTCAAAACACTGGGTAGGAAACTGCCTGATGATTTCTCCTCCCCCCGCGCCCCCCAAAATTGCCTCTGGGGGAATTGAGAGAACCCCCCAGAATAGCACATTCCATCTGGCAAACTGTAGTGCTTTGCATGGACAGAACAACAGATAACAGTGCAATGTTAAAACCTACCTCTTAATTTAACATACTTCTTTAGATACAAAGCTTTAACTTCCCAGCATTACCCAATTTAAATATTATTTTCCAAATAAGAAATAGCTGTTCCATCAGCCAGTAGTTTTCATAAATCGAAAGGTAGGAAACAGGCTTGGTTTAGGAATATAAACGCATCTTATTCAAACAGTAAAAACTATTGCAATTATTAGACAAGTACCTGTATCTGAGCTATAGAAAATTTACTCCTGAAATTAAATATTGTCACTCTGCTGTGCATATTGTGTGCTCAACATTTTGAGGGCAAGCAATTCAATTCATGAAATGATAATAATTACTTTTTAAAAGATGGGGCATTACTAACCCACCATTTTACCAAGCGCGCTCTGAAAAGCATCCCCAAAATTTTTAAGAAGGTTGCTGTCATCACATCGCGTTGCTTTGTACAGCATCTCAAAGGATTTGAAACCATGGTTTGCCAAGCGATTCACTGAAAAAAAGGGTACGGGAAGATTCTTCATTTATTTAAACGACTCATATACTGCTTCCAGGCAGTGTGCAAAAGAGATTTTTTTAAAAATGATAAGTCAGTTAAGATGATTATATTTATTTATACACCCCCCCCCCAATGGTGGCTTACAGATAAAACCAAGAATTGCTAAAAGTGTGTGTGTGGGGGGGGGGAGAGACATTAAAAAACAAATAAACATTAATAAAATTAAAACTATATGCACATATAAAACCTGTTTAAAACATACAAATAATTAAAATGTAAACAGCACAACACTAGCCCTTTCATTAAAGGTAAAGGTAAAGGGACCCCTGACTATTAGGTCCAGTTGTAACCGACTCTGGGGTTGCGGCGCTCATCTCGCTTTGCTGGCTGAGGGAACTGGCGTACAGCTTCCGGGGCATGCGGCCAGCATGACTAAGCTGCTTCTGGCGAACCAGAGCAGTGCACGGAAATGCCGTTTACCTTCCCACCAGAGCGGTACCTATTTATCTACTTGCACTTTGACGTGCTTTCGAACTGCTAGGTGGGCAGGAGCAGGGACCGAGCAACGGGAGCTCACCCCGTTGCGGGGATTCGAACCGCCAACCTTCCGATCGGCAAGTCCTAGGCTCAGTTAAAAGCCTGTTGGAACAATAACGTCTTCACCTGCCAATGGAAGGTCAAAAAGGTGGGAGCCAGTCTAGTTTCTCCAGGGAGGGAGTTCCGGAGTCTGGAAGCAGCCACCACCAAGAAGGCCCTCTCCCATAACATGAGAAAAGTTTACTTTAAATAAGTACTTACTTAATACTTTAAAAGCTTACATATAATAAAAAAGTCTTTACCATGTGCCTGAAGTTAAACAGGGCAGTAGGGAGTGGCTGGAGGGGTGCTGTCTGAAAAATATGTTAGCCTCGTTTATACCAAATTTTGTTCGGTATTTTATGTCAAAATGGATAATTTTCTGGTTCTGTTTCCATAAGCAAGAAGTGAAGAAACTAGTCATAATGAATAACTTGTATCTGACTACTATCAGCAAGTATGTAAGAATTACAGCCGTACCTCGGATCTCAAACGCCTTGGCTCCCGAACAAATCGGCTCCCGAACGATTGAAACCTGGAAGTGAATGTTCCGGTTTTCTGAACGATTTTCAGAAGCCGGACATCTCGCGAGGCTTCTGATGGGCTGCAGGAGCTTCCTGCAGCCAATCAGAAGCCGCGCTTTGGTTTCTGAATGTTTTAGAAGTCAAACGGACTTCCGGAACGGATTCCATTTGACTTCTGAGGTATGATTGCATTCCAATCACATATTTTGGCATGTTCACATGACACACTAAGCTAAACCATGACTTAGTCCAAACATGGTTGGCTCCTGAGGAGGAAATCATGGCCACTTTGTTCCTTCTTGGGCTGTTTAGGAGTAGCATCCATGGTTTGACTTAGCATGTCATCCAAATCTTGGGTAAGGCCTCTTCCTTACGGTTGTGAGCCAAGGTTAAGGAGAAGAGATTTTAACTACAATCCATGTCTGGATAGCATGCTAAGCCAAACCCTGACCTAAAAAGACTGGGAGGAGAAAAGCTGGTTATGGGGTCTCCATTGGGAGTCAGCATGTTCACACACTCATGGTAAACCAAAATTTGGTTTACCATGACTTGCAAACCAGGCCAGTAGGACACTGCCTGCGCTCCTGGCAGGAAGTAAGTGGCTAAATGTATTTGTTATAATAATAATAAAAAACCCCAACATTCCAAATAACCGTGCTTTGAATTAGGAGTCATATTTTAGCAATTAAGAAGGAAAGTATTTTGCTGACATTTCAGTATTTGCTTAATAGCTAGACATCTAATCCAGTTCATCCCCTGTGTGTGTCACTGAGGAGGTTAGCAGGAAAGGGAAGATAAGAACTCTCCCAGGGGTCTGGAACAGCCCCTGAATCTCTGTTAAATAACACAGCACCATTGTGGAAACAGAAATAATTCCAGCAATTTCTCAGCCGTTTGTACCTCAGTCCTAGCTGTGGTTGCTTGTAGGTTTTATTAGAACCAGGACTTCAGACTGAAGCCTAGGTTTCTTTTAATATAATGCCCAGTTCCCAGTTCCTGTATCACCTAGACAAAGAATGCACTAGGTCCTTGGAAATCAAAATACATAATAAACCTTACGAGAACAGTCAGGCCATTCTGTAGAATACGGTGGATTCCAGATACCATCTGTGTAGGCACAATAGTAATTTTCATTGGAACCTGATGTGAAGTCATATCCAGTCATGCAGCGTAATGTGCAATTAACTCCTGTATTATCTTCTGTGCATATAAAATCCCCGTTTACTGGGGTAAAGGGGATTTCACAAGGAGAGCCTGGGGAAGGAAAAAAAGAGAGAAAACAATAGAGGAAGGCTCTCGTGCTTTCTCTTGGCATTAAAAAATGCAAATCACCTTTATTTTGGATATTGAGCCTGTGGTACACAAGGATGAGCAGACCCTCAGCCCAAAGTTCTGTACAGTGGTACCTCGGGTTACATACGCTTCAGGTTACATACGTTTCAGGTTACACACTCCGCTAACCCAGAAATAGTGCTTCAGGTTAAGAACTTTGCTTCAGGATAAGAACAGAAATCAGGCTTCGGTGGCGCGGCAGCAGCAGGAGGCCCCATTAGCTAAAGTGGTGCTTCAGGTTAAGAACAGACCTCCAGAACGAATTAAGTACTTAACCCGAGGTACCACTGTACTTTGATTGTGCTGTGATCTTCTTCTCAGTTCCACTCCTCCTGAATTCTCCTTCTGGGAGAATTTCTAAAATTAACTCTGGACCTGGAGCATGTGAAATTTCCCACAACCTAAGAGTTCATTTGCATCTATCTCTTTTCCCCTGTATAGCACCCATGGGTGCATGTCCATTTCTAAACACAGTAACAAAGGAATCTTGATGCGACTGTGTGTACGATTGCAGCAAGAGTCTTTTCCTGCAGTGTTTTACCGATGTGCACAAGCACACCTGCACATTGGCAAATCACCCCACACAAAAATGTTGACATAGCTGTACGTATGGTGGCATGAAGATCGCTATTTTGTTCATCGGGGAGAGAAAACACAAATTAACCAAAGGATCTTAAAGTTATGGCAGACTGCGCTCTGTATATAATCCGGAAATTAAAGCAATAACAAACAGATTTAATGGAAAACGTGGAACTCTTAAGTACAAAAGAGAAATTCAGAGGAGGAGAATTTTTGGAAATACCCATAAACACACACACACACACACACACACACACACTCTATATATATTAGTTTTTTTAAACATATCATTTCCAACAATCATTTAACATAACTTCTTATCTTGTACAATATTTTAGACTTCCGTCAACAACCTTTGATGATTTTCTGTTATTTATCAATTATTCAGCATTTCTTAATTTCTCTATTACTCTTAATTATCCTTAACTAATAGTTCTCCTCATAGTCTTTCTTGCAATATTTCAAATAGTCCTCCTTACAGAACTTATTGCAATCCTACTAGCGTAATCTGCTCATTACAATTGCTTTTCAAATAATTCATATATTTACTCCAATCTTCTAAGAATCTCTGATCCCGCAGGTTTTGAATCCTTCCTGTTAATTTATCTAATTCTGCATATTTCTTTAATTTCAGGAAATACCCATAAACTGTGCAAGCCATTTCAGATGTAAGCACCAACAAAACCTACCTCTGATGACTATGTGGAGCTCACAGGTCCTGTTATTTCCTGAGGAGTCACTGGCAGTATACTGAACCACTGTCTCTCCTTTGGGAAAAAGATCTCCAGATGAGTGACTTTTCGTTATTGTTAAGACCACACCTAGAAAAGCCAGAGGAGAAAAAAGAAGAGGTAGACGCCAGTCCATTACTTCTGCCTACAAACCGTAGTCCTACCAGCCTGAGTCCAAAGCCATTGTTCTGGGCTTTAAATGCTTGAAGCCCAATGCCACCGGATTTTACTAAATCCCAATGAGTCCTATGAAACGTTGGAAAATGTTTTTGGAGGGAATGTTCTTCAAATGCTTAATGTGGTATAATCAAGTGTCTAATTAATTTTGTTTGTAAGAACAGTGTAGGATTGTGGGAATATGACTATAAGCCCGGTCAGGAAGAGTGGTAGAAATCGTTTCACGTATTACTTTATGTGGATGGTATTTTATTGTTATTATTTACACAACACCCTTCATTGAAAGATCCTAGGGTGGTGTGAAACATTAAAAACACACAAGAGAACATCAATGATAAAAACATAATAAAAAGCATGCTGCCAGATAGCCTAATAATAAAATAGTCATCATAAGAACAGTCCTCTCCCCCATATTTTCACAGGCCATAGATTATTTAATAGCCATAGGCCTGGGTAAAGAGGAATGTTTTTGTGTGGCACTATCATTATATGCCTTTATGCTCCAGGCAAGCCTCTTTGGCGAGAGCATTCCACGAATGAGGAGCCACCACAGAGAAGGCCCCTTCTCTCACTCTTCCAAACCACATTTATCGTCCCACTCCCAGTTTTCTACACTATTCTTTGTGATCTGAGTAGAATTGGTGTGCATAATAATAATAATGCACCATCACTTTACAGAATATAGTAATAATTGATTATTTGTCATTTGATTGAAAAATATGCAAATATGTTTAAAATAATGGGAGAATGTACTGTTTAAGAATGTTTTATTACCCTATTTTGGGGGCACCTTTGAATGTATTCCAAGGGTTAACTAATATATAATTATAATGGCTTGTAGGAGGCTGCAAACAGAAAGCCTCCTTCAACTGACACATGGGGACAAAGAGCCAATATTGCTTCATACAGTGGTACCTCGGGTTACATACGCTTCAGGTTACATACGCTTCAGGTTACACACTCCGCTAACCCAGAAATAGTGCTTCAGGTTAAGAACTTTGCTTCAGGATAAGAACAGAAATCGGGCTCCGGCGGCACGGCGGCAGCAGGAGGCCCCATTAGCTAAACTGGTGCTTCAGGTTAAGAACAGTTTCAGGTTAAGAACGGACCTCTGGAACGAATTAAGTACTTAACCCGAGGTACCACTGTATTAGCAAATCCCCCCTTTCTCTCTACAGCCCCCTGCACCACCTCTGATGTTGCTCTGGAGGGTCCCTCAGCCTCTGGAGCAGATTTTTGGAGAGTATTTTGGAAAGCTGCCTCCAAGTACCTTCAGAGGGTGGAAGTGTCCCACAAACAGGACTCTTCCCCAGAGTTGCTCCCTCCAGTGAGATCTAGTTAGCATTCAAGCCATTATGCCAGATTTTCCATTCTCATGCTAGCAAGCATCAAGAGTAAATGACATAAAGGCAGCATTCATTCTCTATCAATTAGTAAAAAAGACGACTCTGGGGTTGTGGTGCTCATCTCGCTTTACAGGCTGGGGGAGCCGGCATTTGTCCGGGGACAGTTTTTCCGAGTCATGTGGCCAGCATGACTAAGCTGCTTCTGGCGAACCAGAGCAGTGCATGGAAACGCAGTTTACCTTCCCACCAGAGTGGTATCTATTTATCAACTTGCACTTTGACGTGCTTTCGAACTGCTAGGTTGGCAGGGGCAGGGACTGAGCAACGGGAGCTCACCCCGTCGCGGGGATTCGAACCGCTGACCTTCTGATCGGCAAGTCCTAGGCTCTGTGGTTTAGATCACAGCACCACCTGCGTCCCCTCTGTCAATTGGTAATGGTAAAGGGACTCCTGACCATTAGGTCCAGTCATGGTCGACTCTGGGGTTGTGGCGCTCATCTTGCTTTATTGGCCGAGGAAGCCGGCGTACAGCTTACGGTTCATGTGGCCAGAATGACTAAGCCACTTCTGGCGAACCAGAGCAGCGCACGGAAACGCTGTTTACCTTCCCACCGGAGCGGTACCTATTTATCTACCTGCACTTTGACGTGCTTTCGAACTGCTAGGTTGGCAGGAGCTGGGACCGAGCAACGGGAGCTCACCCCGTGAAGAGGATTCGAACTGCTGACTTTCTGATCGGCAAGCCCAAGAGGCTCAGTGGTTTAGACCACAGCCCTACCTGTGTTCCCTCTATCAATTAGTACTACATATTAAAAGCCTTATCTTGAGATCTTACATTTCTTCATGCTTGCCATGATATTATTTTATTTATAAAGCTCCTCCAGTGACCAAATCTCATCCAAATGTAAACAAAGCTAGCCCACCCCATCACACAAGTCTGCAAAATGATTTATTTGAGGCATTTTCACTCTCTCTTTTTTAATAGAGATCTCCCTCCCCCCCCCCCAAATCATAGTAGCTTACCTGAGTTATCTGAAAACTGTGGTTCATCCCATGTTACTCTGTACTCCTTCTCAGCCCCCTGAATTGGTGGTGGGGATCTGCACTTATCAATTACTGGGGGTTCGTTGTCTAAATAATTTAAAGGCAGAAAAGGAAATTTGATCACAAGGGAGCAGAAAGAAAGAAAAAAATTAAACAAGAACGTCAAGTCCAGCCCAGAGATGCCATGCAAGTTTAAGATAAGAGCTCCCTGTGGACTACATGAGTCATTAGAACAGGAAACATAAATAACTTTGTATCAATAAATGCAGCATGGATACATCATGTTTAAGGCCACAATAAATGCATTTGAAGAGCTGTCACTGAAACTCCATTAAAGTAGACGTTTAGCTGTTCCCCACTGGCTTTCCGCTGCCAGATACTGAGCAGACCATGGCTGGGTTTTTCTACTGGCAAGAAGCTGCCACGAAATTAATGGGGGGCAGAAGTTCACTGATGCGAGCTTTCAACTTCAGACATGTGTGTTTAATAAGACTATTTGCCTGATAAGAATCAGAAGAGGGCTTTAATAGCAATGGAGTATTGGGCTTTCTCTGCAAACATAAGCAGACAGACCACTTCCAGATTCCTTTTCCATATCAAACGACTGGGGCTCTCAACCGAGCCATGAGACCGCATCCACACCTATTTCTCGCTGCAATCTCACAAGGCCTTATGCACAAAATCCTACCAACTGAGCCACAAGAACTCCTTACATCAGGCCAATGATGCCCGGCGAAGAGGAGGGGGATGCCCTACATCAGAGGAGAAACGCTTGCTTTCCAGTGGTATTACCAAGCCGCTCTGAGCTCCTTTGTTAAAGGGAAGGCTGGGCATGTAAGCCCAGTGCTGGAGAGATGGAACACATTTTCCCACTCCACACAAGATCTAAAGAGTGCTCGCTAGAAGCTCGGCTCTGCCCTCGCTAGTCCTGGAAGGGTCCTTTTAAAAAGTCCCATATGCTCAGAGACTTTGCGCCTGTTCATTGGGGGAGATAGGAAGCCCAGAGCACTTGTTCTTTAGATGTCCCTTTTATGAAGAGGCACGTAGTGAGACCATCGATCCCCTACTGGTGAGGCTCGCTGACCTCCCAGAAAAGCAAAAATTCGACCTTTTCCTGTTAGGCATAGATCATAAGATGACCCGGATGATTGCCAGATTCTGTGTACAGATCTGTAGGTGCAGACCATCCCCCGACCCAAACTAGTTTGTTAAGAAAATCCCCAAACTTGGTTCCATGAGTGATTCTAGGTCATCTCTCTGAGGTAGCTTATCTTAAAGTTTGATCTATACACTTATTGCCTTCTCGCAGCGAGGGAACCACCAGAAGGCCCTCGGCGCTGGACCTCAGTGTCCAGGCAGAATGATGGGGGTGGAGATGCTCCTTCAGGTATAGTGGGCCAAGGCCATTTAGGGCTTTAAAGGTCAGCACCAACACTTTGAATTGTGCTCAGAAACGTACTAGATACACAGAAATGTGTATAATTTTTCTATAGCACTCACCAATAACTTTGATGCTGAAAGTGCAGCTTGCCTGGTTCCCAGTTCTGTCCACTGCCGTATAGGTGATATCAACTTCTCCAATTGGGAAAAGGTAAGGTGGAATAAAAGCAGGAGTCACCTGAATCGACACCTGTGGTGGGAACAAACTTTTTAGTGGTGCCTGGGACTTCAAATATTCTATCAGGAGAGACGAGGGCATGGGTTTCTTAGAGCTGCGGGGCCCGAAGCAGCCTAGGGGCAGATGTGGAATGACTAGACTTCCCACACTAGACTTCCACTGGAGTCTGCAAACTGCGCAGCTACTGTCTGTAAAAAAAAGGCAATGCTGTGTGAAGCTTGAGCCTTGATCCCAACTGCTCTTTATTCAACTCCTTCACGCATGTGACTAAGATTTTGCTGTGCATAGATAAGAAGACAAGATCTGCTGCTATGCACTTCATTCATGAAGCCTGCATGCGACTCTGCTGCACATGGGGAAAAGAAAACCTTTGTAGAATGGTGAAGCAAATCCCTACGGTTATTTTCTTGTGCAGAAGTCATAGACAATGAAGAAATCATTCCTCCTTCCACAATAAAAGTGAACATATTCAGATGTTCTCTAATCAGTGCCCTTCCTCTGTTGATGTACTGGTTAAGTAGCCCGCTAAAAGGAGTTAGTCAATTAATAATCAGCTCAACAAAGCCAGAGGAGAAAGTGGTATGTGTCCGTAATGCTCTTGATGTACAAAATGGTCATAAAGGCAACAGACTAGTTGAACCATCTAGTAGTTTCCCCCCCCTCTAAAGCTGTGTTTTCCAAACTTGGGTCTCCAGCTGTTTTTGGACTACAACTCCCATCATCCCCAGCTAGCAGGACCAGTGGTCAGGGATGATGGGAGTTGTAATAAATCTGGGTGTGATAGTCTGAGGTTTGCATACTTATTGGAAAATAAAACTACTGTATTTTTCGCTCTATAAGACGCACCAGACCACAAGACGCACCTAGTTTTTGGAGGAGGAAAGCAAAAAAAATAATAATTCTGAATCTCAGAAGCCAGAACAGCAAGAGGGATCACTGCGCAGTGAAAGCAGCAATCCCTCTTGCTGCTCTGGCTTCTGGGATAGCTGCGCAGCCTGCGTTCACTCCATAAGACGCACACACATTTCCCCTTACTTTTTAGGAGGGAAAAAGTGAGTCTTACAAAGCAAAAAATACGGCACTTTATTTTGAGCCGGTATTTGTGTGTATTCGTGGCATTATTTGCAGACTCATTAGATGGCAGTGTGGTGGAGAGTGTTTTTGGCAGCCTTTTGGATTCCAATTGAGTCAAGTACCATACATTTTGAAATACTTTGATTGGTACATTCTTCAAAACTACATTTTGGATACATTCAGAAAAGTACAGCATAATACAATATTTCAGTAAAAACATTTCAGTAAAGATACATTCACAAATACATTTTGTAAGGAAAATACATTTTAAAAGAGATACACTTTGTGGAGAACCAGATACATCTCAGTAAGGGCACCTCAGCAAGCATATAAAGTGGTACCTCGGGTTACATACGCTTCAGGTTACATACACTTCAGGTTACAGGCTCCGCTAATCCAAAAACATTACCTCGGATTAAGAACTTTGCTTCAAGATGAGAACAGAAATTGTGCTCTGGCGGCGCAGCAGCAGCAGAAGGCCGCATTAGCTAAAGTGGTGCTTCAGGTTAAGAACAGACCTCCGGAACGAATTAAGTACTTAACCCGAGGTACCACTGTATTCACACTCATTTCAGTGAGACAGACATAGCAAAAGGCACATTAAATCACATTCAATGATACAGTGGTACCTCGGATTAAGTACTTACTTCGTTCCAGAGGTCCGTACTTAACCTGGAAAAAAAAGCACCACTTTAGCTAATGGGGCCTCCTGCTGCTGCCGCGCTGCCGAAGCATGATTTTTGTTCTCAACCTGAAGCAAAGTTCTTAACCTGAAGCACTATTTCTGGGTTAGCGGAGTATGTAACCTGAAGCGTATGTAACCTGAAGCATATGTAACCTGAAGCGTATGTAACCTGAGGTACCACTGTACATGAAAAGACACAGCAAAATGACATATTCCCAATGATGCATTCTTCAAGGCACAGTTTATTATTCTTGTGGGGCTTTTTGATTTAATGATATAATTCTGATATTAGTAGGGTCATTTTCCTTTATTCCCCTCTCTGACCCTCTTACAACATAGTCCAACAACAGCTGGAGACCCAGAGTTTCAGAAATGCTGCTCTAAAGTTTTCCCCAGGACAGCTGGCTCTCACTACCCAGGACATGCCATCAGACTGTGTCACTCACACCGTTGGGGAGGTGAAGCAGGAGCACATGTGCTAGACCCTGAAAGAGTCTAGGCCAGTTAACAGTATTTTGCACTTTTACATGGGATTTGAGGGTTTAAGGCACTTCACGCCCCCATAATCTCATTAATTCATGACAAATTACTTGGCCCTACAAATGAGTTTATGTCGAATCAAAAAGCCCTGGCTTTTCCTTACCTCATCTCTAGAATTGTCGCTTGCCTCAGGAACTTGCCAGCTAATATTTGCAGAGTTCTGGTGTTCAAGAGTAGAAGTTTCAATGTCACCAGGGCAGCTAATTTTGGGTGGTTCAAAGTCTGTACCAGAAAAGAACACGTTCTGAACATGTGTATTTCAAGAAGAATGGTGTATTTCAATTGTACAGTTCCTTGCTGTCTAAAACAACTGCATCCACCTGAAATTTAGATCCCTTATGTGTTGATTTGAAAAACTACCCACATTCCACAGTTATGAACCTGAACAGAGGTTACTGATTTCCATTCCAAACATTTGATTTTAATGAAACAGTATGTATACACATATAACTCATTCCCCCACCCCGATAGATGAGTTAAAATCTTCCTTTACTATTTGTTAAGTAATCAATCATTATTTGACAATAGCAATAAAATTCAGAAGGGTTACAGCAACCCTTCATTTTGCATGCATTTACTTTGGGAACACACTGCTGACAAAACTTAATTGATATCTGTTTATAAGAGCCCACCAATGTCAAAGTTTAGTTATCAAATGCTATCTTCAATGTAATCAACAGATTTTTTATAAACAAAATCCACAGAAACGGTTACAGGACTTGAATCTTAGATTTTCAAGACAGAAAATAACAAATGAGCAAGGAGCCAGATTCTGCGCAGAGGCAGTCAGCTGCTGAGCATTAAAAAAAGAGAGAAGACATTGTGGTGTAGTACTCAGCACATTGGACTAGGACCTGGGGCACCAGGGCTCAAATGCCCATCTTTCCCCACAAGTCTTCTATTTTTAACAAGATGAAATATTCATCAAAACCCATACCTTTGCAATATCGAATTTTCATCTTGGGAAAAGTTATGGAGGGGAGAACTTAAAATTGACAGCACGCTGTGTGTTGAAGGAGAACTATATGAAAATGATGTATCGTTGGCATTTAGGTAAAGGGATCCCTGACCGTTGTGGCGCTCATCTCGCTTTACTGGCCGAGGGAGCCGGCGTACAGCTTCCAGGTCATGTGGCCAGCATGACTAAGCCACTTCTGGTGAACCAAAGCAGCACCGTTTACCTTCCTGTTGGAGTGGTACCTATTTATCTACCTGCACTTTGACGTGCTTTCGAACTGCTAGGTTGGCAGGCGCAGGGACCGAGCAATGGGAGCTCACCCCGTCGCGGGGATTTGAACCACCAATCTTCTGATTGGCAAGCCCTAGGCTCTGTGGTTTAGACCACAGCGCCACCCATGTCCCTTTTATCATTGGTATTTAACACATGTCAAATTAGCAAAGATGTACAGAACTGTTTCAAATGTATGTTGGAAATGTAAGGAGAAGGAAGGCATATTCTACCATACGTGGTGGACATGCAAGATAACAAAAGCATTCTGGAAGATGATATATAATGAGTTGAAATTTTTTTTAAGGGTTAGGGGAGTCTAAGGATTCAGGGAATCCTAAAGGATGATGATGATTATGTCTAATGTTTGAATATAAATATGTAATGTAAAACTCCATAAAAAAGATTATATATTAAAAAAATCCATACCTTTACAAAATGCCTTCTGCACATTTCCACTCCACCTCCCACTGGTTAAGCACTGCAGTTCTTCTCTAACCCCAGACAAAAGGAATCCACTGGGACAACTGAATCTGCACACAGTGCCATGCTTGGATGGTTCGAGCCCACAGAGGTATGGGTGGACTGTCACATCTTTTGGTTTTTGGAAGACGGGGCAATGCAGTTCTAGACAAAGGAAACACATGGACAAAAACAGATTGCACATTTGATATTCTATCATCATCATCATCACTTTTAATCTGTATACCATCTTTCTATCTTACAACACTCAAGGCGGTTTACAAGCTGAAGAAACAAAAAGTGTACATCTTATAACAATCTAACGCACTACAAAAATGTGATAATAAAATAAGCAACCTACATCAAAAAAGTAACATTCCTCATTAGAATAGTATTAAATAATAATAATATCAACATATAAAAGTTAACCAGAAACCCACTCAACAGTTACAATAAATAATTTCTAAACTATAATCACTTAAACAATGGCAAGCCACAGTACATAAAATACCGTATTTTTTGCTCTATAAGACTCACTTTTCCCCTCCTAAAATGTAAGGGGAAATGTGTGTGTGTCTTATGGAGCGAATGCAGGCTGCGCAGCTATCCCAGAAGCCAGAACAGCAAGAGGGATTGCTGCTTTCACTGTGCAGCGATCCCTGTTGCTGTTCTGGCTTCTGAGATTCAGAATATTTGTTTTCGTGTTTTCCTCCTCCAAAAACTAGGTGCGTCTTGTGGTCTGGTGTGTCTTATAGAGTGAAAAATACGGTAATACAATAGAAATTGAGAAGAGGAGACTGGGGGGGGGGCAAGGCTGGTGGAAGGAGGCCTTGCCTGACAAAGTCTCTCCCCTCACAGTTATTCCTTCAGGACCAGCTCCCTTACAAAGACTCCTAGGGCCAGAGGGTGGGGCTAGGCAGGTATCAACTAATAGCATTAAGTGTTTCTTTGTGCTGAATGCACACACACTTTGACACATCTTCCCATGTGCTGATTAGTTGAAAAAAGTGTCTGCAAGTGTGGCTAAGTGCCTGAATACAACATCACGGGACCTGGCAAGTTCAGCAGATAAGTCTGAAGTTCAGCAATGCCAGACTTGTGCCAGAAACAACAGAAGGAATGAGAGGCACTGTGTTGTTCAGGACCCTGTATTTATTCCTACATTGCATCAATGGTGTTCAGTTTGTTTCGTGCTAAGGATACAATGAAAGTGAGCCAAATGCCCGAAGGTCTAAATCTCAATATAGTTTAGACATACGGTCTGAATTTATTACATATCACACTTTTCACTAATACTAGGGTGTAGAATTCTTGTGAAATTCTGAACTTGTTGATTGGAGAGTATACAAAACTTTAATTTGAATTTCAAGAATTCATATTAACTTGTTACAGTTCCTTAGCCTTTATAACATGTAAACAGCCAGTATGTTTTTCAAGTTTCTGTCTGCATTCCCACACTTGCCCACCTACACTAGTGGCCAAAATTGGGAAATTTGGGGAAAAGTGTATTTCTGAGGTCTGATGGCTCATAACACCACTTTTATTTTGGAGTAATACCATAAAATTATATAACAGTGGGAAGATAAATTAATGAAGAATGTAATGCAACAAAGTTTGTTATTGGTTATCAAAAGTTATAGACAAATAACCAGCAAAAGGAAGCACAACTTCCTTAGGGTGATATGTAGCCATTTGATATGGTGATATGTAGCCATTTGAATGTAACCAGTGAGCATGAGTGTTTAGAGAGCCAATCAAATGTTATGAGCCATCAAACCTCAGAAATACACTTTTCCCAAAATGTTTCCACAATTTTGGCCACTAGTGTAGGTGGGCAAGTGTGGGAATGCAGACAGAAACTTGAAAAACATACTGGCTGTTTTGGCCACTAGTGTATGTTTCTTTTTAGAAAATGGTTGTTGGAGACAACTAATAATAATAATAATAATAATAATAATAATAATAATGATGATAAATTTTATTTATATCCCGCCCTCCCCAGCCGAAGCTGGGCTCAGGGCGGCTAACAACACTAAAATAGTGCAACATTATAAAAATATTATAAAAATTAATTAAAATCAAAATTGATGGCAACCATAAACTAAAGTTTTGTAAAGATTGCCAAAGGAGGGAGTCAGGCTGCGCCCTGACCAAAGGCCTGGTGGAACAGCTCTGTCTTGCAGGCCCTGCGGAAAGATGTCAAGTCCTGCAGGGCCCTGGTCTCTTGTGACAGAGCGTTCCACCAGGTTGGAGCCGCAGCCGAAAAAGCCCTGGCTCTAGTTGAGGCCAGCCTAACTTCTCTGTGGCCTGGGACCTTCAAGATGTTTTTATTTGAAGACCGTAAGTTCCTCTGTGGGGCATACCAGGAGAGGCGGTCCCGTAGGTACGAGGGTCCTAGGCCGTATAGGGCTTTGAAGGTTAAAACCAGCACCTTAAACCTGATCCTGTACTCCACTGGGAGCCAGTGCAGCTGGTATAGCACCGGATGAATGTGATCTCGCAGCGAAGACCCCGTAAGGAGTCTTGCCGTGGCATTCTGCACCCGCTGGAGTTTCTGGGTCAGTCTCAAGGGCAGCCCCACGTAGAGCGAGTTACAATAATCCAGTCTGGAGGTGACCGTCGCGTGGATCACAGTGGCTAGGTCAGGGCGAGAGAGGTAAGGAGCCAACTGCTTAGCTTGGCGGAGATGAAAAAATGCCGCCTTTGTTATAGCTGCAATCTGCGCCTCCATGGAGAGGTTGGTATCGAAGATTACACCCAAACTCTTAACGGACGGTGCTGGCACTAATTGCACCCCCGCAAGAGATGGGAGTTGCCCCCTCAATCCCATATCGTCCCATCCCAGCCAGAGGACCTCTGTCTTCGAAAGATTTAACTTCAACCGGCTCCCACGTAACCATCCAGCCACAGCTTCCAAGCATCTGATCAGTGTGTCTGGGGCCGAGTCAGGATGGCCATCCATCAACAGATAGAGTTGGGTGTCATCAGCATACTGATGGCAGCCCAGCCCAAAACTCCGGACAAGCTGGGCGAGGGGGCGCATAAAGATGTTAAAAAGCATCAGGGAGAGTATCGCACCCTGGGGCACTCCACACACCAAGGAGTGGCGCGATGACAATTCCCCCCCAAGCGCCACCCTCTGTCCCCGACCAGAGAGAAACGAGCGCAGCCATTGAAGGACTGTGCCCTGGATCCCCACATCGGCAAGGTGGTGGTCCAGGAGTTCGTGATCGACCATGTCGAAGGCTGCTGACAGGTCTAGAAGAATCAGCAGCCCCGACCCGCTTCGATCCAGCTGCCTGCGGAGATCATCTGTTAGGGCGACCAGAGCCGTCTCGGTCCCATGACCAGCGCGGAAGCCGGACTGGAATGGATCCAGAGCCAATGTTGCATCCAGAAACCTACCAAGCTGTTCAGCAACCGCTCTCTCAATCACCTTACCCAGGAATGGAAGCAGTGTAACAAGTTACCATATTTTTTGCTCTATAAGACTCACTTTTTCCCTCCTAAAAAGTAAGGGGAAATGTGTGTGCGTCTTTTGGAGCGAATGCAGGCTGCACAGCTATCCCATAAGCCAGAACAGCAAGAGGGATTGCTGCTTTCGCTCCGCAGCGATCCCTCTTGCTCTTCTGCCTTCTGGGATTCAGAATTTTTTTTTTCTTGTTTTCCTCCTCCAAAAACTAGGTGCGTCTTATGGTCTGGTGCGTCTTATAGAGCAAAAAATACGGTGCATGATACAGTGTATTAAAACTGTGAACGAACTTCATTGTTGGCACCCGTCGCTTGAGAAACAATGGAGCGTGCCTCCAAAAAGATACGTATGCGTTTATGTTTTGCTTTCCTTGGAAAGAAGTTTTGGTAGTTGTTGCAATTGCTGGAAGTTTTAGTTTTGCCATCAGCATTTTGTTGCTTAAAGTAATAAATCCTGGTTTTGAGTTGTGTTCCAAAGGGACAGTAGCATAATGAAAACATACCCACACACTTTGGCTCCTTGCCATCCCACTGCGAGTTGCTTTGACAGGTGAGTTTGGAGCTACCTTCCAATTCGTACCCCTCATCGCAGGTCATCAGGCACACTGTCTTATACGAGATCCCACTTAGCGAGCAGTTAATGTGCCCATTTTGAGGGGCGAAGAGTTTGGGGCATGTGCGAACTGCAGAGGTTAAAACAAAGTCAAGTACATCAACACTTTTACTGGGAAGCAGTTGAGTAAGACATGCACACAACTTTCCATCTCTTTCTTGGTAATCATTACTGCACTCTCTGGCAATGAAACCACTGGCAACAGAAGGGGCCAAGATGCTGAAAAGTGTGTTCAGGTTTGGGCTGTTGAATTCTGTGCATTTTAAAGATCAGAAAATGCATATACAACAGTATCTAGAGACCTGGCTCATCAAATAGGCATTCAGGGTTGTCACAAATAGCAAATGCAGGTAGCTAAACCAAATAATATTTCCTTGAGATGCCTCAGCGAACAAGTCTTGGGGCTTGACTGAGGACAGAGGCAACTTTCTGATAAGTCCAATTGGCTTGTAACCTTGGGTCATTTACATGAGCCGTCTGGAGCATTCAGAACCTGTTTCCTACCAGTACGTTTCCGAGCACAATTCAAAGTGTTGGTGCTGACCTTTAAGGCCTAAACAGCCTCGGTCCTGTATACCTGAAGAAGCGTCACCACCCCCATCATTCAGCCTGGACACTGAGATCCAGCACCGAGGGCCTTCTGGCGGTTCCCTCATTGCAAGAAGTGAGGTTACAGGGAACCAGGCAGAGGGCCTTCTCGGTACTGGCACCCACCCTGTGGAACACCCTCCCTTCAGATGTCAAGGAAATAAGCAGCTATCTTCTCTTTAAAAGACATCTGAAGGCAGCCCTGTTTAGGGAAGTTTTTAATATTTAATGCTGTATTGTTTTTAACATTTGATTGGAAGCCACCCGGAGTGGCTGGGGAAACTCAGCCAGATGGGCAGGGTATAAATAATAAATTATTATTATTGTTATTATTGTTATTGTTGTTGTTGTTGTTGTTGTTGTTGTTGTTGTTATTATACCTCATTCCGGCCAGAATCTCTAGCAGAACCAGCCCAGAGACGAGGTAGAACAAAGCACCCACCGCAAGGCAGTGGAAATAACACAAGAGGTGGTGTCCTGGCCACCCCATAGCTTCTGCTGCTGGTTAACACCTGCCTTCCGCTGGATTTGGGGGAAAGGAGAGGTGTTCCAGTATGTTGCATTGGTGCTTGTCTTCCTGGCCCTAGAGCAGGGAAGGTGAGTCCAAACGCTTAGCAGAACACCCCTTCTCTTGCAAAGTTTGGTAAGGGTTTGTGTGTTCTGGTGGCAGCAGAATTGGGGGTGGGGGGCATGCAGTGGCACATTCCTGTTTTGCTTCAGGGGGTGAAAGGGGCTAAACGTAAAAGTAAAGGGACCCCTGACCATTAGGTCTAGTCGTGGCCGACTCTGGGGTTGTGGCGCTCATCTCGCTTTATTGGCCGAGGGAGCCGGCGTACAGCTTCCAGGTCAAGTGGCCAGCATGACTAAACTGCTTCTGGCAAAGCAGAGCAGCACATGGAAATGCTGTCTACCTTCCCGCCGGAGCGGTACCTATTTATCTACCTGCACTTTGACGTGCTTTTGAACTGCCAGGTGGGCAGGAGCTGGGACCGAACAACGGGAGCTCACTCCATCACAGGGATTCGAACCGCTGACCTTCTGACCGGCAAGCCCTAGGCTCTGTGGTTTAACCCACAGCGCCACCCACCGCCACTGATCCCTGGGGCCAAGTAATGTCTGAACAGATCCTCTTGAGGAAATTCCTTTTATAAAATTCTACAGCTAGGAATATTTGGCATTGTGGCTACCCCCCCCAAAAAAACCCCTGGAACTCAGTTCCAGCACCTCTCAGATGGGTGCCCTTGACATTCTAAAGAGAACGAGGGAGGTGTTCATGGTGAGTTCCGGCACCTCTTTTTCTAGACTGTTTGGCATCCTTTATTTATTTGTTTCATTAAAGCGATCATCAAATAGGAACTGAGACTAGCACAAGCACAGAAATGAATTTATCCAGAGAAATATACACCTTTTGACAGCTAATCAGCAGATAATATCCTCTGAGGTATCAGTCGTGTTAAGTCAACTGTACAAAAATACAGTTGCGTGTCTGCCAGCGACAAGATGTGGCCCCAGCAACAGCAGCAGCAGCTTTCCTCATTCAGGGAGAATATTACAGGAAGATTTGCTAACAGACCTTTTAAACAATTGAGGAACAGAATAGAATACAAAGTGGCAAACCAAACATCCATCTAACATCTGTGCACAGGGAATGTCAAGTTGTTCGGTTCCAGAATGCTGTCTTTCTCCAACTTGCCCCCCCTCCATGAAACTGCATACTAAAAAAAAAAGTTTTAAAAAAGGGATTAAATATATTTTAAGAAGCTTGGCCCCTGGAAGCATGTTATGCAATTTTTTATTGCAGCTATGTTTAATTTGGCAGGTTTGCTTATTTCTGGATAACCTCTTCATAAGAAAGAGGAAAAGCATCTAGGATTCTTTAGAGCTTTGGTGCCAAGGATAAAAAAAAATATCTGTGGAAGAATTAAGGCTCATCATGAGATTCCTCCCGCCTCCAACATCTCCCAGGGCAATTTTAAGGCCTTTATAAAACCCTGTGGAACAATACCCAGGCACAGACTTTTGTAATCTGTTGGATGTTAAGTATTATCTCTTGCCTGTTGTTTCTTCTCCAGCAGGAAAGCCAAGAGTCTGTGGCAATTTCATCTATCGTTATTAAGATTAGATGCCAAATATCTGAATCCCGATTAATCTCACACTTTGCCGAATTAGTTCTTGGAATATTCCGGCTCACTGCACAGAAAAGGATCTCCTTACCAGAACACAAGTGGGATGGAGATTAAGTGGGAGAACATCTTTTCCATGTTCTTTATACAGGAGTCCTTGTCTGTAGTTCGTTTACTATAGCCACATTGGATTTTTTAAAGTTTATTTTAATTACTTGCAGTGCATTTGTACTAGCATTGGAGGTTTTCCTCACAGATCAATGCAGCACAGCCAAAATCAGAACAAACAGCTTATCTCAGCCCTCGTGAATGCAGAAATGGAATGAGATCTAATTCAGGCACACCCTTCAGTTTTCCTGCTCCTTCCTTCCTTCTCTCCAAAAACATAGGCACTTAAATGTGCATGCATGAGCACATGCCCAGGAATCTAATTTTGCATTCACATTTCATTCTAGGCCAAACCATGAAGCTCTGGGAGAGGAGATTGTAGCTACCTTGCTCATCCCATTTCTGCTACTCTATCAGGCACTTGGATTAGCCTGTTGTCCAAACCTGGACTTCTAGTGTAGCTGCGAAACGGCACCAGGTGTAGCTGCGAAACTGCAAGCCTTAAACTGTAGGAACCTGGTTACAGCTCATGGTTAGTCAGAAGAAAGCAAAACCACGAGCCACTGTTGGGACACGAGAGTTACTATAAGCTTATCTCTGTACACCAAAGGAGCAAAATGACTAGGAAGAGAAGCAAAACAACTGTGAGCTCCACTCTGGGGACCTGTGCTCTCAGACACTGACATTAAAGCAGGCCACTGTGAAACTAGGACTTCCCCTGACATTGCTGCAAATTCAGTGAACAGACATAGTAAAACTGACAGACTTAGGTAGCATTTCCACCTGAAAGGCAAATATTATTATTTTGAAAAACTGCCCCTGAATCAATGCGCCTTGTGGGTATTTGTTTTTTACAAGGTGACTTTTCAAAATCCGCTTGAAATTGTTGTTTTGCCACAAAACTCCTGTGATGGCAAGAAAAGATCAGGTGTAAAACATCAATCAATACCGAACTTCACCGTAATTGCTCTTTCCTGCTCTTTACTTTTACGCTATTGCTGTGTAATTTACACATGTGCTAATATGTCTAAGCACTGCTTGTCACACTAGTGACATATTTTGGCTAAGCAAAGCAAAAGGATGAATGTTTAATGCCGCAAGTTAACATAGCCTACGACGGCATTAGCATCCTTCTGCTGTCCTTTCAAAGGCATGTGATAAAAAGCTGGGAGGGCGGTTTGTGTTGGGATTAACGTGATGGCTCATGAAACTGCTCCTTTGATCACTCCTTTGCTTACCACATGCCTTATCAGTATATGAATGGAGAATAGTACTCAGAGCACATGCTTAAGTTGAACACTGCTCACCTAAGAGCCATGTGCCTTTGAAGGGAACCGAACAGAAATTAGTCAAAAGAGTTATCTTTCAGACATTCAAAGAAAACTAACAGAAAATGAAGATAATAGTACAAGGCTCCATTTGCTATCCAAAGCCAATACTTCCCTAAAAAATAATTAAAAATAAAAATAAAAGTGAAATCCTTACCAATTGACTTGGTCTCCAGCTGTTTTTGGACTACAACTCCCATCATCCCTAGCTAGCAGGACCAATGGTCAGGGATGATGGGAACTGTAGTCTAAAAATACAGGTGGAGACCCAAGTTTGGGAAACCCTGCACAAATAGCCAAATAACCAGCCTCTCAAGTGAATAAGCAGAGAATATGAGCTTCAGCCATCAGGTAGTACACATGGAAATGAAAAGCAACGGCTGCCCCAACAGATCAGTCAGCTAAGTATTGAAGTATTGGCTGATTCCTATTTTCTGTTATTACATGATGCTTACATGCAGGTTTTGGATATTGCTGTACATGCATATTTGCTTGGGGGAGACAATGCAACATGATTCTCAAAGCATTTACAGATTGAATCAAAGAAAAAAGTTTGGCATTTGGAAAACATCCCAAAGAATGAGCGTGACAGTAACATAAAAAAACCCTTTTGTGGATAGTATGCAACTAAATCTACTCAGAGCAGACACACTGAAATGAAGGGACCTAATTATTTCTTCTTCTTCTTCTTCTTCTTCTTCTTCTTCTTCTTCTTCTTCTTCTTCTTCTTCTTCATACCCTGCCCATCTGGCTGGGTTTCCCCAGCCACTCTGGGCAGTTCACAACAGAATACTAAAAACACAGTAAGACATCAAACATTAAACACTTCCCTGTACAGGGCTGCCTTCAGATGTCTTCTAAAAGTCAGATAGTTGTTTATTTTCTTGACATCCGAAGGGAGGGTGTTCCACAGGACAGGCACCACTACCAAGAAGGCCCTCTGCCTGATTCCCTGTAACTTGCCTTCTCGCAGTGAGGGAACTGCCAAAAGGCCCTCGGAGCTGGACCTCAGTGTCCGAGCTGAGGGATGGGGGTGGAGACGCTCCTTCAGGTATATTAATTTCTATTCTGAGTAAATTTTCATTGAATACTACCCTTTAATAATAATAATAATAAGAAGAAGAAGAAGAAGAAGAAGAAGAAGAAGAAGAAGACGACTAATAATAATAATAATAATAATAATAATAATAATTTATTATTTGTACCCTGCCCATCTGACTGGGTTGCCTGGGACCCATATCATGGAAGATTGGCAGAGAATAACAACAAAACCAAGCTAACAAGAGAAAGGCAACAATTCTTTTTCAAAAGTAAAGGCTTCTTACCTCTGCATGTTGTTTCTGAACCAGACCATAGGCCATTGGGCTGACAAAGTCGTATGCTACTTCCCACCAGGTCAAATCCTGTTTTACATCGGATTCCACATGCAGCATTGAAATAATTGTTGCAGGTGTTCTGGATAAAATAGCCATTTTCAGGAGGGTGAAGTTCAGGGCAGTGAACCACTAATTGGAGCAAATAATAATTACAAACTGGTTACAGCAAAATCATAAAGGTAAAAGGTAAAGGACCTCTGGGCAGTTAAAGCCAGTCAAAGGTGACTATGGGGTTGTGGCGCTCATCTCACTTTCAGGCCGAGGGAGCCGGCATTTGTCCATGGATGGCTTTCCAGGTCATGTGGCCAGCAGGACTAAACAGCTGCTGGTGCAACGGGATACCGTGATGGAAACCAGAGCGCACAGAAATGCTGTTTACCTTCCCGCCATAGCAGTACCTATTTATCTACTTGCGCTGGCGTGCTTTCAAACTGCTAGGTTGGCAGGAGCTGGGACCGAGCAATGGGAACTCACCCCGTTGTGGGGATTCAAACCACCGACCTTCTGATCGGCAAGCCCAAGAGGCTCAGTGGTTTAGACCACAGCCCCACCCTTACAGCACAGTCCTATACATGTCTATTCAGAAGTAAGCCCCACTGTGCTCCACAGGGCTTCACCCAGGTAAACATGTATAGGATTACAGCCTTAATGGTTACCGTTTCGTGCGATTCCTAAGCAGGATTTATTTATTTATTAATTTTGGATACTGCTCTATACCCGTAGATCTCACGGTGGTTCGCAACATAAAATTAAAATATAAAAAACCTCAAAATACACAATACAAATAAGAACAGAAACAAACCAATAATCCCCTCTTCCACAACACATATGTGCATATGGCTTTCTAGGTCAAAATCAGCACTTTGAATTGGGCCCAGAAACCTATTGGCAGCCACTACAGTTGGGCCAGGACTGGTGTGACGTGCTCAAACCGTCTAGCCTTGGTGAAAAAGCTGGTCTCTGAATTCTGTACTAGCTGAAGTTTCCAAGCCGTCTTCAGGGGCAGCCTCACGTATAATGCATTGCAATAATCTAACCTAGAGGTTAGAGACATCACCTTGCCAATAAAGGTCCATATAGTTAAAGCTATGGTTTTCCCAGTAGTGATGTATGGAAGTGAGAGCTGGACCATAAAGAAGGCTGATCGCCGAAGAATTGATGCTTTAGAATTATGGTGCTGGAGGAGACTCTTGAGAGTCCCATGGACTGCAAGGAGATCAAACATGTCCATTCTGAAGGAAATCAGCCCTTAGTGCTCACTGGAAGGACAGATCCAGAAGCTGAGACTTCAATACTTTGGCCACCTCATGAGAAGACAAGACTCCCTGGAAAAGACCCTGATGTTGGGAAAGATGGAGGGCACAAGGAGAAGGGGATGACAGAGGACGAGATGGTTGGATAGTGTTCTCGAAGCTACCAGCATGAGTTTGACTAAACTGTGGGAGGCAGTGGAAGACAGAAGTGCCTGGCGTCCATGGGGTCACGAAGAGTTGGACACGACTAAATGACTAAACAACAACAACCTAGAGGTTACCAGAGCATAGACAACAGTAGTTGTCCCTGTCCTAATAAGGGCACAGCTGGGCCACCAACCGAAGTTGATGGAAGCTCAAGTGACAGTAAAGGATACAGGAGTACCCCCAAGTAGCCCACTACTTCAGAGCATAACCCCATGAAGAGCAGGCAACCTCCCTGCCATCCGGTCCAGGGAACCACCCACTAACAGTGCTTCAGTCTTCTCTGGATTGAGCTTCAGTTTGTTGGCTCTCATCCAGTCCATTAAAGAGACAAGAGCACTTCCACTGCCTCACCTGGAGAGCTAAAGGAGAAGTAAAGATGTCAGCATATTGCTGACAAAGCACTCCAAACCTCTGGTTTAAAAATAGAAAAGAAAACATTGTCGCTATGAATTTGCACCACCACCATTCTACAACAAATCTCATGAATGAGTCAAAAGGTCATTTATGCAGTCATAACAATCCAAGCAGCTTTCCTATTCAAGGCGTGTGTCCTAGCCATGTGTCCTTTTCTTCAGCACTTGACATGAACTGTGAGTGCGTCCAACACAAATCTTCTCCTAATGTACACGGGTTTTATGGAGATACAAAGGGGATCCTTGTCAGATAAATCAGTTTGGAAAGGAAACCTTCATAAGAAAATTGAAAAACAAACAAACAATCTTCACCACTATCTTAAAGAATTATTGATCATGATATTAATATTTTGGGGATCTCTCTCTCTTTTTTGAGGATGGATGAACAGCTTACCTTCACAAGTCTGGCCCGAAGACCGATACCCTTCCTTGCATCTGCAGTCCTCGACAGAGGTACTTCCTGGTGGAGAGGTGTGATTCTCATCAGGACATGAGATGCAGGTGCTTATTCCACCTGGTGAACCTTCAGGCTTGTAGGTCCCTGGTGGGCAGGCTAAAAAGCAAAGAAAGGGCAATAAAATCCAAGTCAGGATCAAGTTGCAAAAGTATATTGCAAAGCTGTAGTCCCCTACTCCTTCATCCACAGGTACTGTACGCTTGTGAAACATGGACCACCTATAAATGTCATCTCCAGCTTCTTGAAATATTCCATCAACGGTGTATCCAAAGATTTTTACATATCACTTGGGAAGACAGGCAAACTAATGTCAGTGTACTGGAAGTAGCAAAGTTCACCAGTGTCGAAGCAATGATTCTTCAACATCAACTTCATTGATGCTGTCATGTCGTGCAGATGCCTGATTATGGTCTTCCAAAGCAACTACTCTATTCTCAGCTTAAGAATGGAAAGTGTAATGCCGGTGGACAACAAAAGAGGTTTAAAGACACTCTCAAGGCAAATCTAAAAAATAATGTAGTATAAGCACCAACAACCGGGAAACACTGGCTTGCAAGTGCTCCAATTGCAGAACAGCCTTTACCATGGACTTTGAAGACGCTCGAACTCAGGACGAAAGGGAGAAACATGCTAAGAGGAAGGCATATTTGGCAAACCCTCACCGTGATCAACTCCCACCCGGAAACCAATGCCCCCACTGTGGAAGGATGTGTGGATCCAGAATTGGCCTCCACATTCACTTACGGACTCACTGTTAAAACTGTGTTCATGGAAGACAATATTACTAGATTATAAGTGATTGCCAAAGAAGAAGAAGTTACCTTTGGCTCTCCAGATATTGCTGGACACCAACTCCCATTATTCATGACTACTGGTTAATTTTATTTTATTTATACTTTGCCCATTACAAATTTTCACATTCCATTCAACATAACCACACAGTCATAATTGTCGACTTCCCTTCCCCCCTTCCTTGGTTCTGTTTAATAAGCCATTAGAACTGCCTATTCTACATATTCTATTCAATATGTTTTATTGTCCCCCTCCTCACTATATCTTCATATAATTTAAGCTGCTGAATTTACTCTAATCCTGCTAATGTTTTAACCTGTGTTCAATTATTCTTCAGATATTCTGCAAACATTTCCCACTCTTCTTTAAATACTCCATCTTTCTGATATCTTATTCTATTAGTTAAATTTCCTAATTCCACATATTCCACCAATTTCATCTACCAGACTACCTTTTTGGCCATTTATGGGCAGGGCATAAATAATAACTTTGTTTGTTTGTTTGTTTGTTTGTTTGTTTGCTTGTTTATTATTATTTCAGTAAAAATACAGCCAATCTTTACTTTCAAGGGGAAGCTTACTAAAATGTGTACTTTGTATGTTCATTTGCTGGATGAGACACTGTACTACCTGCCCGCTGTCTGTCTCGCCAGAGGTGTGCATGCTCTAGCTATCTCCCGCTTGGACTACTGCAATGCGCTCTACGTGGGGCTGCCTTCGAAGGTGACTCGGAAACTACAACTAATCCAGAATGCGGCAGCTAGACTGGTGACTGGCAGTGGCCTCTGAGACCATATAAAACCGGTCCTGAAAGACCTACATTGGCTCCCAGTATGTTTCCGAACACAATTCAAAGTATTGGTGCTGACCTTTAAAGCCCTAAACAGCCTTGGCCCAGTAGACCTGAAGGAGCATCTCCACCCCCATCATTCAGCCCAGACACTGAGGTCCAGTGCCCGAGGGTCTTCTGGTGGTCCCCTAATTGCAAGAAGTAAAGTTACAGGGAACCAGGCAGAGGGCCTTCTTGGTGGTGGCACCTTGCCTGTGGAATGTCCTCCTATAAGATGTCAAGGAGATAAACAACTACACAAGGACCTCTGAAGGCAGCCCTGTGTCGGGAAGTTTTTAATGTTTGATGTTTTATTATGCTTTTTGTGTGTTGAAAGCCACCCAGAGTGGCTGGGACATTGTTTTTGTTGTTGTTGCTCTATTTCAGTATTTTAGTGTTCCTGGCTTATTTACCAAACTGGAAGGTAAAATATTTTAAGTATACTACTTGACTTTTTCTACTTCATTCTGCCACCTGCCCAAATTTGTTCTCTGCTACCCCACAGACTGCTGCCCACATCCCCTTTCTCGGTAACATTTGTACAGATTGCTCTAGTGCAAAGAGATGAGCAATGTGAAGAGAATGCATTTAAGAGGTTAAAATACTGGAAACGACATATTTAAAAATGCATTTATTCAGTGAACTCAATTACATGGGGGAAATAATCCTTAAATAGCATTTTCCATACCTGATGGTAATAACTGGTCAGATTAGCGAGTTTAACGATTTGCTCTGCACTGCTAATAGATCTTTAGAAGCCTATTAATGTGCTCTCGTTTTTACACAGAGTAAACCTGCACACTAAAAGCTTTGGTAGGGGCTGGGGAAATTCTGGGGGTGGTTTAACAAGATTGAATCTCCATACCAAGCAGAAAGGAATTCTAAAGAGGGGAGGGGAAACCCGTAACTGATTATGGTGCTGTTCCACCAAGAAAGATCACTATACGCTGTGAAATAAGAAGGCAATAAAAAAGCATAGAACATCAAAGTATTCCCTAAAACTAATGTTTACACATTAGTTGTGATGTATGGGAGTGAGAGCTGGACCATAAAGAAGATTGGTCGCCGAAGAATTGATGCTGGAGGAGACTCTTGAGAGTCCCATGGACTGCAAGAAGATCAAACTGATCCATTCTGAAAGAAATCAGCCCTGAGTGCTCACTGGAAGGACAGATCCTGAAGCTGAGACTCCAATACTTTGGCCACCTCATGAGAAGAGAAGACTCCCTGGAAAAGACCCTGATGTTGGGAAAGATGGAGGGCACAAGGAGAAGGGGATGACAGAGGACGAGATGGTTGGACAGTGTTCTCGAAAATACCAGCATGAGTTTGACCAAACTGCGGGAGGCAGTGGAAGACAGGAGTGCCTGGCGTGCTCTGGTCCATGGGGTCACGAAGAGTCGAACACGACTAAACAACTTTTTTACACGTGAAAATAAAAATCTGAACAATCCACACATAATATAATCAATACAATGATATTGGGCAACACTAATGTGGAGCATCAATATTAATATCCATTTTACATCCATGTTTCTTTATCACAGAACAAAACAACGGTCAGTATGCTTACTTTCGAACATCTCCATCTGATTTTCATTGCTTTAAAGTCAGAGGTAACAAGCTTCCGTCTAAGCAAGTTTACTTAGCTTAGATCCGTTATTCCTTTAACACAATTCAGCTAACCTTTAATTCATAATTAGGGAAGTCAGGGAAGAATGGCTTTAAGTTCAAAGGCCGATTCACTCTTTCACTGCATAAAATGAAAACTATGATAGTAACTATTAATATAAAAAGGGTAGTATTTATTCCAAATTAATTGATCCAGAATCCAAAGGCATAAGCTTGCACACACTGACCCTTAACACTCAGCTGTTTTGCAGCTGATGTATTGCAGGCTTACAAAGGTTTCTTAAAAACATTTAGCAAAGTGCCGAATTATGATACCCGCATTAAATTCATAATTATACCATAATTTGGAATGCTCCTGTTCAGTGTGGCAGGCAGCCTTGCCTTTTTCCAGGATAGGTCATTCCAAAGGATACGTCATACACAGTATTTGATCAATGGAGTAATTCAGTAAAGAAGACATGGATGCACTCCCAATATTGTGAGTGATTACCAAATCACCTCACGATATATATATATATTTAAATTCTTTTTAAAAAGTTCTGCGAAGAAAAGCTGCTAGGATTACGAAAGTATTCCAGTGAGCGCATCTCGTTAAATATTTTTTATACAGGTCTTGTACAGCAATTGCAAATGGAACATCTAACATGTCTACAAGGATCAGGGAAGATTTGTGCTAAATCCCAGCATGTACTATATAACTCTTGCATATTTCCTGTTATAACCAACAGATGCTCTGCATTGATTTCAGCCACTGCTAATTCTTTCTCTTTCGGAAACTCTCGTGTGTTGCAAGACTGCGTTATGAAACTGCAAACTACTCACAAGGCACAAATTGGGCCTTGTAACTGCTATATTAGAGAGATTAGTTTGCCTTTGCAGCACGCTGCAGAAGAAACTCTAAATCATTTCAGCCTGAAGTCACCCTGAGTGCCTATTGCAGCGGTGAAAGTTTCCGTAGGGGGAACAGTTAGGACCAGAGGCACCAACTTGTGAGGGCGATTTTTTTGGGGGGGGGAGAGGCAGCGATGTCATGGCATCCTGATGCTGTGTAAAACAACAACAAACAAACCTATGGTCACATAAAGCATACTCAATAAACACACGAGACATAACCAGCAGTGTTCTTAGATACAGGTAAATAAGGTATACTATTCATGTATCAAATCATAAATTTCAACGGAAGTAACTCATAAAGTTCAACAAACGAACAAAGCAGAAGACCCAGTGAATCAGATCATTCTCTAGTTAGTTCGTGCATAAGGTCCATCCGTGTAATAGTGTCTATTCCACCTGTCTGTTCATAAGATCCAAACAATCCACATGAAAGGTTGTAAACGACCTCGGTCCAGTATACCTGAAGGAGTGACTCCACCCCTATTGTTCTACCCGGACACTGAGGTCCAGCGCCGAGGGCCTTCTGGCAGTTCCCTCACTGCAAGAAGCAAAGTTGCAGGGAACCAGGCAGAGGGCCTTCTCGGTAGCGGCACCCACCCTGTGGAATGCCCTCCCACCAGATGTCATAGCAAACAACAACTACCAGACTTTTAGAAGACATCTGAAGGCAGCCTTGTTCAGGGAAGCTTTTAATGTTTGATGCATTACTGTATTTTAATATTTTGTTGGAAGCCCAGCCAGATGGGCTGGGTATAAATAATAAATTATTGCTGCTGCTGCTGTTGTTGTAGCAGTTCCACAGAATCCTTTCATAGAGTCTAAGACAAGGATTTTCGGAATATTGGCCTTGTTTCGCCGTCCTGGGCTTCATCAGTACAGTGGAACCTCGGGTTAAGTACTTAATTCGTTCCGGAGGTCCGTTCCTAACATGAAACCATTCTTAACCTGAAGCTAACGGGGCCTTGCATTGCCGCCACGTGATTTCTGTTCTCATCCTGAAGCAAAGTTCTTAACCCGAGGTACTACGTCTGGGTTAGCACAGTCTGTAACCTGAAGTGTATGTAACTCGAGGTACCACTGTAGTTAAAGCTCATATGTGATATTACAGGACAGTGGATCTTATGGCATAGTAGTCCTGATGTTTCCTGCTTGGCAGGGGGTTGGACTCGATGGCCCTTGTGGTCTCTTCCAACTCTATGATTCTATGATTCTATGATTCTATGTTGTGTGCATGAGCATCGTGCCTCCCTCCCTAAGCCAGGCAGAAGCTTCCCAGGCTTTGAGAAGGTGACACCAGGCCTCTGACAGGATACCAGAGCCCTCTGCCTCCTTCCCAAAGCCGGGCGGATTTTGGGAAGGTGGCAGAAGGGCTCTTGGATCTGTTGGAGCAATGTGACTCCCTAAGCCAGGTACAAGCTTCCTGAGCTTTGGGAAAGAGGTGCCAGGGGAACATTTAAGCGACTAGCCTAGTCCACGGACTGCACGCCACTGAGAGTTACAGTCACACCTCATGTTTTGTCCACTTCATGTTACGTTCTTTCAGGTTATGTCCCGCGGCGACCCGGAAGTACCAGAAAGGGCTACACCTGGGTTTCATTGCTCACGCATACACGCAAAATGATGTCACACGCATGCATAGAAGCGGTGAATCACAACCCGCATGTGCGCAGATGCGCCGCTGCGGGTTGCGTTCCTTTCATGTTGCGAACGGGCCTCCGGAATGGATCCCGTTCGCAACCAGAGGTACCACTGTGCATGCAAATTTTTAAAAAAGCAAATGCAGATAATGTTGAGTTTGAGTTTGGCCATGTTATAGGTTTAACATATGCCTAGGTGAATGTTTCAAAATGAAAATATGACAAACTCAGCAAGCTGCCATTGCCTTTAGGAGTTTGGTGTGAAATGTCTAGCCTCCCTAAGATGCCATTGATTATCTAACTATGCTGCTCAACAACAATGTTTATATTTCTTTGAACCAACATTCCCAGTCACTAGAGACGCGCAGTGCCGGAAACAGCTGAGCTTAAAGCTTGAGAACATGTGCCATTTAAAATGTTTATTTACTTAGCAGCCAAGGGTCAGATGGTTTAAATTAGCATGACAGAGCTGAGGCACACGTGTTCAGGCACTAGAAAACATAGAAAATCAAATGCTGTTTATTCCCCTTGTTATTCATGTAATTGTGCAACAATGCCGTTTCATTCTTGTTCCCAGGCCTTGGCTATATGAATATGCCACTCTAATTTTATAATTTCCTCTAAAAGTTCATACTTAAAACTAGCATAAAATGGGAAAACACTTCCACAGACTTATGAAAGTAATGTTTGTTCTAAATAGAAAATCAGAACTTACAATTCCCTTCCCACCTGCCCGTGTGGACAAAGTTCAAACAGTTCACCTCAAAATGTGGAGCATTGCAACACAGTGCACAATCAGGCTCTCATTATTTCAGTTAGAATCGAATTTGCACAAAGAAGTGCCCACAGTCCCATTATGTTAAGGTTTGTGATGTGTTTTTGCATCATTCAGCTATAACCTCTGCGCTGAAAGAAACCTGCATGAAATAAACAACTTGAAAAACATGGAAGCCAAGTATTTTCCAAACTTTATCAAAAGCTACTCACTGATAGATACCTGGGAGCAACTAGGTTCCTAACTGGTTTACAAAATGATCCCTACAGTCTTGAATCAATAGGGAAAGATGTCATTTGTATCAGTGACAGTAGCATGCCAACAGGAAATGCAATCAGACTCCATACAGCTACTTTCCCATTGTGGGTCATGTGGCCACCGTGACTAAACTGTTTCTGGCGTAATGGAACACCATGATGTAAGCCAGAGCGCACAGAAACGCCATTTTACCTTTGATTCCAACTGAAAACATAAAAGACTGATTCTGCACTCTGTTGCAACGCTCCACGTTCTGATAGGTTCTGAGGGTTGCGGAAGTTGTTCCATACACTGTGATAGCCCCTTTCTTTGGTTCGATTTCAAACCGTGCAGGCAAAAGAGTTGCCTGACGTAACTTTGTCCAGTGGCCCCACCCACTTTGTCCACAGGGGCAGGTGGGGGAGATAAGGATCTGGCCCACTGGTTGGGTCCAATTCCACACCCCTGCGATATTGCAACACAGCTGATTTATCTGCCCTTAAAAGAAGCACCACTATGCCTGGTTATCCCTCCTAGACCAGGTCTGTTCAACAGGTTGATTGTGATCTACCAGTCGATCGATCGCGAGATGTCCCTGGTCGACCCATTTAATGAGGCTTTCCCCAAAAAAGCTCAACAACTCTGGTCAATCCAAAGGGTAGATCACTGCCAGTTTTAGTGGGAGTAGATCACAGTCTCTTGGAAACTGGACAGCCTTGCCCAAGACGATGCATTCTTCTATTTCACCCCCTTCAAAGTGAAACCTTTTTTCTACATAAGAACGGCATGCCCGTGTTCACTTACTCTGGAAATAAAAGTGTGCTTCAGCTATTAGAAGTCTGGAAAACTCTTATCTGAAACTTCCTGTCCTCCTAAAATGATATTTGTAAAAATCATTCCTGCGCCAAGTGAATTTCTCAGTGTATGAATAAGTAGGCTGATTAAATAGCACTCATCAGATACTCAACCTCGATCAAAGCCATGCCTAGCAAATCAAAGCGAAGTAAATGAACCAAAGCTTTACATCAAAGCAGAGAGCAATATTAAAATATAACCAAGGCTCTTAATTTTTGTGTTTAAGGTTAAGCCAGTATTTAACAGTGTAACATATCCCATAATTAAGATGAAGAGGTCAAAATTTACTGGTACATATAATGGTTGCTAGGAAATGTATGGCTAGTTAATATAGTCCACTTACATACAGAAGAGTTCAGACAGATGACTGAACCAGAACTCCTTATAATATACTCTCTTACGACTTACGCTGCTCCATCAGAGACGGGTGTCTGCTACAGCCATCATGCTGTCAATAGCTTCCTCACTTCTGCCCCCTCCCTGCCCTGGAGGCTAAGGGGGTGGTCAATTTATGGAGAAAAAGACCTAACATTCTACTCAGATTTTTAATTAAATGGAAGAAATCTGCTGTGTCCCCAGATTTCTGCTGCATACAGAATTTGGGGAAAACAGTTCTGCCGTCAGTCTTTTGTTTGCCATCGCCACCCCATAGCTTCAGCACATTAAAAGGGGTTTACTGGCCTGGTTTTTATCAATTGCTTTAAATTAAGTTTCAGAAACGGTAATAAGTAATAATGAGACATTGATCTTCTATTGATTTATAACTACTAGAGCTACCAATGGCCCTCTTAATTTCATGAGGAGATGATTGACCATGTCATCTGAACACAGAAGCTCTGGTGCCTACCACTGGAAAATCAGACAAGTAGTTGTTTGGAATTGTGGGTTTTTTTCTGACAGGGAGTTAAGCACAAAACAGAAAGCAAGTGGCTCATTTTCACAAGTACAGAGTGGTACCTCAGGTTACATACGCTTTAGGTTACATACGCTTCAGGTTACAGACTCCGCTAACCCAGAAATAGTGCTTCAGGTTCAGAACTTTGCTTCAGGATGAGAACAGAAATCGTGCTCCGGCGGCATGGCGGCAGCAGGAGGCCCCATTAGCTAAAGTAGTGCTTCAGGTTAAGAACAGTTTCAGGTTAAGTACGGACCTCCGGAACGAATTAAGTACCAGTACTTAACCTGAGGTACCACTATATCTGGTTTTTAATTAAGAGAATTCTAGAATCTCTTCCTGGAAACTTGATGAGGCATTGAAAGGGTTAGACCTAACAATCTAGATTGCGAGCCACCCTGGAACAGAAGCAAGAAAAACAATTTCCAGGCAAAATAGCTGGATGATGACATTCTTTGGATAAGATATTGGAATATTATTTGATACTTTGCTATATTACAAAAAAAGAAGCACTGTAAAAGTCATCAGAAGTTCAAAAGGGTTATTGGTTTCTATCCAGATACATGCATTCACCCGTCAGACTCACCCTTTTTAGGAGAGTGTCTTTGTATTATTTGTACAAACTTTCAAAATCTCAGTACTGATGAAAAGGTCACTCAGTTTCATGCATGTGAGAAAAGTTGCAGACACAAAAGCTTTGTCCTGAAAATAACATGGGGGAGGCACTAAAATATCTTCAGCAACCAATCTGCCCTCAATATTAACTTGTAAAAATGACCCATTTTATATCTTCCAAAAGAGTTATCAAGAAGGCAGCTAGAGCAAAAGACTCCCGGGTCTTCCCTAAAATGATTGCCTCACACATCAAAAAAACTGCATGGAAAACCAATTTCCTACAAAGAATTAATGAGGCATTGGCATGCAGATCATTAAACAATCACATATCCAGGTGTGTTTTTTTAAAACACGCACAAGTCAGTAATTAATGCAAACAGATACCCTGTGCAAGCATGTATATGCAATTTCTACCTATACATAGTGTCTGGTGTGCAGGGCCGGATTTAGGTTTGATGAGGCCCTCAGCTACTGAAGGTAATGGGGCCCTTTCTATGTCCAGCTGTCCTTTGTCAACAACAAATTGTCACTGTTTTTTTGTGTTGAATATATGATATGGTAATTTATGGACCTGATAGGTATCTAAAGCCATTTGCCCATGTTGCCATGCAACCAGTCCATGCAGAATGTAGGCACCCTGTATATAGAAATGAGCAAACCGGTGATATTTTAGGGAGCAGGCTAATGACTTACCTCATAGGAGCCTACAAAACACTGCTGCTGTATGTCGGTTTTATTTTATTTGTTTTTATCCTATATTTTGGAAATGTACATCCAGTTTTTTTTCCCTTTAAAAATTTCAGGGCCCCCAAGAAAGTGGGGCCCTAAGCTATAGCAGTGGTACCTTGGGTTACAGACGCTTCAGGTTACAGACTCCGCTAACCCAAAAATAGTACCTCGGGTTAAGAACTTTGCTTCAGGATAAGAACAGAAATTATGCTCCAGCGGCGCGGCGGCAGCAGGAGGCCCCATTAGCTAAAGTGGTGCTTCAGGTTAAGAACAATTTCAGGTTAAGAACAGACCTCCAGAACAAATTAAGTTCTTAACCCGAGGTACCACTGTACGTAAATCCGGAACTGCTGGTATGGCCGCAGAGCTGCCTTTGTGAGACGAGTGTTGTCACAGCTCACCTGGGCGATGCTGGGTAGGGCTGGGGGTAGGGCAGGTTTGTTTAAATGCACTCTGTCTCTGTCTACCTGTCCACTAGACCAACCCACCTGCCACAACTCAGCTGCTAGGGCTCTGTGCTGGAGCACAGCCCCAGAGAACACGGCTGCCCTTCTTCCGCCTGCCCCCTTTCCCCTTCCCATCCAGGTGGAGCCTCTTGCCTCTCCTTGGTGGATGGTGGCGGGGGCAGCTCCCTCCCTCTTGGCTGGCCCAAGGGGCAGAGGAGGGGCACACAAGGACCTCATCGCCGGCCACAAGGTGATGGAGGTGCTGTTGAGAATTCCGTTCCACCTTAAGGAACAGGCATGTGGAATTGTTGCATGTCCAATGTCTGTTTACATTCCAGCACAGCTTGCTTTGGAGACGAAGGAGATCAGATATGTTTCCTTTTCGTCCTGATCTATGCTGAATAAAGCCCGCTTATAAGTACCGTATTTTTCGCTCTATAAGATGCACTTTCCCCCTCCTAAAAAGTAAGGGGAAATGTGTGTGCGTCTTATGGAGCGAATGCAGGCTGCGCAGCTATCGCTGCTCTTCTGGCTTCAGCGATAGCCATGCAGAGCCTCTTGAGCGCAGCCGGAGCGCTTCTGCCTCTTCGCTCAAGAGGCTTTGTGTTGCTTTCTTGTTTCTTGTTTTCCTCCTCTAAAAACTAGGTGCATCTTATGGTCGGGTGCGTCTTAAAGAGCAAAAAATATGGGTATGCCCACACAGCCTCCCGTGCCACTTCTGTTTGTGTAGCGTGTTCTCTGCTGAATGGTGTGCTCAGTCTTCTAAAGCCTGAGTCACAGATTTATGCTGCACCAAGGAAGGGAGTTCGCCCGGCACACCGGCCAGTGGGCTGGAGGCAGCTGGGGGCCTGCCAATTGCCCCTGTTTCCTTGGTTGCATGCCAACAGGCGCACTGCTGCCCCAGCCCTGAAGGCTTGGCCCAGGCACAGCTTGGCTTGCCTCACCAGGGTTCCAGTCTCGATGAAGGAGCCTGCTGGGGGGGACGGACATCTGGTTGCGCCCCCCTCAGAAATGTGTGCAGGGGGCGATTTCCCAACCCCATGATACACCTCTGCACCAGTCTCATGCCATACAAGTTCTTGGGTCTCAACCACAGTCTGTTAGTCTATGATGCGGTGATAATAAGTGTTAATAACTGGAAAACTAAACATGGCATTGTTAAAAGGCCACCAACCATAAAATTACCCGCCCTAAACTTACTTGCTTACACTCTGCCCATTTCATTATACAGTGGTACTGCGGGTTACGTATGCTTCAGGTTACATACGCTTCAGGTTACAGACTCTGCTAACCCAGAAATATTACCTCGGGTTAAGAACTTTGCTTCAGGATGAGAACAGAAATCGCGCAGCAGCGGCGCGGTGGCAGCAGCAGGAGGCCCCATTAGCTAAAGTGGTGCTTCAGGTTAAGAACAGTTTCAGGTTAAGAATGGACCTCCAGAACGAATTAAGTTCTTAACCCGAGGTTCCACTGTACTGGGGAAGGAAAGGAGTCCATGTGTATTCGACAAATTCTTCATGCTTTGCAAAACTGCAGATAAGTTCAGCTGGGAAATGTTACAAAAAGAGAGCCAAACTCTTTCAAAATAAAAAGGGTTTCAAAATAGTTTTCTATTTTCTTCACTTACGAGGGGCAAACATGTTGTCTTTTGTCTTTTTTTTTTTTAAGGAAATGCAGCAAGACTTCAGAAAGATTAAGTCATGTTTATAAGGAAAAATGAGATCCCCCAGGCTAAATGTTATGATGTGTGTGCAGAGTTTCAGCTGATTTCTCTCCAATAAGCACATGCAAAGCAGATGGCAAACCTTCACGTGCTTCGTATAATATATGCTACCTTTTAAAAATGTCTACTTGCTGATGCATTGCTGATGTTCTTACAAAAAGCAACAACATCTGCCAAATGCACTCTTAAAAACCTTACGGTTCTGGATCTTGCAAGTCCAAAACCAGATGATATTCGCATATACAGACTGTGCTGAATGTCAGGATGAATGTGTTTTGACTATTATAAGCTCCAGAGTGGCCACAAGTAAAATTTTCATTTAGCTTGTGAAGTCAGATAAAGGCACAAATTTCACATTAGAAAATTCAATTTGCATTAATCAACCATCTTCACTCTACAGCCTATGGTAAAACAGATGTGCTTTTAGGTCTTTTTACAACTAGCGAAAACAATCAACTGACAAAACTGCTCAAAAAGATATGCGAAGCAATCTCATTTGGCTAAGAAGAGTCTTCAGAATGCATTCAAATACACTGATAGTTCTGATGCCTATAAATGGACAAAAATGGAAGCTTTTCAGGAAGCTCTTCGTCATACATCTGTCAAGAACGTTGGATTGTAGCACAATATGAACACCAAATTGTTCATATCCTTCCCTGGTCTTCTTCCAGTTAGTTCCACCACCAACCTGCCTCGTTATCTCCTTAATTGAATCTGGCTTTCCTTCAGGCTTTTGACTTTGGATCATAGCGAGTCTTATATCCCAGTGAATGCTGGGCAAGATCCAACATCACACCAGTAGATACAACAGGACTTCCAACCTTCCAGAGCAGATTTTGCTACATGCAAGGGGCTGAAGTAAAAATGGTTTGTGCAAGGAGAAGGTTGTTGTGCAAGTGGAATTGCCCTTCTGACCTGGTGTTGTCTAGTTTGACCCACCATGGTTCCGAATGATTGCAGTCACACCTGCAGCAACCTAATCCTTTTGACTCAGGTGTGGGGAACCTTTGGCCCACCAGATGTTGATGAACTACAACCCTAATAATAATAATAATAATAATAATAATAATAATATATTACTTAGACCCCACCCATCTGGCTGGGTTTCCCCAGCCACTCTGGGTGGCTTCCAACAGAATATTAAAATACAATAGTCTATTAAACATTAAAAGCTTCCCTAAACAGGGCTGCCTTCAGATGTCTTCTAAAAGTCTGGTAGTTGTTGTTCTCTTTGACATCTGGTGGGAGGGCATTCCACAGGGCGGGTGCCACTACCAAGAAGGCCCTCTGCCTGGTTCCCTGTAACTTGGCTTCTCGCAGCGAGGGAACCACCAGAACGCCCTCGGCGCTGGACCTCAGTGTCCGGGCAGAAGGATGGGGGTGGAGATGCTCCTTCAGGTGCCTGGAAACATACCAGGAGCCAATGTAGGTCTTTCAAGACCAGTGTTATGTGGTCTTGTCGGCCGCTCCCAGTCACCAGTCTAGATGCCGCATTCTGGATTAGTTGTAGTTTCCGGGTCACCTTGAAAGGTAGCCCCACATAGAGTGCATTGCAGTAGTCCAAGTGAGAGATAACTAGAGCATCAGACCTAGCAATGTCCTGGGATGACGGAGGTTGCATTTCAGTGACAGGTACAGGGCTGAGTCAAACACATCATCACCATTGTTTTAGTTGTATACCACCTTTCCGTAGTTCAATCCATGCTCGAGGTGGATTACAGCATGAAAAGATTTACGTAATCAACAAACATAAAATGCGCAAACACTAAATAAAACGCATCGGAAAGTACGCAACCCAATGGAACAATTTCCACATAAGATTTCCACCATATAGTAAGATCTAAAAATAATGAATGAATATCAACAATAACAACAAAACACCCTAAATAATGCCACAGCCCATGAATCTGTTCAGCCATCCACCTGTCCTCCTAGGCCAGGTGGAAAAAGGCCTGCAAGGCAGAGATAATAATAATAATAATAATAATTTATTCATTCATTTATTTCCCTCCCATCTGGCTGGGTTTCCCAGGACTCACAGCCAAGATGGTCTCTGGTCTCTTAAGCAGCCTTCGCTTCTGTAGCTGGAATCAGTCAGTCAGTCAAACAGCCAGTTATCTAGTGAATTTTGCACTGAGAAGGTGGGGAATTTATTAAAACAGCCCCTTTTAAGTTCAGTCCTTTTACGTCACCCCTTGGACATACATGAACAGCTGATAAGGTCATTCATTCAGTTTTTTATATGGGCAGTCCCCTCCCCCGTTTCCACGCATCTGTTATTGGCGCTACATTGCACTGAAGTCAAAAGTGACCTGGAAATGTCATAAAGACGTCACTGAAAGGTCACTAAGAGGGCGAAAGGGGGGCAGGGTGGGGTGGAACAGGGTGTTTGCAGGCTTCTTCAATGGGTTTCAATTATACGTGATTTCAATGATGTACGTGGTGCCCTTGGAACGTAACCGCTGCATAAACGGTGGGCTGCCCATACTATTGGGTGAAGAAGAGCCCACTGAAACCTCAAAAGCAGGCATCCCCAAACTTGGCCCTCCAGCTGTTTTGGGACTACAATTCCCATCATCCCTAACCGGTCCTGTTACCTAGGGATGATGGGAGTTGTAGTCCCAAAACATCTGGAGGGCTGAGTTTGCAGATGCCTGTTCAAAAGGGTTCGGCAAAACAGAAGAGGCCACCTCAATCCATGCTTATATTCACACCCAAGAAGAAGAAAACAGAGACTGACCTGTACATTCATGTTGCAGCCCTTTGCCATAGTATCCTTTTTCACAGATGCACTCAAACTGGCCTGTGTGGGTCCCACATTTGCAGCTCGCCATGATATCGCAGCAGCTCTCGCTCCCTTCGCAAAGGTAGGAACAGTAAGATATGTCTTCTTGGATGTAGCTACCAGAAGGCAAATCTGTAACCACACAGAGGGTGAGATGGGAAGGAAACAGGGTTCCAAACAAACAAGCGAGTTAAGAGATAATACTCGTAACTATGGCGAAAATAGTTTTTTTAATCAGGAACATTTTAACATGGGGTGCAAAACCTGAAACGAACCGTAAGGATTTGCTTTGAATTTAATCCACATTCTTTGCTCGACTCTTAATGAGGCAAATATTTCATTGGCTACAAAGGAGAAATTTGGCGGCAGGTTGGGGAGAAGAGCTCATTGGTTCTCCTGTAATGCAACGATCCATTCATACATTTCCTCCTCTGCCCTTAAGCGCCTACAACTGTATGTTGATTTATAAGGACCTGACTCACTGGATAATTCTTCTACATGAGACTCAATTAAATAAATATAAGCTGCAGAAGAACAGAGCAGAAATATAACTTGTTCTTGGTTGCACCATATGCTGGTGTATAAAATTAAGACATCTCCATTCTAGATAGCCTCTCCTCCTTCCGGAGGGGAGGGGTTGTGAGCGGGAGCCGTTTCCCGCGTTGGCAGGGGGTGTTCCAGCCCCCTGCGTCAGCTGTCCCAGTTGCCGCGCCACGCCTCCTGGCAGCCAACCAATCGGGTGGAAGCTGAGGGGCGGGGTTTAGCTGCTTATATGTGGTTGCACTCGTGGTTGGTTGCCTTGGTTGTCCAAGGGGCCTGGTAGGAATTTTGTTGGCAAATTGGCACCAGCCACTTGTTTTTTCGCCTACCTCATAGCAAATCGTCACAACTTTTCGGGTATTGGTGGTTAGGCATTGGAATATGTTTGTGTATTGGAGGGCAGGGTGTGGCCATCGTCTACCCCTCCACTTTATGGGTATTACGTTAAAGGAATCTGGCAGTAGTGGATCCTGTCCAACGCCCTTGCTGGTGGCTAAGGCTGTGGCACGACCCCCGGTGACATCGGGGGAAGCTTCCAGTTGTATTTGCATCAACAAGCTCCCCCTACTGGTGGTTAACCCTTGATAGACTCCCCCCTTCCTGAGGGGGTGGAGTCACGCTCTGTTGTTTTATCCAGTGCCTAAGCCAATACCACTCACATGCTGTAATCAATAAAGTTGTGGCCTTTTTTTTAGCCCATTAACCTAATATACGGCGTCCTTGTGTCTTTCTTATCCTTAAGCGGGTGGCCAGTCCTCGACTCACAAACTTATTCTGAGGCTCTTAGGGGTGTCTGGTTTGACAATTTGCAAAACTGATTCAATTTAAGATGCTTCAAAGCATTATTTATAAAGCACTGCCTGATTCTTAGAAGGTGTGATCAACTTTGATATCAGCTTATCAAAGAGCAATTATTTTCCTGGCAGACAGTACACTGTAAAGTACTTAATAACATTTGCAGGTTGAAGTAGTCCATAGACTATTCATGAAGTGTTTGAATTTGCACAGGAAGTCAAAGAGTCACCCCTCTGAATATCTTACCAAGTTAATCAGATAAAGCCCTTTCTAGTCAAGTGGCCCAACAGGAACATCATAGGCAGTGCTCTAAACGTTTGTTGTGACTTAATAATGATTTCGGTGGTCGGAGAGGAAATCCCAAGAGCCTCGGTGTTTTTTTTATAAAATATATTTCAAGACTGTGCAATTCCAAAAGCACACAAAGGCTTGAATTTGAGCCTTGTGCAGATGCTCATTTCATAGACTGCAGGGGTTGGGCTAGATGGCCGTCCCAACTCTACAATTCTATGATTCTATACGTTGAGAGAAACGAGTGGAGGAGGAGCAACTAGGGTTGCCTCGGTTGTCCCCAGCTCCTGACCTATGGACATTAGTATACCACCCAGAGTATTTGGTTTTGTGAGCACTGTACAGATGTCGTTGTTGTTTTGAATTATAATTATTATTCAAGGTGCTGATTACACAAGAGCACACATAGACCTGAATGCTAAAGCAAGTGGAATCTAAATGTGTGATGTGCACAGAAGTGGCTCACTAGGAAGGGAGAAGCTGCAACGCTAATTTCTCCACAGGTGGAAGCAATAATAATAATAATAATAATAATAATAATAATAAATTTATTAATTGTATTATTTATACCCCACCCATCTGGCTGGGTTTTGCCAGCCACTGTTGGGATTATTCTGTCCAGAGTGGCTGGCAAAACCCAGCCAGATGGGTGGGGTATAAATAATACAATTAATAGTATTATTTATTGTATATTGAATAATAATAGTAATAATAATAATAATAATAATAATGTGATAAAACATCAAACATTAAAAGCTTCCCTAAACAGGGCTGTCTTCAGATGTCTTCTAAAAGTCAGATAGTTGTTTATTTCCTTGCCATCTGATGTGAGGGCGTTCCACAGGGCGGGCGCCACCACCGAGAAGGCCCTCTGCCTGGTTCCCTGTAACCTCACTTCTTGCAGTGAAGGAACTGCCAGAAGACCCTCGGAGCTGGACCTCAGTGTCCGGGCTGAACGATGGGGGTGGAGACGCTCCTTCAGGTATACTGGGCCGAAGCCGTCTAGGGCTTTAAAGGTCAGCACCAACACTTGGAATTGTGCTCGGAAAGAGTGCAGGTGGCATATAAATGCACTAGCAGAGACAATTTGGTGTCCCTGCCAGCATCTTTGCACTACATCGACCTCCCCAGCCCCTCGCGCCCCACTCCTTCCCCCTCCCAGTAAGCAACAGCGACCCACCTGCCTGGGAGGTATCATAGCAGCTTCACTTTATCTGGCAAGTGGCTTCTAGACGTGCATAAATGTGAACTGGCCACACCCATTGCTGACATGTGGTCTTCAGAGGGATGCTTAATTGTCTGACCCAAAAAAAGAGCTAACCACCCCAGAGTTAAGGTGAATCTTACGCTCAGAATGCGTGTCATAGCATTCACAGGCCTCACGCTTGTTTTCTGTATGTTTGGGTTTAGCATTACTGCATTTGTGTATCTAAAAGGATGGTTTCCTTCAGCGCCTGAATTTTTAGTTGGTCAACTATTTGATCAGCATTTCCTGATCAATGTAGAATTCAAATAAATAACAGAAGTTCAGTGCGAGGACAATATTTCTGAATGCCATGAAAGTATTCCACGTGGAGTGGAATGTGTTCCATTTTATCAAAATTCAACTGGAAGGCAAGTACCTTCGTGGAGGGCTCTGCGAGCCAAAGCTTCAAACTCTGCGAAACTATGAAGCAAGTAGCAATGTTCCTCCTTCGGGTGAGACGCCATGTCGTTCAGCTCCCGGATGTTGCCTTGCCATATCCCAAACGTGAAGATCTCGACTCCAAATTCACGCAAGGACGCTGCAATGGGCCTGGGGTCTCCTCCGTTGGAATAGCCGTCGGTAATAAGTAATATCACCTTGGAAGCATTTGCACGGGAGTGAAGCAGTATTTGCTGGAAGAAAGGGGGGGGGGGGAATAGCATCTCAAGGCCAAGTGCAAGTGACCTACTCATGGTCTTTTCAGCCAGGGGGGCACTCCCTTTAGTTACACTGTTTAACTGCAGCTTTTGCAGGACCACCCAGTATTAAGACCGTAAGATCAACAAGCTTTCAGCAGCCAGCGTAGTTAAAAAGCCAAGTACTACTGACTCACAGTTCACACACTTATATTCGGCCTTAATACGGATGCTATATTATAGCATAATACAGATGCTATCAACCGGTCTTACAGGCAGTTTCTTATAATGAGAAGCCGCCCACTTTTGTAAAAAAGCAAACCCAGACGCAATGATCTGACATTCACCACTAGCTGAAATTGCAAATATTTTTTTTATCAGTACTTAAAAAACTCTGACTTGAAATATTAGATTAGATGGCATAAGAGCATCACACTAGGTTAGCTTGGTGAAGTATCAAGTGAAGTTGAGTGAATGTTGCTGATGCCAGCTGAGTTAGATCTGTTCTCTGAACAAATGAACTGCATTATGGGGCAGAATCATAGAACTGTAGGGTTGGAAGGGACCCCTGAGGGTCATCTAGTCCAGCCCCCTGAAATGCAGGAAGATGCAGCTGTCCGTCATGGGGATCAAACTTGCAACCTTAGGCATTATCAACACCATGCTCTGGCCAACTGAGCTGTCCATAAAAGGACAACTTGATGCAATATAACTGTGATTTTTTTTAAAAAATTATTATTATTATTTTTATTATTATTATTATTATTATTATTATTTATTTATTTATTTATTTATACCCTGCCCATCTGGCTGAGTTTCCCCAGCCACTCTGGGCGGCTCCCAATCAACAGTACAGCATTAAATATTAAAAACTTCCCTGAACAGGGCTGCCTTCAGATGTCTTTTAAAGATAGGATAGCTGCTTATTTCCTTCACATTTGAAGGGAGGGTGTTCCACAGGGTGGGTGCCACTATCGAGAAGGCTCTCTGATTTGTGTATATATGCAGGAAAACATTTGGGGACCATTCAGGAGGTCTACTCATGTGTAAAGCCAAAACAGGAGCCTACAGAGTTGCAGTGCAAACCTCTGAAGTGAGGGGGGGGGAGGGCTCCTGTGGTTGTGGAGGCTTCCTATAGTATTCAGAACCCATATCTAAACTGTGCACAGAGCTTTCATGAGTTCCCTCCTGCTTCAGAAGTTTGTTCTCCAACTCGTGGAGAGTGACTGAGCTAAGTTGCTCATTCCCACTCTCTCCCCTTGTGTACTGGTTTTACACAGAGGTAAAAAAGGTAAAGGTAAAGGACCCCTGGATGGTTAAGTCCAGTCAAAGGCGGCTACGGGGATGCGGCGCTCATCTCGCTTTTCAGGCCGAGGGAGCCGGCGTTTGTCCACAGACAGCTTTCGAAGTCATGTGGCCAGCAGGACTAAACCGCTTCTGGCGCAATGGAACACCGTGACGGAAACCAGAGTGCACAGAAACGCTGTTTACCTTCCCGCCACAGTGGTACCTATTTATCTATTTGCACTGGTATGCTTTTGAACTGCTAGGTTGGCAGGAGCTGGGACAGAGCAACAGGAGCTCACTCCGTCACGGGGATTCAAACTGCCAAACTTCCAATCAGCAAGTCTAAGAGACTCAGTGGTTTAGACCACAGCGTCACCCGCGTCCTTCCTACAGAAGGAGAACCTGAGGAGGGCCACACACACAAATGCTTCTCCCCCCCTATTGGAGGTCATGTTCAGGGATGCTGCTTAGCTGTGGAGAAAGGAAATAGCGAGTCGGAACGTGGGGAGACAATTCGATAGGAAACAGAATAATTTATCACCTTTTGCTCTAAGAAACAGGCCACCTTTTGCTTTGGGAGGACAGAACCAGTTTAAAATATAAGTTCTCCTCCTTTGTTTTGGCCCCATGTAGTCTATGCCCCCTGAAATTCTGATACACCAAATTTCTCTTTATCCTAAGTTTTGCCCAGAAGTTCATTTAGGAGTCACCTGTGGGCAATCTCGTTGTTGGGCCTAATTAGGCCTCTCATAAACAACAGAGATTATATATATGCCCTGCATTTTTAAACTTTCAGGTCATGTTCCCATGTTTTGTTACTTCCTCAGCTGAAAATTCCAATATAACCCCAGCTGCCTCAGAGTCCGACAGTCCTGGCTGGCCTCCATTGGCTCCAAACAATGGACCCACAAGGTGGGTGGGGGTGGGGTGGGGGGTGTCGAAGGAAAACAAGAGACTGGTTTCATTCCAAGCATTGCAATATCACAGCTGAAACTACTATGTCCAAAACACATAAAACACAAGCAAGACCTTAGGGTGTGACGAACCTCTGCTAATCTTCATATTGTACTAGAAGTACAGAGTATTAGAATACGTTCTTAGTTACTCCTTTTTCATAGACCAGAAAGTCCTACCTTTGCCAATAAACCTGAACGGCGCCTATATTTTATATGGTGTTTCTTTCTTTTCTTTTCTTTTAAATAATTTTTATTAAATTTTCCATTTTAACAATCCAATCAAATCACATTAAATATTCCAAATTATACAAATACATATCATATAGTCCGAATATTCTGCCAAATTATAATTTTTTATTGGGACTTCCCATGCTTCAAGTTCAGTGGGGCTCTGATCATCTTATGTCTCTACTGCCTTGAGTTTCCAATAGTTCCTTTAAATCTTCCTGTTGTTACCCTTATATGGTGTTTCTTTCTTTCATTTTTTAATTAAAGCAATGCATTTTTTAAACAACATCTAGAAGGCCACAGGTTTACCAACCCCATTTTTTTCCTGTTGAGAAGATCAGCCATCATTTCATACACCTCTTCCCTTAAATTTCATGTCATTTTTTCCAAGGACATGTCAGCAACATGAAATGTGTTTGGTGTGAAGGAATGTTCCAAGGGGAAGAAATGTTTATTTACATGTCCACAGTAACTAAGGACCCACATTAGAGTGGCTTTGGTTAACACAATGAATATATTTACATTGTGGCAATGTGGGACAAAGTATTTTTGTACCTGAATCCAGTGAGATAACAAGGATATGCAAGATAATACAATTACTAACATATTTTTGAGTTTATCTGGCTAAGTATTCGATCTCTTACAACTGGAAGAAAACACACTCCATGGTAGAAGAATTTAGGGTGAATATGCCCCATAAATCTTAAATAGTAAAATGCTGAAGCAAAGTTTGAAATCTGGTCCAAAGTGATTGTAAAAAAATCCTTAAACTCTCTTAGAATTAACCGTGCAATTAGGTCCCTTAACACTTTGTAATTGATTAACCTGTCAGTTCAAAGTCTGCTTTTTCAGTAAATGTTTTTCTTCACTCCACTAGGAAAAACTCAGCTATTTTTCTTTCTCGCACCGCTAAGTAAAGATAACTAATTGCATTCCTTCCTTCAGTACAGCCAGCAACAGTAATATGACTGCCTTTGTTTCTTCTATCACAGGGAGTAATTGCACGTCCCAGAGAGCAGGAGATAAAACAACTCAGTGGCTATTCTTGATCTCTAGCAAGAGATCTCTTGAAAGAGCAACACCAAGGAGTCTTCAAATTAAAATTGTATTTTAAAGCAAAGGTGGATAACTAAGCACAGAAAACTAGGCTGTAACCGTATCATAAATCACAGAGCAGTGACTAACCTGAATACTCATTTGCATTTAATTAATTTTCATCTCCTTTGTTCCACCTTACAAATACAGTGCTACCCTGGTTCTCGAATGCCTTGGTACTCAAGCAACTTGGAACCCAAACACTGCAAACCCGGAAGTAAGCGTTCCAGTTTGCGAACTATTTTCGGAAGCTGAACGTGCTACAGTTTGAGTGTTACGCTTCTGATTTGAGTGCCACACTTCCATTTTGAGAGTTCCGCTGAGGTCAGTCTGTTTTTGCTATTTATTTTGTGTTTGTGTTTGTGTTTCCGTTTTTGCGGCTCTTTTTGTTTTGTTTCTGTGACTGTGTGGAACCCAGTTCAGCTACTGATTGATTGACTCTGTGACTGCAGTACCTTGTTTATCGCTTTCATTTTATGGAACAATGGTCTCGTTAGATAGTAAAATTCATGTTAAATTGCTGTTTGAGGGCTTGTTTTTAAAAGTCTGGAATGGATTGATCCATTTTGCATTACTTTCTATGGGAAAGCATGCCTTGGTTTTGGAATGCTTTGGTTTTGGAACGGACTTCCCGAACAGATTAAGTTTGAGAACCAAGGTACCACTGTATTGAACTTGGGTAGTCAAGACAGCCAAAAGCTTGTCCTTCCTTCTAACTTCTGGATGGAATAACTTTGCATTGTTGATTTCAGCTAAGATCAAAGAGCAGGTGCCAGCAAAAATCACAATGCAGGAAAAACCATGCAGCCAGCCAATGCCTCTCCATAGCTCCATCCTTATTTCAGTTCAGCTGGTGATATATCATGAATGCTAAAAACCAGGTATTGACCAGCCCTAATGTATTATCACCTTAAACATAGCACTACTGTATTGGCACTACCCCAGGTGGACATGCAATGTAGTGGACGAAATATTGGACTTGGCCCAGGAAGTCTGGGTTGAAAGCTCCATTCAGCCACAAAGCTACTGCTCAATCTTGGGTGAGTGACTATCAGGGGCTATTCAAACTGGCTGACTCAGCTTTATAAAATGCAAGACATCCATAAAACATAGAATATGTGTTCTAAACTTTGCAGGCCAGGAATAAGACCTTCTGCAGCAGAATTCTATTCATTTCTAGTCAGAAGACTTGTGGATCTCCTATGACCACTTTTCTGAGAGAAAGCTCCTTTAAATTCAATGGGGCTTAGATTGATTTGTGGCCTTTGGACCATAAGTCAATGGGTTACGGCTACAATACTCCAGAGCTCCTACCACACCAGTTGTCCTTTTGTTCCAGAGGAACAACAGTTTACATCTCAATAGTCCATAATGCACTTCCATAAAGATTTCAGGTATATTTCGGAGAGCCTCTTGGAAAAAAGGATTTGAGTCTTTTTGTGTAAACATAATGAAATAATTATTTTTAAATTTGGGGAAGCAAGTGAACATGGGTGAATAATTAAAGTCAGTAAAGGAGAAATATCACAAATGAAACACAAGGAGCATAGGTGTAATACAATAGTGTTTAAAAATAGAGGACAGTGGCATAATAGCTCACAAGAAGAGAAAAAAGGTGGTTGTTACATTGAAGTGCAAGTTCCTCTATTCATTCCAGTAATGGCATTTCAACATAATAGAAGTCTTCTATAATCCCTACCAGGACATCTCCAAGTTGCAATTTGTCTGGCAAGAAGATTCACAAGGTAAGAGCCCCTTAGAAAATGGACGAGATATATTAAATATCAAGAGAGAACCAATTACATCTGGCTGAGTCAATTTACAGCACACAATACTTCATTACGAGAAGATGGTGATTCTAGCATCCTCATTTTAGAGGATCAATGGATTATGTTGGGAGGAATTGTATCATGCTAACAAATCACATTTAAAATAAATAGTGGTCCAAATCACTTATACTTATGTTCCACTGAATTCAACAGGCCAGCTTAGTTGCAGCTAGTTTCTGCCCCATTAATTTCAATGGGGCTTTAGTGAGACTAACCTGTCTTGGATTTGGGCCAGTGTGTTGAACTTTGTGACACTGAAATCAGTGGCAATTCCTCCAAGTTCTCTTTTTGAGAGATATATGACCATGGGTGTCAGGATGAAATGAGTAGATTATATACCTCTGGAGATACTGTTCTACTGCTAAAGCTCTATCTAGCTCTAAAGATGTACTCCAATTGCTGATGTTTATACCGATGTTCTGTGTGATTATTGAAATGGAATTTGTGAAATGCTAACTAAAACGAATTTAAAAAGTATCTGTGGCAAAATATCCTAGAGATAATACTATACCTTATGATAATATACCACATGGTTTCAAACCAATTTCTTGCTCCTTACCACACTGGGCAAAGAACACTTGGGATATTCCTAACTGGATTTGAAACCTATTTAGATACACCGAGCATTGAACAAGATCAATGATATACAGTGGACGCTCGGGTTGCTGTCTCTGGTACCCTGGAAGATGCTTTCTGATATGCTGATACGTCAACGTAGTTCTATGAAGAATGAATTACCCTTTGCTCCTAAAAACCAGCGGAAAATCCCAAAGAAACAAAGGTTACTGAAAAATAATTCCAGAGGAATAGGTGGGTTAAGTCTGCTGCAGTTACGAAGACGGAATGTTAAAGCAACGGAAACTGACAAATTTATTGTGATATAGCCTTAAAGGTAAAGGGACCCCTGACCATTAGGTCCAGTCGTGGCAGACTCTGGGGTTGCGGCGCTCATCTCGCTTTATTGGCAGAGGGAGCCGGTGTACAGCTTCCGGGTCATGTGGCCAGCATGACTAAGCCGCTTCGGGCGAACCAGAGCAGCGCACGGAAACGCCGTTTAACCTTCCTGCCAGAGCAGTACCTATTTATCTACTTGCACTTTGACGTGCTTTTGAACTGCTAGGTTGGCAGGAGCAGGGACTGAGCAACGGGAGCTCACCCCGTCGCGGGGATTTGAACCACCAACCTTCTGATCGGCAAGTCTAACCCACAGTGCCACCCGCATCCATATAGCCTTATGTCATAATAAATGTCTCAGTCTTCAAAAAAACTTTTTTTTGGGGGGGGGGTGTTTTTATTTTAAATGTTAGCCACTTAGCCACTTCATGAATTGCATGCACTCCTTTGCATCAAGAACTGCAGAGCTGTATGGGTGGCATTGGACCATTTTGAACTGTATGTGAATACAAGCAGCAGAATCCTATGCAATTTCACTCAGAAGTAAGGAGCACAGTTTTCAGTGTGTGGCTTACTCCCAGAAAAGTGTGCACAGAATTACAGCATAAGAGAAATAAGCAGACAAGAGAGTGGTGTCATAAATGCTCTTGTGCAGCACGACTGAGCATATTCACGTAGAATTAAACCCCACAGACCTCAACAGGACTGACTCCCTACTAAGCTCGCATTTGCTGGCAGCCATATCCACCTGAAATTTGTGGATTTACTTGCAAATTTGGTTAGTGTTAAGGTAGAAAGCAAGGAAGACATTTTACAAGTAAATCTATATTCAGGCAAGTGATGATTTTTATATTTGAACCACCCTAAGACCTGCAGGTACAGGATGGTATACAAATTTAATAAATAATAATATAGATTTGAATTGGGAAATGCATCATGCAAACATAAATTATAAAAAACATTAATTACCTCTTACTTATTCCTGCTTAAATAAAAAAAAAAAGTTCCTACGTTAACATAAACAATTTTTTTTTACCTTTTTCATACAAAACTCCCTGGACCTGATCCAGGCAACATTAAGCAACAGCGCAATCCATGTTTACTCAGAAGTAAGCCCCTCTGAGTTCTATGGGACTTGCTCCCAGTTAAGTGTGGGGATACGCAGCTAGGTTAAGCTCCACTGATTTTAGTGAGACATGAAAGTATTTAACTTTGCCCTATATTTTATGCACGTCTTTAATAATAAATGTATTTGTGTAGGACATGTTACAGAGGATATTTTTTTTAAAGGAACATGATTAAGTTGCCGCATAAAAATAAGATAATTTTAATGCCCCCAAGCAAGAGACTGTGAATAATTTCTGTCTCACAGAGCAAATAAAAGCCTTAGCTTTACCTTACACTTTTGAGATGACAGAACAGTATCAAGATTGCTACTGAACCCTGATTCAATTTCTTCACCTGCTTAGTGGATTGTTGTATTTTTTATGTTGTGAGCCACCTTGGGATGTTACATGAAAGGTGTTATACAAATACCTAAAGAGTCATTTCTTAAATAAAAGCTGCCACATTCCACTTTACCACATGACAAATGCCATGCAGATTTCCAGAGATCTTCTATGATATACACTGTGTATATTATATATGTGATGAAGTAGGCTCCAGGCCACAAAAGCATACACCATAATGAATTTGTTATTCTTTATAGTACCACAAGCTGTCAGGAAAATGGTTACAGTCAAACCTTGGTTCCCAAACGCCTCCATTTTGGAACGTTTCCGTTCCCGAACGCTGAAAAACCCGGAAGTAACTCCTGTGGTTTTTGAATGGTTTTCAGAAGCCGAACATGCTACGCGGCTTCCATTTTGAATTTCTCTATTGTATTGAGGCTTCCACTTTCAGTTTTCGATTGTCGAACATTTTGGAAGTCGAATGGTCTTCCGGAATGGATTACGTTTGACAACCGAGGTTTGACTGTAATACATGTGATCATAGCTTTCCTCAATAAATAAAGGCCAAATAAAAGCCAAAATAACCAAGTGGTTAACGTGTGTTGAATTATTACAGCTGTTAACGCATTAGGTAAGAGAAATGCATATAAACATAGAAATAATATTGCATGCTAAAACAGATAACTCTCATTATTACGGTGAAAATGTGAAAATGACAATTTGACAACTCTGAGGCTCAAAAAACGAGTTAGATGCTGTCGTAAATATGCATCCATGTAATTTCATGATCTGAGTGTTTTAACCAATTCCTATTCATTCAGTGCTGATAATCCTGGGAATCATTTTCTTAACCCCCCCCCCCCCAAAAAAAAACCCTTGGCGCAGCCAGGACTTTATTAGCCCAGAAGTAGAAGCAACAGTAACTACCAACAACTGTAGAGTGGAAGACGAAGAGGATGGAATATGCAGAGCTGGCGAAGCTGACTGGGAAAATCTGAAACCAGCGCGATCAAGCTTTCCAAAAAGACTGGGGTAAATTTATACAATATTTGAAAGACAACTGCAAACAATTAAAAACACTAGCAGGACATATTCTTTTAAAAATGTGAAATGGTGTCTTGTAAACAGGAAGAAACACAACTGTGATGGCAAAGTAAAGAATTACAATGGTGTCCAAAGTTTTTTTCAAAAAGGGCAGATTTGATGAAGTGAAGGGCCGTGAGGGCCGACCAAAGGGCCAACCACGGTTGTTGACCTTTTTTTTAGGAAATAAACTGCCATAGGGGGCAGATTAAACTGACCGGCAAGCCAGATTAGGCCCCCGTAAAGGACTTTGGACATGCCTGAATTAAGGTAACCATGAGATGGAGGGGGGGGAGTTGACAAGCTCATATGAGCAAAAGTTAATTGTGAAAAATGAGGAAGTATTTATATACAGTGGTACCTCGGGTTAAATAATTCATTCTGGAGGTCCGTTCTTAACCTGAAACTGTTCTTAACCTGAAGCACCACTTTAGCTAATGGGGCCTCCTGCTGCCGCCGCGCTGCCGGAGCACGATTTCTGTTCTCATCCTGAAGCAAAGTTCTTAACCTGAGGTACTATTTCTGGCTTAGCGGAGTCTGTAACCTGAAGTTTATGTAACCCGAGGTACCACTGTATTGTAAAATGAAAACTTCATAAAATACAAACAACAACAACAAAACCTTGGAGCATTCCTTAGTGGAGGATAAGATGTAAGCAAGTGTGGAAGGGGGCTTCATTAGTATGCCTTACTCAGTATCCCATTAGTATCCCTTACCCATGAGGGACCAGGGTGAAACCATCCCTGCCCCCACCAAGGGAGCAGAGGTGCTTCCACCCCAGCACCTCATGGCCCCAGGCTCATGTTTTTCCTCCCTCCACTTTTCAACATCGCAGTGTAACACTATATAGTGGAACCTTGGTTCTCGAACAGCTTAGCTGACGAACAAATCGGCTCCTGGATGCCAAAAACCCGGAAGTAGGTATTCTGGTTTTCGAACGCTTTTCGGAAGCCGAACATCTGACACGGCTTCCACATGCATGCAGGAAGCTCCTGCAGCCAATCAGAAGCTGCGCCTTGGTTTTCGAACATTTCGGAAGTTGAACGGACTTCCAGAACAAATTACGTTCGAGAACCAAGGTACCACTGTATATCAAGAGGGTGAATTGGCATTTGAACCAAGGGACGCGGGGGGCACTGTGGGTTAAACCACAGAGCCTAGGACTTGCCAATCAGAAGGTAGGCGGTTCGAATCCCCACGATGGGGTGAGCTCCCATTGCTCGGTCCCTGCTCCTGACAACCTAGCAGTTTGAAAGCGTGTCAAAGTGCAAGTAGATAAATAGGTACCGCTCCGGCGGGAAGGTAAACGGCGTTTCCGTGCGCTGCTCTGGTTCGCCAGAAGCAGCTTCGTCCTGCTGGCCACATGACCTGGAAGCTGTATGCTGGCTCGGCCAATAAAGTGAGATGAGCGCCGCAACCCCACAGTCGGTCACGACTAGACGTAACAGTCAGGGGTCCCTTTACCTTTACCTCTATATCACAATGTTTGGGTGGCGATACACTGTGGTGTTGAAAAGCTGATATCACCCAGCCCCACATCAGTGCCCTAGCTACCAGGGGCGGGGAGGCGGGAAGAGAGCTAGTCGTTTTTTGCCCAGGTGAAGCCTCCAGAGGGCCGCCATTGAGGCCCCCATCCTGTGTTCGTGTGTATGCAAATGTGCAAGGCGGGTGCCACACTGGGTCTTTGACCTGGGTGAAATGAAGCCTAGTTTCACCCTGAAATTGCATGTGACACTACAACTCTATGTACATATCAAAGCTACACAGGTGTTTGGTAGTGTAGATGTGTTTATTTGTCTATGTGTGATGAAAGTATTTATTTTGGAGGTAACAGTGTTTCCCGTTGGAAGTCAGCAAATTTCACTGACACAAACATTTTGTTCAAAACTCATTGCTGTTACTCGAGTACCTTCTGTAAGCAACTCGGCTTTGCCTGCTAAAAGGCTTCTACAACATAACTAGTGAAAGAGTGAACTGTATGTTCAGTACCAGTTGCCACCACAAATATAGAATGAAGGTAATACATTGGTATCTCGGGTTAAGTACTTAATTCGTTCCAGAGGTCCGTTCTTAACCTGAAACTGTTCTTAACCTGAAGCACCACTTTAGCTAATGGGGCCTTCTGCTGCCGCCGCGCCGCCGGAGCACGATTTCTGTTCTCCTCCTGAAGCAAAGTTCTTAACCTGAGGTAATATTTCTGGGTTAGCGGAGTCTGTAACCTGAAGCGTATGTAACCCGAGGTACCACTGTATACATAATTCCTGGTGTGCATGCAGCTCAGATTTTGTGGCGTGCACATTTTGAAGATACGTGTCCCAAATTTGGAAATCGTTGGAACTCAACTTCAAAAAAACTGAAGATTTTTTAAGGTCTTGGGGGGTGGGGACCCATAATGCACGCATCAGAGAACTAGACACTTACTTTTGCCAAATTTAATGTATCCCTATAAAAATGTTTATGTGGAGGGAACATAAAGGTAAGGCCTGCCCCACAAAATCAATCACATGATGTAGCACATGCACACCATTTGAATCTCCATCAACTTTGGCCCCCTTCCCTCAAATATTTTATGGGGAGGGGGGCAAAGGGACCTTGGCCCCTAAGGGTTGTCATCTATGCATGAGGGTCATGTATTTCACTCCTCCTGCAATGCAGGAATCTTTTGTCCAATGTGCGGCTCAAACACACATCAAAGTGCAAGTAGATAAATAGGTAAAGGTAAACGGCGTCTCCTTGCGCTGCTCTGGTTCGCCAGAAGCGGCTCAGTCATGCTGGCCACATGACTCGGAAGCTGTACGCCGGTTCCCTTGGCCAGTAAAGTGAGATGAGCGCCACAACCCCAGAGTCATCTGCAACTGGACCTAATGGTCAAGGGTCCCTTTACCTTTTATATATAGGCTGCCTACATTCTACATGGACTGGTTGCATGGCAACATGTGCAAATGGCTTGAGATACCTATTCGGTCCATAAATTACCTTATGGCACATATTCAACACAAAAAACAGCGGCAATTTGTTGTTGACAAAGGACAGCTGGACATCTAAAGGGTCCCATTACCTTCAGTAGCTGAGGGCCTCATCAAACCTAAATCCGGCCCTGAGCCCCACACTGAGCAAAGGTTTCCTGCATTGCAGGGTTTGGGGCTAGATGATCCTTGTGGTCCCTTCCAACTCTGCAGTTCTCTGATTCGATGACCCTGAGATGAAGAATCTCATGCTCCACCAGCTGAGCTATCTGCACGGGAGATGCCAGGGACTGACCCTGGACTCTTCTGCCTGCAATGCAGATGCTTTGTCTTTGAGCAGAACATCTAACTCCAAGGAGCCAAGGTCTCTTCGCCGCCCCTAAAACATTTGAGGGCTCCCTTCTTCCCCCAAGTTGATGGGCACCGGCAGTGCTATTTTTCTAGAAAAATAGGTGCCACACTTTTTCTAACAACAAAAAAGGAGGTGCCAGTCCCGGGTACCATTGAGTACCCCCTGGGCGGAAAAGCACCAAGTATCGCCATTCAAAGAGTTGTCAAGAAGGCTGGCAGGGCTTACTTGGGCCCCCCAATATTTTACTCAAGTTGGCACCTCTGGGTCCCCCAATGAAATCTTTGATGGGGCCAAAAAATGTATATTAAATAAATTATGGGCATTGGCATTCAAATGGTGTGGTGTGCTGGACATGTGATCGATTACGCAGGACGGGGCTTGTTGTTGTTTAGTCCTGTCCGACTCTTCGTGATCCCATGGACCAGAGCTCGCCAGGCTCTCCTGTCTTCCACTGCCTCCCGCAGTTTGGTCAAACTCATGCTGGTAGCTTCGAGAACACTGTCCAACCAACTCGCCCTCTGTCGTCCCCTTCTCCTTGTGCCCTCAATCTTTCCCAAAGGACGGGGCTTACCTGCCCCCTAACATTACATTCAAGTCGCCCTCCCTTCCTGGAGTGCACCACGTTGGCACCCACCCTGCGCGTTCCGACGTTACGCCCGCCACTCACCGCCGCTTGCTGGAAGGCGCCCTTGGTGTAGGTGCCGCCCCCTCGGTAGCCGATGGCCGGGATCTCCCTGCCGAGCAAGGCGCACTTGTGCTGCTGCCGAGCCCGTGCCGTCGCGGGCGAGATGTAGTCGACTCTTGGCACCACGTTGTTCTTGGACGAGAAGGTGACGAGGGCGACGCGCGTGGCCGTGGGCACCACGGGGAAGTCGGACAGCAGCTTTTTAACGAAGCGCAGCTCGCTGCGGAAGTTGGCCTGGCCCACGCTCGACGACTCGTCCACGAGGAAGACCAGCTCCAGGCGCCCGCTCCGCTCCCTCAGGCGCCGCACTTGCCGCTTGAAAGCCCGGCCCAGCTTCTCCACTTTGCCCTCCGTCGTCGCCGGCGAAGGCGACGCCGAGCGCGCAGCCAGGGAGCTCAAGTCGACGGGGCGGGAGAGGCTGAGCGGCTGCGGCGGCGTCCAGCCCCACACCAGCGACGCGCCGCCCCACAGGTACACCGCCAGCAGGGGCCACATCCCCCCGGGTCCAACTCGGATCGCCTCCCCCCAGCTGCGCGCGCCGGACGCCCCCTCGAGCTTCTCCCCTCTCGCGCGCGAAGCCCTTTCTTTTTTGAGAGCGCACGTGGAGAGATAGAGAGCCCTGGGCGCGCTCGGCAGCGGCGTCTAGCCTCTGACTGCGAGGAAGAAGGAAAGCGCTGCCGTTCCTCAAGCCCTTCCCCGACGTGTTTCTGAAAAGGAGGAAGAAGGGGGCACCGGCGAGAAAGAGAGAGGAAGCTCCGTCCTCCTCCTGCTCCTCCCCTTCGCTCAAGTCGCGGCTGACTCCGGATTCCTTGTCACCCGAGCGCCGTCGGTGTCTGCCAGGCTGTCAACATTCCCGGCGGCGCAAACACATCGGCACCGAGGCTTAAGCTCTGATTGATCCCATATGTCTGGCAGGCAGCGCCGGACGGAGGGGAGGGAGGGAGGGAGAGAGGGGCGGCGAGAGGATGCCGGGCTCGAGGGATGCATCCAGATACCACGAGTGCCACGGTAATTGGAAACACTTTGTAGCAGCAGGCGCAGCGGGAGACCCGGGAGTGGGGGTGGCCGGTTTGGGGAGGGGAGTGTGTGTTTGACTGAAGGGGGAACGCAACCTCCCGCTTCCAGGAAGCCTCCTATCTCGCCCAGTGTTTTCCCAGGTCCCTTATTTCAAAGGAAGGCAAGTCCCAGAACATTGGATTGTAGAGTTGGAACGGTCTAGTCCAATTCCCCCCTGCAAGGCAGGAATCTCGGCTAAAGTATCCAGGACAGATGGCCAGGCAACGTCTCCTCGAAAACCTCCAAGCAATTGTAGAATCATAGTGCTGGAAGGGATCCCTGATAGTCATTTAGTCCAACCCCAACCAAGGCAGGACTCTCAGCTACAGCATCCAGGTCAGATGGCCATCCAATCTCTGCTTAAAACCGTCCAAGGAAGGAGAGTCCACCACTTCCCGAGGAAGTCCGTTCCACTGTCAAACAGCCCTTACTGTCAGAAAATTCTTCCTGGTGTTTAGTCAGAATCTCCTCTCTTGTAACTTGAAGCCATGGGTTCGAGTCCTACCCTCCAGAGCAGGAGAAAACAAGCTTGCTCCCTCTTCCGTGTGATATTTGAAGATGGTTCTCCTATCTCCTCTAAGTCTCCTCTTTTCCAGGCTAAACATACCCAGCTCCTTTGACCGTTCCTCATAAGGCCCTTGATCATCTTGGTTGCCCTCATCTGCACACTTTCCAGCTTGTCAACATCCTTCTTCAATTGTGGTGCCCATATAAATGGACACAGTATTCCAGGTGTGGTCTGACCAAGGCAGAATAGAGTGGGACTATTACTTCCCTTAAGGGATGCGGGTGGCGCCGTGGGTTAAAACACAGAGCCTAGGACTTGCCGATCAGAAGGTGGGCGGTTCGAATCCCCGCGACGGGGTGAGCTCCCGTTGCTCAGTACCTGCTCCTGCCAACCTAGCAGTTCAAAAGCACATCAAAGTGCAAGTAGATAAATAGGTACCGCTCTGGCGGGAAGGTAAACAGCATTTCCATGTGCTGCTCTGGTTCGCCAGAAGCGGCTTAGTCATGCTGGCCACATGACCCGGAAGCTGTACGCCGGCTCCCTCGGCCAATAAAGCAAGATGAGCGCTGCAACCCCAGAGTCGGCCACGACTGGACCCAATGGTCAGAGGTCCCTTTACCTTTACCTTACTACTTCTCTTGATCTGGGCACTAGATCAGTTCAGTGATCAGCCAAAAAGAAATAAACCCCAGCGCAGCTCGAACTGCTCCTATAAGGGTTTCTCAAACAAATGCAAAAAAGGTTGCATTTGACCCAGTCATAGAATTGTATAGTTGGAAGGGAACCCAAGGGTCATCTAGTCCAACCCCCCGCAATGCAGGAATCCTGCCTGGGTGGGCTCAAACCACCAACTTCATGGTTTAACAGCCAAACACACTGACCCATTGTGCCACAGAAGTCCCTTCCCTTTCTTTCCTTTCAAGTAATAATAATAATCATAATAATTTTATTATTTATATGCCACCTATCTGACTGGATTGCCACAGCCACTCTGGCTGGCTTACGACAGGATATTAAAAATATAAACAAATCAAACATAAAAAAATCCCTATACAGTGGTACCTCGGGTTACAGACTCCGCTAACCCAGAAATAGTACCTCGGGTTAAGAACTTTGCTTCAGGATGAGAACAGAAATCGTGCTGCGGCAGCAGCAGCAGCAGCAGCAGCAGCAGTAGCAGCAGGAAGAGGCCCCGTTAGCTAAAGTGGTACCTCAGGTTAAGAACAGTTTCAGGTTAAGAATGGACCTCCAGAACGAATTAAGTTCTTGACCCGAGGTACCACTGTACAGGACAGCCTTCAGCTGTTTTCTAAAAGGCAGGTACAGTCAAACCTTAGTTGTTGAACATACTCCATTCCGGAAGCCCGTTCAGCTTCCGAAATGTTCAACAACTGAGGCATGGCTTCTGATTGGCTGCAGGAGCTTCCTGCACTCAAGCGGAAGCTGCGTCGGACGCTCAGCTTCCGAAAAACTTTCAAAAACCAGAACACTTACTTCCGGGTTTGCGGTGTTTGGGAGATGAAACGTTCCAAAACAGAAGCATTTGGAAACCAAGGTTTGACTGTAGTTGTTTATTTCCTTGACATCTGATGGGAGGGTGTTCCACAGGGTGGGTGCCACTACCGAGAAGGCCCTCTGTCTGGTTCCCTGTTCCCTGAAGCTACCTTCACTTCTTGCAGTGAGGGAACCACCAAAAAGCCCTTGGAGCTGGGCTTCAGTGTCCAGGCTGGACGACGGGGGTGGAGATACTCCTTGACTGATTTCTCAGCGATAACTTCTTTATCCATCTTCCTTAACCTACTGCCCTCCAGATGTTTTGGCCTGTAACTCTCAGCCCAAAGGCTAAGGCTGGTATATGCAGTGAGGGAAAGGATTTTGGGTGGAAGGAAAGCTTGGCCTAAACGCAGCCTCTTTCTTTAGTCTCAGACATATGATAGAATGGCAAAATTGACTGGACCAGATTGTAAGTAGCTTTGGGTCTAGATAATTTCTGTATAAAATATTTCTTTTCTTTTAAAGGCGTGTTTGTTGGTATGTCTCCATCCTTTTACACGTTCTAAACCAGCAAAACGTTTAATCTTACCTAAAAGTATATGGAGGGATATGCAGTATATGTGCTAAAAGGAAAAAAGGAAAAAAGGGTAAAGGACCCCTGGATGATTAAGTCCAGTCAAAGGCGACTATGGGGTTGCGGCACTCATTTCAGTTTCAGGCAAAGGAAGCTGGCGTTTGTCTGCAGACAGCTTTTCCAGGTCATGTGGCCAGCATGACTAAATCGCTTCTGGAGCAACGGAACACCGTGACGAGAACCAGAGTGCATGGAAATGCTGTTTACCTTCCCGCCACAATGGTACCTATTTATCTACTTGCACTGGTGTGCTTTCAAACTGCTAGGTTGGCAGGAGCTTGGACAGAGCAATGGTAGCTCACCCTGTCGCAGGGATTCGAACCACCGGCCTTCTGATCAGCAAGCCCAGGAGGCTCAGTGCTTTAGACCACAGCGCCACCCACATCCCATACCTGGGCACTCATAAGCAGTGATGAACATCACATCAAAATGTACATGTCTGTTGCCAGAGTACTTACTGATCAAGCCTCTGGACTTTTTTTCTGCTTAATGAATTAAGAAAACCTGCGCAACCACTATGAAGATGTCATGAGACATACACACACAGAGAAATTAATGTTTTCTTCTACAGACAATGGTTGCTGTACAATACAGCCTCCAGGTCTCTGAAAAGCTATCATCTGTATTCAGCCTTAAGATGCTTTTCTACAACTGCATTTTTGCAGAGGTTGCTCAGGAGTTCCCAGTTGACTAGGCCATTTTATTAGCCAGATGAAATACATGTTGCCCTACAACATTATTAAACAGTTTCACTCATTATAACTACATGTTCTGAAACCGCTTACTGTCAGGACGTGACAGTTCTAGTGCTCAGAACCGCTAACTGTGAAAATGCGGCGGTTTATTTTAATCTCAGCAACCTCCGCACATGTGCAAAGCTGAAAAATCTAGGAGACAATTATACATTAATCCTCCTCATACAGAGATTAATGAAAATTCACATTTTGCCGAGTGACGGGATTCTCGCCCCGCTGATCCTACTGTCATCGCACATCCAGTTCTTCCCTTTTCAGCCCAATAGGACTCTGTGTGTCAAAAGGTTGATGGCTCAGTGGGCCGTAAGACAAAATATAATTTATATGTATATGCATGATTAGTTAGGGCAAAGGCAATTTATCCTTTAAAAATAGATTCAATTGCAAAAAAGAACGCATGATTCCGGAGGATTAAGGAAGGAGGAATTCCACTAAGATTGTCAACTTCGGTGTCACAAAGGCATGGCTTGGAAACAAAGAAAACGCCAAGGCAGTTAAAAGAGATGAGGAAGAAATGTTGCTTTTTTAAGGGAGGAATTTGTGTGCCTGGCCTTCTTCTTGACGGTGTTTGAAAATGTGCCGATAGCCCTGTTGATCACTATTTCAAACAACACTCCGGTGATTTACATTAGTTCAGCATGGGTGGTATACCCAAAGATGCAGATCTTTGTGTTTGTAAATCTACCCTGTTCACATTGAAAGTGGGGAATGAGTGATGAGGGAATGAGCCCTTAACTTTCCCATGACTTACTTTATTGCTCACTGTCCAATGATGTCACTTTTTCTGTAGCTGCGCTGCAATACCAGAAGTTAGCAAGGAGGTAAGTTGCCGGTGGAAGGAGGCGCTGTGGTCTAAATCACTGAGCCTCTTGGGCTTGCTGATCAGAAGGTCGGCGGGTCGAATCTGTGCGACGGGGTGAGCTCCCATTGCTCTGTCCCAGCTCCTGCCAACCTAGCAGTTCGAAAGCACACCAGCGCAAGTAGATAAATAGGTATCACTGCAGCGGGAAGGTAAACGGTGTTTCCGTGCACTCTGTTTTCTGCCACGGTGTCCCGTTGCACCACAAGCAGTTTCGTCATGCTGGCCACATGACCCAGAAAGCTGTCTGAGGACAAACGCCGGCACCTTCAGCCTGAAAGCAGAGATGAGTGCCACAACCCCATAGTTGCCTTTGACTGCACTTAACCATCCAGGGATCCTTTACCTTGACCTTTACCTCTGTATCCTTCATCCATGTGCCCATTTTGCTCTTTAAGTATAACTTGCTTCAGTTACTCATGTGCTAATAAGATCCAGACTAGGCTACTACAGTGCACTGCATGTTCAACTGGTACAAAATGTTTGCCATCTAAATGTTGGTGGGAGACAGGAGGTCTGAATATGTAATGTCGATATTGTAGCAATTGCACTGGTTACTGGTGTGGCGATCACACAGGGTCCCCGGACGTTTCACCATCTATTAATCCCTGTGCCACCACTTTATTTCTCGCTGCCACCACCCAGGCCCTACCTGGTACAATAGTGAGTCCAGACAGGTTTAAATTGGAACATAAACTTCTGTTTATTTATTGCAGTTTAACAAACGTATGGTTTCATAAACGGTATCGGTCAATTACAATCACGGGGTGCCTATTCAGACCTATAGCTTCCACTACTTGCTCTCTCTCACTAAACCACCTCTCAGATATTTACTTGTCTTCCTAGCTCCTAACTGTTCCTGACTCAGCTTATTTCGCTACACTAACTCAACCTCCCCACAGACTCTATCCCCATTCACTCCCACTCCAACCACCCACCCAACTGCCTACAAACTCCTCCCTTCGCCCCTCCCAGAGCTGGTTTTATGGTCCCTCTGACTCCACCCCCCTGGGTTCTGATTGGGTAACTTGTTTAACTATTGCACCTCCAGCACTCTCATATGTTAACGTCACAACTGGCGTATTTTTTTGCACTCAAAGAGCTGTTCCCCCTCCCCCCACTTCAGGACCCGGTTACTGGAAGGACTACTTACACCTACATCAAGTTGCCCTTGTATTGAAATCCACTGCAGAAACCATCCTTGAATGCCCACAAATAACATCAATTAGGTTGGCATTCACTAGAGAGGGCCTTTTTGGTGGTGGCTCCACATCTTTAGAATGCTACACATTGAGATATGGTCCTTCCTTTCAATTCAAGTTTTTAAGTGGACTATAAAAGCTCAACTATTCTACCTTGCTTTTTCTTGATGGTGTTAGGATGCTTCAGCTGAAATTATTTTTTAATTTTTTTTATAGCTGGGCATAATGATACGGTTTTATCTAATGACAATTTGTTTTGTCTAAAATGACTTTATTTTATCTTACACATTTTAATGATATTTTCTATATTACAATCAGCCTTGTGAGGGTAATTACTGTGAAAGGCAACCCAAAATACTTTTAATAAATAAACCCCCCCGGTTTCTCAGTGATTGGCTCAGAATCAGATTTAAACACACAGATCTACCCCCATCATTTGCAATTTGACTTCAGCAATAGTGTCATTGCCAAACTTTGCCAAAGTCATTCAGGCACAACGATTTATTTACACATGTTTAGGCACTCAACTGTTTAATATCAGATTTTTTTACAGCAGTATACTTTGGCTCTATGCATTGTGGAAAAAAGCCAAACTAGAAGTTGGGAGAGGATAATGATATGAAAAAATAATTGGACGTACATCTAAATAACAGATATTGAATCCTTTATTTTCTAAATTCTTCCAATTGCACTGAATTCTCTCCCCCCCAACCCCCCCACTCCAATCATGCTTTGTATTAAATTCCAGATTCCCTTCCATATCTTGGGTGCAATAAATCAGTATGGTGACACTAGAAAAATCCTCTATCCAAAAAGTAATCTTAAAAGCTAAGTTCCAGAGCTCACTTAAAGGTAAAGGACCCCTGACAGTTAATTCCAGTCACAGACGACTCGGGTTGCAGCACTCATCTTGCTTTACAGGCCGAGGGAATCGGTGTTTGTCCGCAGACAGCTTTCCAGGTCATGTGGTCAGCATGACTAAGCCACTTCTGGCAAAACCAGAGCAGCGCACAGAAATGCAGTTTACCTTCCCGCCAGAGCGGTACCTATTTATCTACTTGCACTTTTTGGCATGCTTTTGAACTGCTAGGTTGGCAGGAGCTGGGACCGAGCAATGGGAGCTTACCCCATCGCGGGGATTCGAACCGCCTACCTTCTGATCGACAAGCCCAAGAGGCTCAGTGGTTTTAGACCGCATCGCCACCTGCGTCCCAGAGCTCACTTACATAGAGGCAAATTTCACTAGAAGCCATGGGACCTACTTCCAATCAGAAACATTTAGGGTTGGCATACTGTGTTACTCTATATTTGGAGACTGGCATGTCTAAGCCAGAGTGGTGTAGTAATTAGCGTGGTAGACTAAGTCCTGGGAGACCACTGGCTGAAATCCCCACTCAGCCCTTAAGCTCACTGGGTGACCTTGGGCCAGTCAACATCTTTCAGACTAATCTACCGTATTATAAGATTGTTTTTGAAAAGAGAAAATGGGGTGTCAGGGACTTAAAGCATGAAGAACTTGAGCTCCTTAGGAGAAAAGGTGGGATATTAGGGTTGCCATACATCCGGAATTTCCGGGACATAGCCAGGATTCGCTCGCCAAGAACCCGGGCATGTGGCAAGCCATGTCAGAAGTGTAGATTTTTTGGCGAATTTCAAAAAATTCGGAGGGGGGGGGGGTTGCAAACAAAGTTCAACAACTTGGCAGCTTGGTCAAACTCATGTTCGTAGCTTCGAGAACACTGTGCAACCATCTCGTCCTCTGTCATCCCCTTCTCCTTGTGCCCTCAATCTTTCCCAGCATCAGGGTCTTTTCCAGGGAGTCTTCTCTTCTCATGAGGTGGCCAAAGTATTGGAGCCTCACCTTCAGGATCTGCCCTTCCAGTGAGCTCTCAGGGCTGATTTCCTTAAGAATGGATAGGTTTGATCTTCTTGCAGTCCATGGGACTCTCAAGAGTCTCCTCCAGCACCATAATTCAAAAGCATCAATTCTTCAGCGATCAGCCTTCTTTATGGTCCAGCTCTCACTTCCATACATCACTACTGGGAAAACCATAGCTTTAACTATACGGACCTTTGTTGGCAAGGTGATGTCTCTGCTTTTTAAGATGCTGTCTAGGTTTGTCATTGCTTTGTCATTTAATTAAAGTAAAGGTAAAGGTAAACCATTAGGTCCAGTCATGGCTGACTCTGGGGTTGCTGCGCTCATCTCGCTTTATTGGCCGAGGGAGCCGGCGTACAGTTTGTGGGCCATGTGGCCAGCATGACTAAGCTGCTTCTGGCGAACCAGAGCAGCACACGGAAATGCCATTTATCTTCCCGCCGGAGCAGTATCTATTTATCTACTTGCACTTTGACGTGCTTTCAAACTGCTAGGTTGGCAGGAGCAGGGACTGAGCAACGGGAGCTCACCCCGTCGCGGGGATTCGAACAGCCAACCTTCTGATCGGCAAGTGCTAGGCTCTGTGGGCACCAGTCCCTCTGTGGCTACCCACGTCCCTTTAATTAAAGTAGTCATCAAATTAACTGGAGACCTCCCACTTCCTTTCCATGCAAATGAAAATTGCATAACTGCAAGCTTGTTCTTGCATGAGAGGGGAGGTTATTTTCAGTCACGATATAAAGTGAATTTATCTGGACCTTAATTTTACAGTACGGGGGGGGGGAGGTACTTGATGTGTTCAAAGCCACAAAAAGTAGTACAGACCTTAAAATACCAGTTTGTTCTGGGTTGCAAAGATGATGTCGAATCTGTTTTGAAACGGCACTCCAGAGAAATTATGTAGTGTAATTCCTAAAATGCAAATGAGTTTGTGACTCACTTCCCCGGTACCAGAATTGCTAAGGGTTGCTTTTCACATCTTCAAACTTAGTGCCTAAACATGGCAATGCCTATTAAAATTGTGCCATCTGGCTTCAGTTAACTGCGGGGAGTGGGGGGGGGAGAGTGAATGAGGATCACTTTGGAATAGCAAAAAAACAACAACCCACCACCCATTGGGGGGCACATTTAAAATACTTGTACCAATTCAAATCCAGGCATTTCTTAATGCTGTTCAGTGCTTCTAAAGAGACATAGGCTAAGGGCTGCCAACCTCCTTGGACCAGTGGGCACATTCCAAAATTTGATAGAGTACTATGGGCACCAGTCACAAAATGGGGGACAGGGCATAACACAAAATGGTTTCCATGAGGAAGCATGGCATAACACAAAATTAGAGTCTGCCCGTTCTACCTCATATTTACCTTGTGAAGTCACACATGTCCTGCTAGCTCAGTCAGTAGAGCGAGAGACTTAGGGTCATGGGTTTGAGCCCCATGTTGGCCAAAAGATTCTTCCATTACAGGGGTTGGACTAGATGACCCTCGTGGTCCCTTCCAACTCGAGAGTTCTTTGATTCTAACCCTCTTTTTCCCAGTGCCAATCCTTAACCATAGCTTAGGCTGCCATCTTGTACTCAACAGACCCGCTTTGCATATGTTTTACGTTTTGCATTTGCCATTTTTTGGGGTGGGGAGAAGATTTGTTAACATGGTGTTGTGCTCTTTGCAGGAAATTAAGTGCTAGGGAGTACTTGATGTAAGGCGAACACACCTCTGGAAAGATGCAGGGGGAAAGTTGGTTGCAAGGGGGGAAAGGAAGGCCAAACTTGAAGGAGTCCATGGACTACTAGAGCATGGGTAGGCAAACTAAGGCCTGGGGGCTGGATTCGCCTTCTAAATCCGGCCCGCGGACGGTCCGGGAATCAGCATGCTTTTACATGAGTAAAATGTGTGCTTTTATTTAAAATGCATCTCTGGATTATTTGTGGGGCATAGGAATACATTCATTTTCCCCCAAAAAATATAGTCCTGCCCCCCACAAGGTCTGAGGGACAGTGGACCGGCCCCCTGCTGAAAAAGTTTGCTGACCCCTGTACTAGAGAGTAAGACAGAAGCAGAAGAAGTATGGCACAGGGGAAGGAGAAGAAGCAGCTATTTAGGACCTCAGGGATTCCCATTGCCCAGTGTCCAAACAACTCAATTATCAGTCACAGACGGTGACTTCACTCCTTGGCTAAAAATACTGACAGGTGGGAGCAGCCAGGCTCACTGCTTAGAAGGGGTTGCCTGCACATTTTGATTCCTAACTTTCTAGGAGGTCTAGAGATTATTTTTCTCCACGAAAGCTCAAAGCCTTAGGCACTGTGGGCACCAACAAAGGCCTTCATGGATGACCTGGGGGGTACCTGGTTGGCAACTCCTGCCATAGGCCCATACACAATCTTTCCTATGGGGCATTTGTACGTATCTTAAAAGCAACTTCAGAAGTGGTCCTGAGTCATGCTGCCGCCCAGACTGATAAACCACACATGAAATTAACAGGATGTTCTTATTGCCAGGCTCTTAAAATGGAACCGGAGCATGGCTGCATAGCATTTGACATAGTTGAAGCTGTTCTTCATGCCAAATGTGGGTTTTTGGATTATTTCGTTTCCCTGACATGTTTACAGTTTGACTGGCTTCATAATTTCTGTCAAATTATGTTTGACTGGTTTCATAATTTGTATCAAACCCATTTACTGTTCACATAATATATATATATATATTATGGATTTTTTTTAAAAAAAATAATAAGATGGCATATCCCCTTCTTTTTCAGATTGATTAGGCCTCCTTAAGCTCTCTCAAATCATGATATAAAGTTTACAATCATTTTTGCTTTAATGCTAACTTTGGAATCTTTGGGTTTCCCCAAGGACCTCAACTGTTAAAACCACACTGAAATAAATAGACTTTCTACAAGAATTCAGCCGTGGTCTTCTTGCTTCCATCCATCCATCCATTTCAGTTTGCACAGAAGAGATACCCAGAGGACTGTCTCAAGTTTCAAAGTTATCTATAAAAGCATAGGTTTAATTTGTTTTTATTTATTTCAGAGCTTTAATTCGGTAACTGTGGCAATGATTCCTACAGTGCTTTTTCTGAGTACTTATCCTGGCAATACAGGCCAATGCTATTATTCCCCTATACAGAGGTTCTCAAATGCCTTGGTACTCAAACAACTTGGAACCCAAACACTGCAAACCTGGAAGTAAGTGTTGCAGTTTGCGAACCTTTTTTGGAAGCTGAACATGCTCCGTTTTGAGTGCCACACTTCCGTTTTGAGTGTTATGCTGAGGTCTATCTGTTTTTGCTATTTATTTTGCTATTTTGTTTTTGCAGCTCTTTTTTTGTAATTGTGTGGAACCCAGTTCAGCTACTGATTGATTGTGTGACTGCAGTACATTGTTTATTGCTTTCATGGTCTCGTTAGATAGTAAAATTCATGTTAAATTGCTGTTTTAGGGGTTGTTTTTAAAAGTCTGGAACGGATTGATCCATTTTGCATTACTTTCTATGGGAAAGCGCGCCTTGGTTTTGGAACGCTTTGGTTTTGGAACGGACTTCCGGAATGGATTAAGTTTGAGAACCAAGCTACCATTGTATCACATAGGAGATTCTGATAGGAGCCCATTAAAGGTATATTTGTCTCCACATAATCACAACACCTGAGAATGCCTCAGAACCTCTTGCAATGTGACACTACGATGCAGCTAAGGATAAGCTCATGCAAATATGTTGTCTGCAGGTTGCACCCCACCACTGAAAGGGATAATGGGGTCCACATTGTGTCCCACTTTGATTGTGCCTTTATAAATATTTCTTATAACACTACCTGGGTTGCTTGTCCCCTTAATCTTCGTTCCCTACTGCAATGAAGTGCCCAGTACTTGTAAGAGATTTGGCTCACATTTATGTTTTCGTTCATTATTACATTCATACCCCCAACTTTCTCAAGGAGCTCAAGGTGGTGTACGCAATTCTCCCTCTTCACATTTTATCCTCAACAACAACCCTGTGAGACGGTGACTGGCCCAAGGTCACCCGGTGAGGTGAGTGAGGGGGATTTGCACCCCTGTCTCCCAGGTCCTCGTCCAGGGCTCCAACCGCTACACCACACCAGCTTTCTTCGTTCTTCACGGCCCTCCCTTCTCCTTGCCCTCCCTGCAAGCTCCTCAGGGGCTTAGAATGCCCTGCTGGATTAGACCTAAGGTCTGTCTAGTTCAAGATCCTCTTTCCAATTGTGTGGTGCTGGAGGAGACTCTTGAGAGTCCCATGGACTGCAAGAAGATCAAACCTATCCATTCTGAAGGAAATCAGCCCTGAGTGCTCACTGGAAGGACAGATCCTGAAGCTGAGGCTCCAATACTTTGGCCACTTCATGAGAAGACTTCCTGGAAAAGACCCTGATATTGGGAAAGATGGAGGGCACAAGGAGAAGGGGACGACAGAGGACGAGATGGCTGGACAGTGTTCTTGAAGCGAGTAACATGAGTTTGACCAAACTACGGGAGGCAGTGGAAGACAGGAGTGCCTGGCATGCTCTGGTCCATGGGGTCACGAAGAGTCAGACACGACTAAATGACTAAACAACAACAAGATGCCTGGGAAGAATGAAGAGCTCCCTCCTGTTGCTTGTCTCCAACACCTTGTATTCAAAGGTCCACTGCCTTAGTGTTAGTAATTGCACTGTATTTGTTGGAAAATATATTTTACAAAGAATAAATTGTTTGTTTGTTTTTTAAAAAAATATTTATACTTTTCAGATATATACATTTCACGGATTTTACAATCATTTCTACATTTCAAAACTTGACTTCCTTCCCCCTCTTTCTGCGGTTCCTTACATTTATTTTTAATATATTCTGCATCTCTAAATTAACTTATTTATTTATCTTCTTTATGTATGTATACTCTTATGTAGCTGCAGGTTATTACAATAATCCTACCAGTGTTTACAATTTATCTGTAAATATTCAATAAACCATTTACATTCTTTTATAAAAATTTGTTATATTGATTTCTTATTCTTCCGGTAAGTTTTGCCATTTCTGCATGTTCCATAAGTTTTTGTATCCATTCTTCCTTTTCTGGGACTTCTGCTTCTTTCCATTTTGGGGCAAGTAACATTCTTGTCATTGTGGTTGCATAAATGAATAAATTTCTATACAATTTAGGTAGTTCTATCCCTATAATTCCCAAGAGAAAGGCTTCTGGGTTTTTTGGTTTTTTTACAAACGTCATTTTAAACAGCCTTTTCATTTCATTGTATATCATTTCCCAGTAAGCATTAAAGGTAAAGGTAAAGGTAAAGGCAAAGGACCCCTGACAGTTAAGTCCAGTTGCAAACGACTCTGGGGTTGCGGCGCTCATCTCGCTTTACTGGCTGAGGGAGCCGGCTTTTGTCCGCAGGCAGTTTTCCCAGGTCATGTGGCGAGCATGACTAAGCCGCTTCTGGACAAACCAGAGCAGCGCACGGAAACACCGTTTACCTTCCCACCGGAGCAGTACCTATTGATCTACTTGCCCTTTGACATGCTTTCGAACTGCTAGGTTGGCAGGAGCAGGGACCGATCAACGGGAGCTCACCCCGTCGCAGGGATTCAAACCGCCGACCTTCCGATTGGCAAGCCCAAGGCTCAGTGGTTTACACCACAGCGCCACCCACGTCCCTAGTAAGCCTTAACCTTACTACAAATAATAAATTGTATTGGGAAAAAGAAAACCTATGTAGTGTAATGTAACAACTGCAAAATCTTATGACTCCAGTTAAGATCACCGGAATGCGGAATCATTGCCTTGTCAATTGGTTAACTCACTATAAAAGTGAGCCTGTGTGTGTCTTCAGTAGGGATAGGAGGGTTGGCTGGTTGTTTTGCCATTGTTTCGCTCAGTGTGGAGATGCTGTGTCTGGAGGATTGGGTGAAGACAGACAAGCTATAATGTATTGACTGTTTTGAAGGACTTTTAGAAGCTTGAAGACCCTCTCTTGGGCTCAAGTGAGAGAAACGCATTGTATTGGACTTGATATGCATCAATGCTACTGCTTGTTAATAGTTGCCATCCTGCAAGTAAAGAGTTATCTTCAAAGTCTTGTGCATGGTGTGGGATGTAATCCATTGGTACAGTCAAGTGCAATATTCCTTATTTCCCTAGAGTGGGCACAGGCAGGGGGACATCCAGTCAGTGTAACTTCCTGTTCCACTGGTCTGGAGCATCTTCCCCCTGCATGTGACCTGGGAGATGGGCGTGGCTCTGGCTGACTCCATAAAAGAGCCGAGTCACACAGCCATTTTCTCACTTATTGTTTTTCTCTTCTTGCTTGCTGCTCTTTTGCTGCCATGCTGCTCTCCTGCAGCCATTTTGTTGTCTTAATGTAATTTTGCTGTCTGCTGGCTCTCAGCCAGCAGCACATGAGTTCAGTCTCCATATGAAATGAACTCACAGTTTGTGTAACCACTAAGT